TGGGGATTTTTTTCGAAAATGCTGACTTGTGGGGGCGGATTAGAGTTGATCCATTAGAAAAAGCAAAACATGCTTGTCCTCTACCTCAATAGTGTCACCATGAATTCATACTTATCGGTCTTGGCACAATTAACTTTTCAATCTTTAACTCGATTATTGTGACCTACTGAAGCACGTATTTCCACATCTAAGACAAGTTAATAGGTGGATCGCTATATAACACTTTGCTAAATATAGCATAGCTTTCCTATCTAATTTTAGAAGTGACTTTTCGCAAGATAAGATAGGATAAGATAAGATAGGGAATTCAGCAATCTAATTGCTTAAGAGGTGCCGACTTACGAAATTGAATATTTGACCCTATTAAATGACAAAGTTGACGCCAGCTCGACAGAAGATTGGGGCGAACGAGAACCTTGACGATTCTGGTCTACGAGGAGTTTCGGCATCTTGTGCGCCCACCTACACCATATCCGTGGCTTAACCGTAGTAAACCTGAACTCTAGGATTATATGTTGCAAAAGTTAGTGGACGAGGGTAAGTCAATGAAAGACTGTCTGATCTGAATGGATTCATGACAGACAAGTAGCAACATGCCTCGACTCTTCCTCCTGCTAATCTGCATGTTTCGATAAACGAGAGGTTAGTACAGCATCCTACTAAGTAAGGAGCAATTTTAGTGTCATATCGCAGTTCAAATGGATCAAGATAACATGAAAGCCGTCTTTGATACTCCCTCGAGAACTGACAACATCAGGCTCTGGTCTTTAATCACTGATATCAAGCCTCAGAAAGTACTGTTTTTCAGTAGCCACCTGTTTACTTGGAAACACTTCTTCCGTCACTGAACTTCCTACCCACCGTTCCGTTGAATGCCTTGCCGCCGCAGCTTGATCGCCCCCTCTCAACCACCACAAAACTATCCATCCTCTATCTGAGTTTTCCATACTTTCTATCAAAGGCAACATGCTCGACGCCAGTACCCTTCAACCCTCCCGCTAAACGGAACACCATTCATCGCGCTTCATTATTAGGCATGTTATACTCTGCACTAATGATGAAGATGGATCTGGGAAATTCACCACTCCTTATATGCTGAGCCGTGGAGTACTGGGATCTGTCCCTGGTGGTAAGTAGACACTATTAAGTATAGTTACTATAGCGGAAAGACCATTAATATTATTAATGTATTTATGGGCTTGATAATGGGAAAGTAGCCTTAATTCTGCCCTGAAGATCTAGAGATTGACTTGATGATAATGTGAGGTTCTTACCGTTACTGAAGCCCCCGGTTGTGACTTGAGTATGATTAATGGGAAGGCTGCCGTCCTTGAAGATAGCTTCCACTACTGCCGCGACATCTTCAACCCGTGTTGGGAAGGTAGCTGTTGGTGAGAGAGAGCATGGATGCTGACAATAAGGAAATGGAATGTTTGCCATAAAAGGCGACAGAGCTTATCCTCATATGCTGATAAACCGAGGCGAAACCTCTTCCAACGATATGAGTGTATAGAGGGAGTAAGCTCCTGGAGTTATATGACTCGCAGAGGAAGAATCGATGCTTGAGCTGGCAATTTAATAACAGCGATAAACCATCAAGAGTACCAAGATTGTGGACTCCTTGGCATAATAGCCACAACCTCGATAGCTGAAACGCGTTCAAAGTTTAATGACACTGCAATGAACCTCTATCAGGACCTTTTCCTATGAGACAGGCACCCATACTTCAGTCTCGAATGGTTATGAACCTGCCTGGACGGCCTGCACCATCATCGACTGATCTGGTGTCAATCTGATCTACCGCTACTTATGTCTGAATCAATGTTAGACTACATTAATCACGCCACGCAACGAGACTGCGGTGCATTGCTTTCGAAGCTGTCCTTATGGCAGACGTGCCGGGAACAGATGACACTTAATGAAATTTAGGATGCACTGGCTTGGAGCATGGGCAAGCAAAGTGTAAACTCGCATTTCATATCAGGTAACACGCGGACGGGGAAAGACGTGGCGGACTAAATAAAGGGTCTCTGATTTGTTTCTTCTTCTAATAACAACTTTACATCACTATTCACTGCTGTCAATTCATCTTCGACACATCTCGTTATTCTCACTCTGACTTATTGCTCGCGACAATTAACCCCTTTTGGCCGATTCTAACAAGATCCGGCCCTGGATGTGTAGGTAATTTGTTAAAAGGTAGGGTTGACCAAGTAGATGGCTGCTTGAGAGTTTGTTGTAGCGGAATCGTTGTTCCTGCAATGTCATAATGTTTTAGGTCTGCACGCCATAAAAACGAAGAAGGACGCAAGCGACTTAGATGGTGGACTTGTCATCTACCAACAGCAAGGGTGGCTTAGTGATGCACGTATTGCGGAAACTACCAGGAGCGCTTGCTATCCCGGCTAAGAATAGAAACAGGATAATAGGAATTATGTTGGTCAAAGCTTGTGGGTCACTTTTAGTATGTCAAGATGGGAGGAAGTCCGCGTTACGGTCGTCTATAGGATTGGCAGGGTTTCATACAGTACATCTTCTTTCCTAGCCCCGGGGGATGACTGCGGAACTATAAGTGAGGCGTCTCCCATCTGTTCCCAGGTTCTTGTTCTGTCTATAAACACAAGCATCCAGCTTGCAGGCACCTTGACACAGACACCCAACTCAACAAATCAAGACAACTCCTTTGTGTCAGGGTGGGCAACAAACTGGGCCTTTAGCCAGCCCATAGGCCTTTTCGAGACATATCCAGATGTCAGGCTGCTCGCAGTAACAACACCAATAACTGCCAAATCTTCTATCATCGATGACATAAGGAGGTAAGTCTGGCTATGCCATTATGATATCACAGCTAAGAATGTCTAGTTGCATATCATAATCTGCTGTCAACTCGACAAGATTAAGACTTCTATGGAATCTGCCAGGCTTATTCACACGCAAGCGTGCATCGCTTTAAGAATGTATTAAGGTTTGACAATGGGTTTCTCTTTCTCTTTTCTTTTCTTGGCCGTCTTCTTTATCGCAAGACGCCTGGAGCTGAGCTTGTCTCGGCTTCAGGCAGCACCGTTCTGCAACAAACAGTTAAACTGTGGATGCTTACTTTCAGGGCTCTCTGAATAATTCATGGATCGATTGCCCATATCAACCTGGAGCTATACCAGTAGTGATGGAACCTGACCATCGTACAAGCGGCAAACCAAATGTGATACTACTTTCCGGGGACTATGACTTGGTGTTAAAGTCTTTAAAGAAACTTCGTGCAGCAATTCTAGAACATTAGAGTTAGCTATAGGGATAACTGCCGCCTATAAGGTTAACCTTTAGGCTATAAATATAAATAATAAATAATAATACAGTATTTTTTTCCTTAATATAAGCTTTTATTTAAAAGCTTTTATAATAACTATTATATCTTACCATAAGCCTTAAGGTATTATAAAGTAAAGAGATTTAAAGGTATATAAAGGGATATAACTTTAGGTTTATATCTCTATATATATACTATAATATAACTTTATAAATAGTATATTTATTACTTTAGTAAATTAAATTATTATTAATAAGGACTATATAAGCCAGAAGGCTTAAACATATATTTATAGACTTCTTATTATATATATTACTTTTTTATATATAAATAAATAGTAGATTAAAAAGTAAAATAGCTTTAAAGACCTTAATAAAGTTAAGGACCTTTAATTTTATATAAAAGCCTACTTTAAGCTTAAGGCTATTTTAAATATAGTTTATATTAAACTGGCCTTCTTTAATTATAAGGCATTTAAGGTAACTATTAATAACCTAAGTACTTATTATATTATATATTTTACTTACTATAAGGCTAATATATTAAAAGAGCTAATAGAGAAAGAGAATAAAAAAGATAAAGATATTATAGTATTAAAAAATAGTATTAATTAAATAATAAAGCTTATAACTTTATAGATTAATATAGTAAATTAAGTAATATTAATAATAATTAAAAAGCTAATAATTAAAGTTATTAAATAGCTTTAAGAAGGATTATATATATATTATAGTAAAAAGGTTAAACTGTTAAAGGTTTTATTAATTAAGTTATTTAGGCTAGTTAAAAAAGTTAAAGTATTAATACTTTTATTAAAGTAAGTTATATTTAGGTAACTAAAAGCTTTAATAGCTAAAAGAATATAAGCTAATTAAGTTTATAAGATTAATATATAATAATTTGTTTTTAAATATAATAAATATTAAAGTTAGAATTCCTTAAAAGACCTCTATCTATCAAGATAGTACAAGGTAATCAACCTGACACCATGCAGACAACACTTCTTCCTCCATCGATATTTGCCGAACTTGTATCCCTGCTACAAGCCCTGCTATAACTTGCACAAAGAAATTTCCTTAACCGCCCTATTCCAAAAATGAGGCCTAGACCTCTCACTTAATCAGAAACACAGATTAACAACATCCAGGAGGAAAATCGGAAACTACAAACCCGGATCATCAACCAGAAGAGGGTCGAAACCAGCAAGGGCCATGTCAAAGCAGCTCAATTTCCAGGGAAATAGAGATCTCAATCTTCAAAATGAGGCTCTGGCGCGGCTTCAAATATGACCGCGTCAGTTCAAACCCGTAGTAACAGACCTCATATCCAACGACCTTCAGAGAACTACCCAAGCCCGGATCATAGAGCACTACACAAGATCACATATGTGTTCCTCATTGAAGTTCAGGGCTAAAAATCTTATATGCCCAAAAAGCCTTATAAAAAGATAAGATCACACAAATATGCGGCAATTTTCAGCGACAACTAGCAATCGGATACGTTGCACAGCATTGGTCTCTGAGTTACTTTTGTATCAAACAGCAACCAGTGCAGGTCATATGACCCCTTATAAAAATGTCCATCCTCATTTAATAACCCTATCCTTAAAGTAAGTTTAGCCACTTTTATTACATAAGCCCCAATTTCTTAAATATTAACATTCCATTACAGTCCACTAATCTTCATTTGTATTAACATGTTATGTGGCTTTCTAGGGGCGGGATTACAGCCACTCAGGAGACTTGTATTCCGGAGTGCCAGTCTAGCCATCGGGCGGCTTATCAGCCAATCACAACGGTCTCATTCCGGTAAGTCAGAGACCCTGGTCATTATACGTAGTCGTCCCATTATTCAATAGCTCCAGTACTCTATTCTGTTCTCAATCTCTACTGCGTGTGTTTCCTTTGCAGAAAAACTTCAACTTACAACCATCACGACAAACACACCAGCATGGGATCACTAACTATCAGCATTCCCCACCTGGTGGGCAATGAGAACACCAAGCAGCTCATTGTTCACGGACGTCCATTTCTTGTACGAGGCGGCGAACTTCAAAATTCCTCTTTATCATCGGTCGAATATATGGAACCAGTTTGGCAGAAAATGGTTGCCATGAATATCAACACTCTACTAGGTTGTGTGACCTGGGACATGATAGAGCCTGAAGAAGACGTTTTTGACTTTTCTGTTCTGGACGAGGTCATCATTGCGGCGCGAAAGCATTCGGTGCATCTCGTGTTGCTCTGGTTCGGCTCCTTCAAAAATGGTAACACATCCTTTTCTGTGGCGAGCGCTTACTGACAAGGCTCAGGGCTTTCGACATACGTGCCTTCATGGGTCAAGCAAAGCCCAACGCGATTCCCCCGAGCGAAACTACGTAAAGCCGGCGGTCGTCTTGAAACAGCCGATGTTGTATCGCTCTTCCATCCAGAGTGCCGCAAGGCTGACGCCAAAGCCTTTGGTACACTGATGAATCATCTACGGAAGTTCGATCAATCTCACTCCACAGTAATCATGGTTCAAGTTGAGAACGAGAGTGGCCTGTTGGGGGATTCACGCGATGGGTCTGAGCTAGCTGAACAGGCGTTTCGTCAACCTGTGCCGCGGGAGCTAATCGAATTCCTCACTTCAAGCTGGGAGCACCTTCACGACGACATCAAAGTGCACAACCTGGCAAGCTTCAACCCCGAAGGCGGGGATTGGGAGGCGGTTTTTGGGTCGAGTCCACGTACTGATGAATTGTTTATGGCGTACCACTACGCTCTCTATGTGAACGAAGTCGCAGGGGCAGGCAAAACTCAATATCCCATCCCGCATTACACTAATATGTGGATGAACTACGCCGGAGATGATGCAGATAACGACTTCCCAGTTGTCGTGGGTGGGGGAGGCATACCAGGAGATTATCCCTCCGGCGGCGCCGTGAGTAACGTTATGGATGTCTGGATGCGGTTTGCGCCGAATCTGGATTTTCTCGGTCCTGACATCTATCTTAACGATTACGATAAGTCCTGTGCAAAATACAGGCATAGAAATCAGCCTCTCTTTGTCCCAGAGCAGCGACGCGATGACTATGGCGCTCGTCGTATGTGGATTGCGTATGGGTCCTATGCGGCGATTGGCGTAGCTCCCTTTGGTGTTGACACGGTAGAGCCAGCCGACAGTCCTCTGACCAAGCATTATGGCCTCCTCAAGTCAGTGTCAGCCATCGTCCTCAAAGCCCAACGTCAGACAAACTCGTCTGTAGGCTTCTGTTTCGACGACGGCGCATCCAACAGTATCTCCAGCCCCGTCAGGCGGAGCTGGGGAGATTTCGACATCACGATTGATCGATGCTTCGTCTTCGGAGAGCCAGGACCAGGAGCAGGCATGGTTGTTCATCGGGGGCATGGTAAGTTCCTGTTGATCGGGTGGGGGTTCCACGTCAGTGCAAAGAGTTTGTCGAAGGACTCAACTTTTACGGGCATCCTGAAATTCGAGGAAAAGGCTGTGGATGATGAAGAGACAGGTCGCCTGCGGACAGTGCGTGTCTTGAATGGGGATGAGACTAGAAGTGGCAGCTTTGCCATGATGCCCAGCGAGAATCCCGACTATGGTGGCTTTCCCATATCTGTCACTGTCCCAGCGCGGACAATGATCGCAGAGGTCACGTTTTATTCTATCTCCGACTAGGTAGCTTAGAGACTTCAAACATAGTTTATGTCATTGAATTCCCCATCAGCGTATCTGATTTATGAAACCTCCAAGTTCAATCTTTCTCTCTACTATGGTTTCTATCTCTCATTTCACAGCACTTCCGTCACTACTATCCATGTTTATGCCATCCAAAATTGTGTCTCCAACATTGAATTTAGTGTATCTGCCCTGTTCAGTGACTGCTTGAGTACGGGCTGAAAAGCTGTCCATGTCAAGATCCATGCCCGACGTCACCGGTGCAACGTCCTTCTCGCCGAGAGGAAGCGAGTACTGTATCAAGAAGCGCAACATCCAGCCGTCAAGTGTATGTGTTCTGTAATCGTTAGATAGTAGGCAATAATTTTGAAAGGTGACGAGCCGGTGGATCTATTGAGTATTAGAATCGTTCATTTTCTCCCACTCAATTGACATACCATGGACTCGGTGTTTGGCCAGTAACGTCGCAGTTCAAGGATCGCCTCAAAGTTTGAATTGAGGGCATCCCGAACGGGTTGAACATCATCATCCACACTGAACAAAAGCGTATGGAGCAGGACTGATGACGATACTACTGCCATGTGACCGACAGTTGGGTAGATGACTTCGCAGTTTTCTCTCTGACGAGCTAATCTCAAAAGATCGCTGTATGAAGAAGCATGGAACTTGCACTTGGCTCTATATATTGCCGCTAGAGGTGATGATGATACCGCAGGCTCCAGGAACCTAAAGTATAGTAGCGTGGCGTAGTGATGATAGCCCAAATGAAGAGCGATAAAGGCGCCTCCGTGGCCTACTTCGATATATCGCTCAAGATTCTCCGTACTCAGCCTGACGTTGGAAGGTATTGTCCATTCCCAGTCATCTAGCAATTTTGAGAGGGATGCAACAGTCGATTCGATCTCGTCATGACTGATGTTGCCATAGGCACTGCGATGGTTGAGATCCTTGATCGGTCCGAACAGGCGAACGAGAGATATCTTGTGCACCCAAAGTCCTGGCTGCCAGGGAACGTTCAGTTTGATCTGGTCTGGAGAGAAAGCCTCAAAGATAGGCTCATGTATTGGAAGATCAACAGCAATATCGGAGTCTCGGATCTGCGGTGCTAGCCCAAGGCTCGACGATGACCAGCGATCAGCCATATACAGAGTCCACCACGCCCTTATCCTTATCTCACGATCTATCAATGTCCTGGCCACCGAGAAAGTCCCAGCGTCTATGATTTGCAACAAGTTGACGCCTATGCCTGTGAACGGTAAGTGGCTGACGCTATGGATTGTCTTGATACAACTTACGGAAGAACAGGGCTTCCGAAGAGGGGTTGAGGTGGGCAGCGTAGAGATTAGCGATCAAGATGCACGTCTGCACGTTTTCAATGCAAATGTTTTCTAAATCGGCCAGAAGCAACCGTTTAGACTCGTTATTGTAGATGTTTTCGAGAGAACGAATCTCATCATCATGGTCGAATCTGGCGCCTATACTGCAGATGGAGAGTAGTAGAGCCTTATTGATAGAACCATCTTGTACTTGTCTCTTTAGGGTAGCTGGGTGGAACAAGCTATGAGGTCGATTGTGAAGTCTGGTGAGATAGTGATCCACAAGGCGAGCAGCGACGTCAACAGGCACGTCGATCGAAGTGTCCTGATGCGCTGCGAGACTCGATTTTGGCAGCAGGGAATGAACTCGGGGCGGAAGATCGGCATTGGCCAAAGACGCTGTGCACCTCAGATTCTTAACCTGGCACTGATCGCACGAGTCTCCTAGTCGGCCATCTCGGCGGGAGCATTTCCGCTTACTCCTGCGGCACTCGTTGCACGCTTTAGGAGTCTTCATCGTATCAAGTGAGTAGTGTTGTTCCTGTTTGAGAAAATGAATGCATCTGGGTGGACAGCAAAGGGCGCAACATAAAACCGGGGTAAACTTTTAGCTTTGCCCGCATTCCTCTCGTCATCGGTAATGGCAGTCTCTGATTGGCTTTTACGCCGATCGACCCCTACCACTGCAGCACCGGTATGTTTGGAGCTATCAACAAGGGCACGTTCATGGAGTAGATGAATGTCTATGCGCATCAAAAGGATCTGTGTGATACGTGCGCTTTGGTTGAATCGCAAGAAAACGAGAGTAACATTAAGTTATTAATCACGGTTTTCTACGTAGACATGATCCACATCGGCAGATAGGTGGGGTGGGCTAAACCTTGTTCGCCCCGCAGTCTTTGTGAAAATATCTCCTCCTGGGGTCACCATCTCCATTCCCTGCATCGGAAATGGAACGGGCTCATTGGCTAGAATCCCGCATGGCCCCTCATTATCATGATATTAGGCCTAGTCTCAATGGTAAGACGCCTAAATCGAATGATGATGGGAAACCTACAAGGCCCAGGGATAATTAAATGTAGCCTCGACGCTTTGATTGTTGAGGTGCTGAAGCGATCTCATAATGGTACTGCTCTATCTATCGCTGTTGAGTTTCCTGTTTGGGTTAGCTTTCGCTCTCTCAGACCCCGCAAATCACAGATCATTCAGTCTGTGATCAACCGAGCACCTCACAGGGATGGGAAAGCTGTGGCTTGTGTAGCCTGTTACCTCTGGTCAACACTCTTGAGGACGTTTTTTGTTGCCGCGGCAAAGTGTGGCCATGAGCCCATCGAAATGTCTATAAAGATGGCTTTCCCGGCCTCAAATTTAGTAAACATCATTCTCTAGGAGCCAACAAGAAAACCAACTACTCTCTTCTGACTATCCGATCATATTTCACCATGATTTTCAGCCGCCTGTTCACTACAACGGTTCTCGCGACCGCGAGTCTCGCGGCCTCATTGGCACCACGTGCCGTAAAACCTTGGTCCAACTTCAACAACAACGCTATTTTCAAGCCCAAGAAGGAAGCTACCAGCTGGCGTACGCTCTACGGACGAACTCTGCAGCTACCGGACAAGTCACTTCTTCTGTCCTGGGAGGATTACGATCCTGATGTGGAATTGACTTACTTCCCCATCTACAAATCGACAGATGGTGGTGCGTCATACAAGCCCTTTGCTAGGGTTGAGGACCAGGTCAACGGCTGGGGTAACTGGTACCAGCCCTTTCTTTATGCCTTGCCTCAGGATTTTGGGGGATACCGCAAGGGCACGATTCTTCTCGCCGGCGTCTCTACCCCTCGCAATCTGACTGAAGCCTACATCGACCTTTATGCCAGTGAGAACCAGGGCCAAGACTGGGAGTTTGTTAGCCATATCGTTTATGGCCCTGGACCTGAGACTGTCTCCCAAGGCGACCAAGCTGTTTGGGAGCCGTTCCTCATGATGCACAAAGGCCAGCTTGTTTGTTATTATTCCACCCAAGTCGACCCGAAGTTCAACCAGAAGCTCTCGCATAAGACAACCAAGGATCTACGCAAATGGAGTAGGGCTGTTGACGACGTCGCCTATCCTAATACTGATCAACGCCCTGGCATGGCAACTGTTGCTTATAGCCCTGTATCTAAGAATTACGTCATGACGTTCGAGTACTGTGGCGGGCCCCTTACTGGTGGCTGCCCCGTGTACTACAAGGTATCAAAAGACCCTCTCGCCTTCGGATCTGCTACTGCGCAGCCTATCATTCCGAACGACGGACAACTGAACCCCAACGGCAGTCCATTTGTGATCTGGACTCCTGAGCCCGGAAAGAAGGGTAAGGGAATTTTCATTGCTAATGGAAACAGTCGCGAAGAAGTCTTTGTCAATACGGATGCTGTTGACCCCAAGGGTTGGAAGCCGGTTAATGTCGGGCAGTGGTCAGCTTATTCACGGGAACTTCGCATTATTGAGACTCCTGATAGGAGTGCTGCTGAGGGAGAGCCGAAGCTCCTTATTACAAATGGCGGAAATATTGGTTGTTCAGGAAATTGTTACAACTACATTGCAGACGGACTTGTGGATATCCCTAATTATCCCCGGACATGAATGTTGAGACTGTCCTAGTCCTCCGGCTGGACTTGGCAGGATGAGATGAGTAGTTGGTATACTGTGTTATTTTCTCGAGTCATGCTTGGCGGAATGCTGTTAAGTGGAGCACCCTTGAACTGGAATTATAACTAGCTATATCTCAATTTACTTTTATACTATGCATACCAATATTCTATGATATTCTATCCTTATTATAAGTCTTAGCAGTTTGAGATTTAACTTTATTAGCAGCAATCAGCTACATAGTTATAGGGCGAGATATATAGGTACTTGGACGATAATGGTAATCCTAGGTGTTCCCCTTGTGCTCTTTATCTTCAGCTTTATCACTGTTCCAGCTGGCTACCAATGGACTTATTAGATTTTAGCCATAGTGACTTGTCTACGTGTTATAATGGCTCGACTCCTTATTCAAAACGTGATATCTAGCCTAAGGATCAATAAAGTCTAGTTCGTCGCATTTCTCCTCCTAGGTCTTGAGACTAGGCACGTTCCGGGTCAAGTCACAGTCAAGATCTCAAGGTACTTCACGTTTTGCCAAATCGAGCCTACTCTTATCAAAATTGTGGGCTTTATCGCGCCCCTCGATCTTGTCGCTCGACTCAACGTCGTCATTGTTGCCGTATCCTACTCCAAGGCCTTTCTATAGGGCAGTGTAACCACCTCATCGGAGATCTCGCAGATCTTCCCCGAGATGTAAGGCTTCGACAACCAGCAAGTCAGTCTTAGTACATCAGTATCATACTTAGTACCTTAATCGGCGAGTTTGCTAGAGGTTTCTTCTCTGACTATTAGATATGGCGCTGGCAACGATGAGGCCGCAAACCCGAGCCAGAGTATCTACTCTGCTTAAGCTACTTTAGCTACCTACCTCTTTGTTATTTGTGGCATTAATGTATTCTTTATTCAGATTGCCACGTCTGGCTCTGAATGGGATCTTACTTCAATTATTAGCGCAGCTGTCGGTAACTAGATCGTAATCACTATTATGATTATATATGCCAGTGGCTGCTATCCATCCGAATGAGCCGCGATCGGGGTGTTTATTACTTTTATCGGAAGAACTTAAGGTTTTATTGGCCCGTTTTAGTAAGTGTTGATCGTAACCTGGGGCAAGTAAAGACTAATGTAATTTAGGGTTCCAGTAGTGTTACAGAATACTAGACACTATGCCAGCTGCGGGATCATTACTACATCATTAATTATGATTGTGACTCTGTTGTTGCAAATCAGACGACATCAATATAGGGAATAACTGTAACCCTAAGAGTGAAGAATACTGAGGCAAGGCAATAAAAACCTATAGTTATCTATACAGCCTGAGTAGCCAGCTCAGCTAATAGACATCTCATGTTGCTTGTACCGAAACGCACTATTAGCCAGTCTATGTTACTGTTGGTATACCTTCTTGACTTTCCCTTCAAGAGCATCCTTAATGAAATCCTCCAGACTTCTACCTCGTAGAGAGGGAAACAAGTCCTTTGCAAGAAGATACCCAAGGTAAACGGCATTCTCTGGTGTGTTGTCGCCTCGTATGCCCCAGGACATCCAGTACTCGTAGATACTACGCATCTGGTTTTGTTCCGTGGATCCCTTGAATGGTGCTAACATCTCTTCAAGCTGTTCCTTTGACAACTACAATAGTTTAATAATTTTTCAAATGGGTTCAAGCTAATGGACTTACAGCAGTAGACTCTGGCTTCTCGCCACTCACCTTCTCTACCAATTTGTGGACTTCGTTCTGCGTCTTGGTCTCTGTGTAGGCCATTACTCTCTTATTGATAGTTCTTGGGTCGCTCACAATGGCTGCGACGTATATTCCAATATCACGAATATCTGTGAGCGCGGAAGGGATCTCACCGCCAGCGATGATGTTGTTGTTGGGGAAGACGAGAGATTCGTCCAGCTTACCCGACGGAACTCGGGGTAGAGTAATCTGGTACCACCAACCTACATCAATCACGGTGTAGGGAAGATAGATCCTCTGGATATGATCAAGGATTGCCTCCTTCTAGAGTGATGTTTAGCTCTGTGAACTTCTGGCGGGGAACCAACGTACTCTATCGTGAGCATCCATTATACCACGAGGGGCAATGGTGGCGAAGAAGCATGGCACATACCGCTCCACGCCAGCTTGTTTGGCTGCATTAGACAGTGGGATCTCATTATGAAGTGATTGAAAGTGAATGGCCGATATGACGGTGTCAATCCCAGTGAGCGCTGCGACCAGCTCGGCATGGTTTCCACCAAGATCAATTGGCACAATCTTAATGCCCCTTTCTTTCAAGCTGATAGTTGCTGGCTTTTCAACTGAGCTTGGTCGCACCAAAGCTGTAATTTCCTGGTGTCTGTTAGCGCATTCAAACAAGCTGGAAGAGTTCAGGTGCGGACATATTGGGTTTCGGACCCGAGGAGGCCATCGACAATTGACCCTCCCGTTTCCCCAGTAGCACCAACGATCGCGATCTTTTTTGTCATTTTGTTTGCACTTTATGATATGTATTTGTTGGATGGAAGTGATCTACAGATTTGAGGCATTCAACATTTGACCAAGCTCAAGAACTATAATAAAATAAACGCGCAAAGACCCACTCGGTATGGTCGCTACGGAGTTAAGGCAGATGAAGCCCGACTCCGTGTTCTCCAGGTGAATTCATTGCACTGCGGGTACAAGGAACGCAATTTGAATTGCCCCGATAGTACAAGTCGAGTCCTACGCCTGGACTTTCATTGTTTCCAGTGAAAGCATACAAATCATTCATCTGGGCATTGGTGGTAAACTCCGCCAAACTCCGCAATCTATTCACGGAGTTAATTATTCAGCAAAGACTGCCATTGTTCTGCAAATAAATATGCACAAAATCTTTTTGAAGTCATATCTGAGACGTCGAATGTTTTAGTCAATTTTAACTTAAGATATATTATGATATCTGCAAGGTTAATATTGCTTACGCCCCAAGATGCATAAAGCATTATAAGCCTTAGGGTAGGATTTATTTACTAGAACATTGGGCTTGCAAACAGACCACGTAATCGTTAATCATGAAGACAAGCACTCAGATCGGGGCACAGCAACCTAGGTAACACGCAACTCACATATTAAATCCAATCTGAGTACATAGACCTACTTATGCATTTTAGCTGATCTGTTCATGACCTTTAACTCTTGCCTCGCTGACCGAACCTCTACGTAACTGAACGACCCACTACAACCCACAATTCCGTTTTTTGAACTGTGAAAGGAGTGGTTCCACCGTTTTACGGATTTGGTCAAGAACTGTGATCACAATCAGCAGCAGTGGCGAGCTAACAGTGCGAAATTAATAGACAGATAACAATGATCCACCTCCACATTCGTCTCGATCTTGCCCGGTTTATTCCCAAGCTTATCAGACTTTGGCGGAAAACACATGACTTGAAGCCACCAAACTCGGGACTGGCTGAAGTTGCCATAGAGTTTTCGACACCTCATTCATATATGCATAGCTTGCATACCCATTTCCACAAAGGGAAAAGATAAGCCGTCAATTGAACAATAAAGAATCGATGACACTCAATCATTTCACACGGATTCCCAAACCGAAGCGAGGGTTGCACATCTCTCGGGTTCTAGACTCGACGCGGCTGAAGCTTCTCGGGTTCTGAAGCCGAGGGGTCTCACTACCGAGAGGATCATGCGGGGTGACACTGACACCCGCCAATTGACTTCGCGCATTCTCTTTATCTGTCCCGAAGCGGTCCAGAAGCCGATCAGGTGCCTGAGTCTAAGCCCAATGGAGCGGAGAAGCGATATCGTTCGATGCTGCGTTACTGGTGATGTCTGCTTGACGGAGGATGCGGCTTCGGTCTGCGATACCGCTACTCGGCGAGCTGGCCAATCACGGAACGACAATTAACATTGCTATCTTTTCATATCTCTGGCTGAAAGGGTCGGGTGATCAGCGTCACAAGACCTGCTCAAGCGTGCACTATCAGAACTCCCGAAGACCAGCCTCATTATGACCAAAGTACGCATCCGATACGCTGTCATCGAGAGGGGTTCAACCCGGAATACCGGGGTCGTTATCTTCTAGCCCGGGTTCTACAAGGCACACGATTGTCTATAAGAAAGTGCTATGCCTGTCTTGTCAAGCTACTCTCACAAGCAAGATAACGCTCACCAATCTCACCAAACCTTATCTCCACAAAGCCCAACACACAATGTCAACTGCGAATAAGCTCAAGGTGAACGTCGAGAGCGACAACTTCACCGAAACAAGCCACCGAAGTCCCGTCCGTGCTCTCCCTTCAACATGGTACAACTCTCCTGAGATGTATGAGCTCGAGAAGCGTGCCATCTTCTCCAAGAAGTGGCTGCTTACTACCCATCAGAACCGTTTTCCTAAGGCTGGTGATTGGATGAAGTTCAACACTACCGGCTACGAGTTCGTCATTGCCCGTGATCGAAAGGGAAACCTCAACGCCTTCCATAACATCTGCCGTCATCGCGCTTTTCCTGTCGTTCAAGGTGGACAGCAAGGCAACTCTTCCATTTTTGCATGCAAGTACCACGGTTGGTCTTATGGACTGAGTGGCAACCTCGCCAAGGCACCCAATTATGATCAGCTCGAGAACTTTGACAAGAGCAAGAACGGTCTTTTCAAGATCCATCTGAAGGTCGATGCGTATGGCTTTGTTTGGGTCAACCTCGACAGCTCTGAGAACCCGGAACCATGGACTCGATACTTCGAGGGTATTGATCAGCAAGAGCGTCTTGAGAAGGTCAACTGGGATGACTACACTCTGGACAATGAATACAGCATGGAGGGTGAATATAACTGGAAGATCTTGGCGGACAACTTCAACGAATGCTATCACTGTCCCACGACCCATCCCGATCTTCCTACCCTTGCAGACCTCGGAAAGACAAAGTGCGACACCGGCGAGGGATGGATCAAGCACTCGAGCATTCAGACTGAAGAGCAGAAGAAGAGCGGAATGCAACTCGCAAGCACATACTTCTACCCCAGTGCTTCAGTAGTCGTCCTGTAAGTACCTGATATCTTCCGACCCTGGGATCCTCTAACACCATACAGTCCTCACTTTATGATGATCCAGCGTTTCATGCCACTTGGACCTACCACCTCTTCTATGCACTATCAAATATTCCGCAACAAGAACTCATCCGAAGAGGACTTCCATAATATTGCCGATCTCTATGCACGCGTTGTCTCGGAAGATAAGGACTTGTGTATTGGCGCCCAGAAGAATCTCAATGCAGGCATCTTCGTTAGTGGAGAGTTGCATCCACGACTGGAACATGGTCCACTATCATTCCAAGAATCTCACCGACAGGCAATTCACGAGCATGCCAAGCTTGAGAGGGAAGCAGGCAGGCAAATCTGGCCCGCAAGACAGCAGTTGCCATCAAATGAGGCTGCTGAGGCTAACAAGGAGGACGAAGCACTGTGTTCGAGCTTGTCTTGTGGTGGTATCCAGGAGGTGTTGGCTTGGTAATATAAAACTTAGTAGGATACAAAATTGCGACTAAGAGAAATAGATTAGATTTTCATATCAGATAGTTTATAAGAATGCAAATGACTTTAAACCTCTGTTTAATTAAGTCTCAATCTGTTAGCAACATGCTATGATTTTGTGACAATACTTTATTATTTAACTGCTTTGCTTATATAACTCTAGCACTAGATTTAGTGAAATGAAATTCCAGTACCGTGGGTCGCATTGTCTCGGCTATGACACTGCAATTTCTTTTATTTCCGTATATCCGTCTTTGACCTCGTACCATCTCTAGTGTTTTCTAGATTTCAAGACGTTAAATATCCACTCTTGCAAGGAATGACTAAAAGTATCACAAGTTGCATCATCTATATATCCGGACTAACGTCATTCTTTAGCAATTTTAGTATTATAAAAGGGCGCTGTTGTCATGCACTTTTCGTTGTTCACGTTGACGTACAGACTTTATACCTATTACTTAATTCTCCAGTTCTCTCTTCTCTCGAACGACAATCATGAAGTTTGAACCAGCTATTCTTATTCCTGCCTTGCTTGTCTGCAACGTAGCTGATGTTACTGCCAGTAGCAAGCTCTTCTCAGGTGCTACTATTATTGCCTGGGATGAATCTGAGCCCGAGCCTCGGGTCCTTCGCGATGGCTATTTATTAGTCGAGGACGACCGGATTGCAAAAGTTACTACTTCCAAGCCATCTCGCCTGCCCAGAAATATCGAGGTCATCGATGCCACCGGCCAGATCATAAGTCCCGGCTTCATTGATACGCATCGCCATGGTTGGCAGACAGCCTTCAAGACACTTGGATCCAATACTACTCTGGCTCAATACTTTGGGCGATACGGAGAATTTGCAGCTGCACCCCATTTCAATGCCGAGGACGTTTACTGGGGACAGCTCGCAGGTCTCCTAGAGGCCCTGAATTCCGGGGTGACAACTTCGCTGGACCATGCTCATCACACTTGGTCGAATGAAACAGCTTATGCGGGTCTCAATGCCTCGGTTGAGAGCGGTGCTCGTGTATTTTGGGCATATACTTTCCATGACGTTCCGACCCTGAACTACACCGTCAAGGATCAGATTCCTAACTTTATTGAAATAGCTGAGAGTGGCCTTCTCCAACAAAGCAATGTTCAATTGGGAATAGCGTATGATTCCTTCGGCCCGAACCCTCCAGATGTTGCAAACGAAGTTGCAAACCTCGCACGAGAATTCAATGTCTCGGTTGTGACAACCCATTCTCTTGCTGGTCCCTTTGGAGTCTCTAACCTCCCCGAGGACGTTCACTCTTTTGACCTACTCAACACATCGATACCAGTTGTCTTTTCTCACGGCAGCTTCCTCACAGCCACTGGCGCCAATCTTCTTCGCCAAACCAACCAATATCTCTCTATCACTCCGGAATCGGAGATGCACTACGGACATACACATCCAGACTCTTACTACATCCAGGATCAGGCTGCTCTCGGCGTCGACACCCACTTTACCTATTCAACCGACATTTTGACACAAGCCCGAATCTGGTTGCAAAGTGTCCGTTATTTCTTCTTTGATAAGACACTCTCCGGATGGGAGGTGCCCAAGAACAACCCAATGAGTGTTGTTCAGGCCTTTTCGCTTGCAACTCGAGCCGGAGGTCTTGCACTTCGCCGTCCAGAACTTGGGGTCATCCGCGAAGGAGCAAAGGCAGATCTTATTGTGTGGAATGCAGCCGAGTCACCCTCACTTCTGGGATGGACTGACCCCATTGCTGCAATTATGCTGCACGCCAGCATTGGCGATATCTTGCATGTCATGGTTAATGGAGACTTTGTGAAACGGGACGGAAAGCTAGCTATTGCTCACTATTCGACAATTAGACGGAGGTTTCTTGAGAGTGCGAGGCGGATAAAGAGTGTTTACCGAGACTTTAATTACCCAACCCTTGATGGTGAGTTCAATGGAGGGGGGTTTTACTATGGGGAGGCAAGGGTTGCAGATACTGAGAGAGGCGAGAGTAATGGGTACGGAGAGCTACATCTGTTGAAAAGGTAGCCGGAGATTATCAACAAAGGCTAATGTTATGAAACTTGCTATGCTATATCTAGTAGGCTACGTAGACTGATTAAGATTCCATTGAGACTTGGAGGGGGCAATCGATACAGGCATCGCGGAATCTGGAGGCAAATGACTATTTTCAATTCCGCGCATAAGTGAGTACCTGGATATTAATTTCCGTGTCCTGGTCATAGTCAAATGACCGAAGTAAAAAGCTCAGTCAATACCTGTGCATTGCTCACACCAGAACCCCGTATTCCGCGAGATGGAAGATCGGAATATGGAGAGGGCGCAGTCCTCGGAATACCCGCTGTGGGGATCTTAGGTTACCTCCACAGGGTTAATCGGCACGAATGCAGTTAGTTTCAAGGAGTTCGGGCATCATTCCCTAGACCATGTTGTTCTTTACAGTTAAAATAATATATTTATTCAAGTGGTGTCCGCGATAAAAACGATAAACGCAAGTATCTCATCTTTATATTTAATGAATATATCAAGCTCATTCTCAACATCACAAAACCAAGACTCATTATGCTTCAAACAATTCCCATGCCAAGCCGGGAGCTAGCTGTAGCTTTGGCTGTACTCTCTCTGCTTCTGGTCCTAGTGCAAAGAGCAATATCAAGGCGTCGGGAAACTAAGCAACTTCTTCCTCTTCCCCCCTCACCTCCTTGTACGAACATTATCGCTGGCCATCTTCCCATCGTCCTGAAAGCAGCCAAGGAACATCGCCAGCACCTTCTTTTCCAAAAGTGGGCCGAGGAGTACGGCGAGGTGTTTTTCGTTCAGCTCGGTACTATCCAGGAGTACTTCATCAATAGTGACCAAGCTGTCAGAGCAATCTTCGACAAGGCTGCGGCCCAAACATCTGAGCGACCACGTTGGATTGTTAGTAACGAGCAGATATGCAACCGACTCAACCTTCTCCTTCTTAGCTCCAGTGAAAAAGCATGGAAAAGTCAACGAAAGGCCACAACCTTTGGGCTGACCAACTTAAATCTCGCTGATGCTGGTCTTCCATTTCTTCATTTCGAAACGTTGAAGTTCCTGAATGATATTGCTCAAAATCCCAACAAAGGCGCCGATCCGCAGTCTCTATGGTCGAGCATTGGTCGCTACACATATAGCACATTCTCGTCCCAGATCTTTGGCCTGGATGTCCCCGAAGACAATAGCCCTGTCATCGACTACATATTCGAAACAGGTCTAGCCCAGATTCTTGGTCTGCTCCCTGGCTACTATCTAGTTGACACTTTCAACATTCTTGACAAGCTACCACTGTTTCTGAAACCTTGGGAAAGGGATGCAAAGGCCAGACACAAGCGTGACTATGAGTGGTGTTGTGATAAACTGAAGGTAAGGTCCATCTCGGGAGCCCGGGGGCCATGACTCACACGATCATCCAGAAAGTAAAGTCACAGATTGATGCCGGAGAGGCTCCGCCGCATATGACTTTCATCCGAAGGGTCATCGAAGACCCAAACCATCTGGGACTTGACAGCCTCGAAGATGCCTCGTACCTGGGCATGATGCTAATAATCGGGGCTTCAGATACTGTAAGCTTTGATGTACCTCAACTTCTTGAAGCTGTAATACTGACAAGAGGACAGAGTCGGATATCGACTTGGTCATTCCTTGAGGCTATGTTAACGTTTCCAGATGTCTGCAATAAAGCGAGAGAGATAATTGGTAAGTCTGTTGAGTTGTTTCTTAACTTTCGTAGATCAAGGGCTATAAAGTATTAATGTAAATAGATTCGGCTGTTGGAGATAGGGTTCCCGTTTTCGAAGATCTGGAACGTGTACCATATATTCGTCAGGTCATGAAGGAATCTTGGAGATGGCGCCCACCTGTTGCCCTGGGCCATCCCCATACGACCACTCGAGATATAATGTATAAGGACTACCGCATACCAAAGGGAGCGAGGATACATTTGAATGCTTGGTAAGCATTGACATTGCTTTCGGTGAGTTCCCATGCTAATGTAAATCAAGGGCTATTCATCGAAATCCGACACGCTATCCGGATCCCGAAAATTTCATACCTGAGCGTTTTGAGGGTGACACAAGATCGGTGAGAAATAGCGAGGGCTCCAAGGTAGTTGATTGCATGCTGACTAGCCATCAGAGCCAGGAGAGCGCCGCATCCCCTGACGTTTCCAAAAGAGACCACTTTGTCTTTGGAGCTGGACGTCGCATCTGTAAGTCAATGGTTGAGACCAGCCTGCCTCGATCTCCTATTTACTCTGCCCTGCTATAGGTCCCGGTTACCACGTTGCGGATAGAAGCTTTGCTGTCAGTGTTATGCGCATTCTTTGGGCTTTCGACATTAGTTTGAAACCTGGAATAAAGCTTCCTCTTGACCCCCAAAGCTTTCCAGGCGATATGCCAGGCAACCCTGGACTTGAATTACCTGTCGTGTTGACTGTCCGGAGCCCTGAAAGACTGGCAACCATAAAGAAAGAATTCGAGGCAGCTGTTCAGAGCCGGGAAATGATGGAGCCATTGGCTGGCTAACGTATCTATTTGGATGTGTCGAATACAGATTTTACTGCTACCTTATGTTACTCGTAGTACAGTACCCTCGTTATAACTTCCCAATCTGCATCATTTACAAACTATTGAATCCTCTGTGACTCGGCATAAGACTGTTTCAAATATGGTCCTGTTCTCCAAGCTTGAGGCCAGGCAATATCTACCGCCAGCAATCTCGCAGTCTCACTTATCAGCCTGGCCAAGGCACCTCGATGCCCCAGAAGCCCAACTCCACTCAAGTACAGGCGTTTCTTCTCGTTCCCGGCAACCCAAGACCTGACGTCTTGATTCGGACTGTCCAGTCGAAGAATCGGAAGTCCATCTGTATTTCCAACAACTTCCTCACTATGCTCGATCAAAGCCCAGATAGAGATAGCGCTATGTAACAAGGCTGGCGCCTCATGATGGGCATTGGTGCGGCTCGAGCGAATCTGGGACCAAATGCTGCACGCATGGACCAGAGCCTCTCGTGCACTGCCGGTATGGGAAATCCATCTCTTAAGTTTCTCAATAACTACTGAATGTTGGGCTTCAGTGACCCGCCAACGTCCGAAAGCGATAACCTCTCTAGTCGGGAAGTATATTAAGAGAGAAACCATGTGAATGCTAGTCATGACAGCTCGAGTAAGTGCTGTCGGTGGCAAATTCGCGACATGTCGCTGCAAAATGTCCAAATATAAATGAGCATGGCGAAGCCAAGACAAATCATTTAGAATACCCATGACCAGAAGAAGCGAGTTAAACGCATCAAGCTGGCTAGGGACCTCACGATAACGGTAGAGGTTGAGGAGCACTTGTCGTAGAGAGATAAATTGCTGAGAAGGTATTTCTAAAGGCGATGTCAGTTCAGACAGTTTACCAAGTGTACATACAGGGCATACCGTCTGCGAGACTATTCTGCCACATCTCGTCAGTAGACATACCCCAGACATATTCATTAACCGGCATGGGAAACTGGAGAAAGTCAATTGGAATCGTTGATGAAAAGGCGAAGAAGCCAACTTGCTGGCTATCTACAAGCTAAGGCAGAGTCAGATACCATGATTCTCAGCCTTGCTGAAGGCCAAGTAAATGAGATGTAAGACACTTACCCACGCGCAATAAAACAATCGAATTTCTAATTGGGCCCTGATCCATGCTTTCCAGCCTTGAGATACCGTGTTTTCAGCGACTGATGACTTTGCTAAGTTGTGTGAGGATGAAGCAATCTTTCGGCATTGGGTTGTAAGTTGCGCCATTGTCTCATGAGCACATTCTGCGAATCTTAGGTCCCCGCCGTACATCATGCCGATCTGGTTCAGGACAGAAGCCTGAGCAACACTGATACTGGGTGTTGAGGTCTGACTTCGCTCCAGCTAGTAAGTAAGCTTTGTCAATATGGATTTTATTTGTACAAGTCAATACCAGTAACCAGAAAGGATGTACTAACCTGGATTCGAATAGCTCGGCGTAGAAATTCCTGCATAATTGGAAAGACTTCTTTTGACCGCAAGGTTTTCGAAAACAGGCACCCAATCGATGAAACGGCAAGGCTCAATAGCCAGTCGTCCTTGTTAGGTGAGAATGTCGCCTTATGGAGTAGAGGGAAAACAGGGTGATACTCTTCAAAGTAAACTTGCATATAGATCTGCATATGCTGCAGAGATGGCAAATGTTTGTCTGTGAATGGGATGCAATATGCATTGTCGCTATTGAGTTGTTCAAAGTTGGAAACCATGACTTGATAAGCTTCATCATTAATATCGGGCACATGCCCGTAGTCTTCTGCCCTCCATGGCTCAAGCTCGGCATCATCTCTAACAGAGGAATACGAAGTGGTTTCGGGCGATGTCTGGTTGCTTTGGCCTTGAGAACTTGAAATGTCCAAGGACTGAGTAAAGTTGGGGGTCGGGGTTTCGCATTCGAGTTGATGGACCATGGGCTCACTGTCCATAGGGCACGGTATTGCCTGGACGTCTGATTGGCCGAGTAGCTCGCTTGGACTCTGGAAAAAGAATGCCATGGGGTGAGGTAGTTCGAATAAGGGGTTGTCGAGCATGGAGTGCATGGAACTGTTCCAGGGAACATCGATACCCAGCGACGCCCAGCCTTGCAAGTCCAATTCTCCAATCTTAAATGTAAGATTGTTGGTGGAGACTCCATCAGGAAAGGTTTCCTGCCCTGAAGCCAAATTCATCTCTACAAAATTGTTGCCGACGTCTGTTGATAAAGAAGGAGGCTCACCGATCGCTTCAGACGCGGGACTGTGAACACTCGGTGCTGAGTTAAGTGGTAAAGGGCGGGGCTGGCTCTGGACCACGGGTAAAGTGTTATGTGAATGGCTCTCTCTGCTAGCGGAAGGGGACTGGGGGCTGGCACCACGGGTTGAGTTCTGTCCCTTCTGCAGCAAATGGCGATACACACAGTCAAGGTTCTTGAGAGAACACCTTCCACATGGTGAATGACCGTCACAACGTTGTTTGGATCGAGCACAGGACACACAAGCCTTGGCTACATAGGCCACCCTGCGAGACCTACGAGTCATCCTGGCAGGATCATGGGTGAGTAAATGCTGATTCAGAGTATCCCTAGCATTTGTCAACCTAATTGTTGCCAAGATGGGATATGGTATTGCTAGTGACTCACTTCCGTGTGAAGGTACTATTGCAATCTTGGCAACTATAAGGGCGAATGTCTAGATGCCGTCGTTGATGCCGTCGAAGATGCTCATGTCTAGCAAAAGTGGCACCACAGTCACGACATGAGAGAGTCATTGCAGCGAGGTACAACCGATTACAGGTTGTAAGGGACAGAAATGCCAATGTTGGAGAGTCAACGGCTTGCCTCATAAGTATACGTCTTTTATTTCTGGAAGTGGACGGGAGTCGCGGGATAATTAAAATGCGGGGCTGCGTCACTGATCTAATTTGCGGGGTTGCTATACGTGCGCGGCAAACATACCGGTAGACGATCTCTTGGGTAGTGGCGATACTTTAAATTGGCTAGTAGAACTAACCTTAGTGCGAATAGAAATACAGAGCCGATAACCTTACTTTTTAAAATCATTCAAAAGGCTCGCACGGAGTATAAATGCAACATTTATCAAGGAATCTTTGCCAAGACGGCGAACCCCTTGTTTTCTTCCACTCCGAATGGGCTTGTAAGTAGCATTGATTCGCTTAATACCAGCCTCTAAGTGGCTAGTTGGTGATGGACCTCAAATTTATAGGCAAGGAATATCCGTCACATGTTACACTGCACCTGGGGAATGTCGAATCAGATCATGAACTTGAGGGTAAGCCCCAAAGCTTTGCGCACAATTAAAAGACGCATTGATCTCTCTCAGAGCGCGGCTTTCTTCTTCGCTGCCGCTCGTCTCCGACTCTTGTCTATTACGGTGCTGCTGCAAGATGTCTCAAAAGAGCCCCAAGAGCGGTTCGCCGAGGTCTCCACGGTCTCCCCAGAGTCAGGGACCTATCGCAACTGTTGCACAGGCGCTTGAAGTCGATGATCTTCCCGAGAGGGAGGAAGATGACCCAGGCCTTGGCGAAGACTTCGAAAGCTCAACTACCTCCATCACTTCAAGCATCCTCCACTATCGTACCATCAATGGTAGGACGTACCACAGCGAGAGAGGGAACGCTGCCTATTGGTAACATCATTTATTATGTGACCGAAAGCAAAGCTGATATTGCGCCAGGGGCTCTAATGATGAACGGCAAAGTGAAGCCATGGACATTGCGTAAGATTTAAATCCTTTACTGAGCTCTGTGAACTAATACGTATAGGCATCACATGTTTACTCTTTCGCAAAGTGGAGAGCTGCACTTGGCTCCTCTCAACGATCATATTCAAGTAAGTCGTTGGGTTTTCCAGGACAATGAGCCCTAGACTAAGGCTATCCGTTACTGCCAGAAGGTGCTTGACGTTGGATGCGGAACAGGTACGCGACTCCTTGTAGCAAAGTCATCTAGAGTTGCCATACTGATATTCCATCTATCTCACAGGCATATGGGCTATGTCAGTAACTGAAAGATCCAAAATTTCCAGCCTTACTGACCTGAAAGTGATTTTGCCGACAAGCATCCCGGGTGCGAAGTGATAGGGACGGACATTTCTCCCATTCAACCTTCATGGGTGCCACCTAATGTCAAGTTGTAAGTTGCGACCCGTTCACGGAATGATGGCATTGTCTCATCTTATGTACAGCGAAATTGAGGACTTCAACCAAGACTGGACCTTTCCCCCAGAGTCATTTGATTATGTCCACCTACGCTATTTAGTTGGATGTGTTCCAAATTGGGATAATCTCTTTGAACAGGCCTTCAAGGTTCTTAAGCCGGGCGGTTGGGTCGAGTCCTTTGAAGCCTCAGCTATCATCGAGAGTGATGACGATAGTGTGAAGCCCGACTCGGCATTAGCACAGTGGGGACCTATCTTCATCAAGGCCTCAAAAACAATCGGAAACACATTCACTGTCGTGGGTGACAATCTTCAGCGACCTGGCATTGAGAATGCAGGATTTACAGATGTCGAGCAATGGGACTCAAAGGTAAGACATTCTTCCGAGATAGACAAGGATATACTGACAAGTCTCGCCTTTAGTTACCATTGAACCCTTTCCCCAAAGATCCCAAGCTTAAAGAAATGGGTCAATTTGGTGAGCTGTTCAGTACTCAGGACACTGAAGGGTTGGTGTTGTTCGTTGCCAACACTCTGGGATGGACCCCCGAGGAGGTCCATGTATATATCGCCAAGTTCCGGCGAGAGATCAGAGACAGGAGGAATCACCCGTATATTCGCCTAAGAACTGTGTGGGCCAGGAAGCCAGAGTAAATATGAGGTTGCTTATTTGTTCATATACTGGCTTGGGCAAATGCCCGCTTTGGAATTAAGATACGTGATCTATGTACGTTCGGGTTCCTGAAATGCTGCATAAAATTGAGGATTCAAGTATGAAGTGAGGGACAGGTCTGAGCCCTGGCACGCAACTGCGAAGTAGGTCTGAACCCCAGTCGCTTGGTCAAGCTGACCTGACGGTGCCAGCATATCCAACGCACGAAGATACGATTGCGAGTAACCCCCATGTCCATGCTCTTCAAGATACCCTATGAGTCCAAGAGCAGCTTGGAGGTCGTTATTAGCGTAGTGCCGAACTGGTATATATGCCTTGACCTCGGGAATCGGAGATTTTGGTGCGACGTCAAAGTTAAATACCGCGCCGGCAGTCAGATGATCCACCTTAGGTAGCTCATCTTCAGGTGACGTATTAGGGTTGAGGCCAAGCGTACGTTTCCATAAGTCGGAAAACTTCTCCAGAGATCTATTCAAGTCTGTTCGAAGTCCACCAATGGTCATAATGTCCCGAACAAAGCGGAAAGAAGTTTGGTTGGACCTTGCGTATATCTTGAGCCGCGAAACAGCAGGTTTGACGAGGTCTATGGCCAGCATGAACGGGTGGAGTTGTCTTCCGTCGTCGCGACAGAAGAAATATGCGTCCACGTGATTTAAAGCCTCGAGATTTGGACATCCCGATGTTTCAATCGCATGTTTTATCTGGTGCCAGGCACTGAGATCTGGTGTTTCGACTGGTATGAAATACACTTTGATCGACAAGTGACCGTGTAGCATTTCCAAGGCCGCGAAAACAGTTGAACCCTTTGTCGAAATTCCAGAAGTGGACGTTGTGGGAGACCCGGGGCCCAGCAGATTATGCCAGAAATGTTCAAACCAGGTTAGATCGAGTTCGGGAATGATTTTGGCGAGGTTGTAAACAAGATTCCTCGTTGGGATTTGATTGAATGGATCTTGCTTGCTTCCAGCTAAGGCACTGACAAGTTCAATGGCGTATCTAATGTCAGGCTTCTTGCTTCCAGAGTTCCATTTCCAACTATATTCAATGGGAGAGTGGTCATCAGTCATGAAACTTTTCGAGGGTGCCATGCTTGACCGTGGCCTGGGTCCCATTCCCGGAGCGACCCATCTGTATAACAACAGCAGAGCTTCGTACTGCTCGTTCAAGTCATATGCCGCTTCTGTAAGGAGGGTGTTGAGTTGTCGACCGAGAGTCTTCCACCACCAATCGCTATCGATCGACAAAGGAGGGAGCCATTTATCCAGAGTCTTCCATGTCAATGGAGTGTTCTCACGGGGTTGCAACAGCGCTTTAAAATGTTTTGTTCGCGTCATGATACAAGTTCATGCTTCTCTCGGAACTGCGGGGGTATGAGTGTTCCAGGTAGCGGGGTCGATCCCCATTTATGCTGTCTCGCATAACAGGTAGACACTCCCGGCACAAAGGTAAAAGTCTGCGCCAAATGTACAAGTTTCAGTCAGTACCCCAACGGAAATTGAATCAGTCATCTTGCAGTCGCGTTTCACGAGCTCTGTCATTGACTCAGAGTCGTTTAGTGCTGATTTAGCATTGATTGATTTAGGTATGCTATTAAACAGTGGATTGTACTCGGTATGCACACGATAGTAAGCGAAGTTTATATTACTAAATGTGGCTATAACTGATCCACTTTAGACACTATGTTTTGTGTGGCTCATATGTTACAATCATCCTCCAACATGGAGTAAAGAGACTGAGAGTAACGTGCGAGTGGAATAGTGGTTTTTTGAAGGCGTTCGCGGAATTCTTCCGCAGTAGAAGTTCTTGTTCCACTAATCCTTGGATTTTTTGCTGGAACTTAACTCTCGGGCTAGCCTGAAATAGAAATAATCTACGCAACTCGTTGAGACAAGCCAATCAGAGCGTTTTCAAACCAGTCTACGCGCCTACTTTTACAAGCTTGTATAAGAATATTGGCTAACACTTGCTCGAAAATGTAGTAATTGGCGCCCAGAGATTAAGAAAGGAGGCCTCACCCCTCTTCGTGCTTTTACTCATTTTCAATTAACACTTAGGGCTACTATCGCGTTAAGATGATTGAATCAACTTCGGGATTTGTTAAGTCATCGATACCACTGTACCACAGTGCTCTGAAATCTTTTATATTTAAATGCGCCGAGTTGCTTATGGGCGTCTTTGTTTTTAAGCTCTTCTCGCTAATTGCTGCCCGATCAAACCAATTCACAGCATATCTTATGTTTACGGAAGACTACATCCAACAACTATTCTTTATCTCCTCCCGGGGCATTTCGCGTGGTGGGCTAGTTGTTTTCTTGTTTAGCCTTCTAAGCATTACCTCATCCCTCTATGGCACACTTCTTTGGGCTCTGGATTCACCAGGCTACATCTTCCAGGCAACAGACACGACCGTGGCTGCTTACCAACGCCAAAGAAACGAGCATCCTCCTTATATCATACAACTAGCTCTAGATCCAACTGAACTCGGAAGCACCTCGGAAAAGCTCCCACAAATTATTGGTGCTGAACTGTTCAATCCGGGTCTTAACTACAGTTTGACAGGGAAAGTAGACAACAGCCACGGAACACCCGAAGTGGTCGCGCCAACACGACAGGGGCACGGTGTCGGTGCCCGTATATGGTTAGATAGTGACGGCTTCTCAGTTTCTCCTGACACCAACGCCATGATTCCTTACACCGATACTATGAATTTGACTTTGTTTAGTTCATGCATCGTGTTTGATGAAGGGTCTGCTGTCTGGAATTGCACATTCAACAATGCCGAAGCACAGAGCATCATTGAAGGCATAACAGGACTGCCTGAGATTCATTGGAGCGACGCGACTGACGAAGACATGGATTCAAGATACGTCAGGCCCAACAGGGTCGACAACATTTGGGTCTCACTGGGCACTGGTGGAGGTTCAGCCCTCCTGAACCAAGTATTTACTGCAACCAAAGAAACAAGACGGCACACATTTCTTCAGTCCACTTTCAAGGCGACAATGCTCACCACTCCCGGTGTTCCGTTTGGCCAATTTGAAGTCGCCGACTTCATCAACCGGACTTGGAGCACTAGTACGGACCAAGACAGTACGAGAGAAACCAACCCTCTGATGGGCCGTATCACCCACGACATAATGGGAGCTCAGGATCAGGGCGCCAGTTACCAGTTTGGTGCAAACATAGCTGATAACAATAATAAGTCCGTTCTTCAAAAGAACTGGGGTTATTATACGCCACAAGTCAATAACAACAGCATGTATTCACTCATCAGCATTACCACCACAAAAATCAGCCTCATTCGATCGGAAACACTTCCTGAGGCCCCAAAACCTTTTGAGAGATGTGAAAGATCCAATTTCCAGAATGAGGCATTCGGTGGAAAGGTCACGCAGACTGACTGTGCTGGTTCTAAAGCTGCAAGTGTCAAGCATGGTTTCTTTGGTCAAGTTGATACGGCTGCGGTGATGATCACGCGTGGTTTAGGTGCTGCACGATCAAACATCAGTGCACAGTCGCTTGACGAAAATTCCCTTGCTTGGCTATGGAAGAACTCTAGAGCAATTGAGTCATTGCTGGCTGCTAGAGCTTACAGTGTCGGAATTGACCCGTCACTTGTGGAACTCAGTGTTGATCAGCTCATGGTCGCTATGTCTAGCTTGCAGCTCTTTTTAACCTGCCTGGCTTTGGCGCTTGCTACAGTTATCTGGATAGGCCTTGCGTATGCTGCCGATGAACACTGGTCCAGCACTCTTTTCGGGAATCTGATTTATACTCCTTCAGAAACACATAAATCAAACCCAGGATATATCAAGAGAGCTCCAGAGGTAACCTTGTTGCCCATGGGCCGGAAGAAGATCTTGGCTGTGGATGGGGAGACGTTGACTACATCAAGTACGGTATTGACGTCGATGCAGCCTTTCACGACTTCTAATTCATTGACGAAAGGTCCCAAAGGCCATACAGAAGTAGAACCTTACTCATCAAGCTATGGCGACCAATATCGAGGGCAACAAAATCTACTATTAGGTAGTGAGCTTAACAATATATATAGGTATTAATATTATTATTTACAATACTTAAATTCTAAACTTCTCTATATAAGACTTACATTAATAATGTATTTACTTTAATCTTTATTTATATAATAATTTAGATTATATGGTAAAGACGAAGCCTGTAAAGACAAAGAGTTAGATTAGTAGTTATACTTTTTTACTAAAATGAAAACATACCATTCTCCTGCCAGTCTTGATGTATAATGAACAGTCACTGCAAATTGACCTTGCGATAATTCTATGTCATTTTCAAGCCTTAAAAGCAGGTTGTTGACTTCTTGGTGAATATCAGTTGGACAGCAAGGGCTGCTCTTAATGAACGCCAGGGGTAGTACTATACACCGAGCCATTTTCGGAAAACGAGGGACTGTTTCCTCCTCGGCGATGAACTTGGGCGCAAAAGCAAGAACCTTTCTGGAGATTTGATAGATCTTCCCCACAGCATATGCAGCCAGACGTGGCTGGCCGTCCTTACAAGAGATTTCACCAAAGAGTGAACTGCTAGCCTGGCGAATTATCTGCAGGACCTCAGGGTGACTGTCGTACATTAGGCCACCGCTCCAAATAATCTCGTTCAGCGCCAGTCGAAGCATCGACATTCCAAATAACCACCGAGCCATCACTGCCAAAGGTGGAGCGCCCGTTGTGCTGTGAAGCATAACGGTGTTGGCAAGAGCTTGATTATCTGTCAGTGGAAATTTTCTGCACAGCCCTTGTTTTACCGGACTTGGTGATGGTTTGAACCCTTGGATGAATAGGTCTGCGTCCCGCTCGGTTTCTATAGCTTGGCAGATGAGTTCAGCGGTCAGTCCGTTTTTTAATTCGGCCTTGATACTGCAGGTTCTGTTCATGATTGAATAGTGGTCTCGAACAGCCTTGGGGAAATTGAATCCCTCATTAAATTCTTCCTCCAGTTGAATAAGATCTCGAGGAACCTCAACAGCGCGGTGAATGCAGCTGACACGGATGTTGTAGGCAGCATGGATACACATACGTCGACCGAGGGTGTCTCCGAATTGTTGAAGTCCTCGTAAACGCAACAATGCAATAGTTCCAAGAGTATGAGCTGTCCAGCTATTGATGTTCTCTTTGCCAGTGGAGACGATTGATTCGAAGAGACCCAAGGTAAGCACAGCACCAAGGGTGGCATTGAGCATTGCCGTGGCTGAGTCAGCAAGGTTCGCATTGGTTTGTTCCAACGCCGTTGAGAACTCCTTGAATGCGAGACTTAAGGTCTCTTGACTCCGATGACGTCTGGCTAGGGCAGCCAACGATGCAGCTCGTATTGTTGAGACCAGAGCGCCTCGTGTACAGTTTTGCAAGACAGCTTCGGCATATAGCTGAGGTAGGTAGCTCCCATAAACTGTGCTATCTATATATGAGACTATAAAGTAAGGCACAGCCTTATCAATAGTTGGGATACTGATGGCCTGACTTGGAGAGCTCAGAGAATTTGGTGGTGAAGGTGTAGAACGTTTCGCAGCTTGGTTGGCCTTTCTTTTGCTGGTTCCGGCAGCTAAAAACTTTGTCTCATCTCTGAACCGCAAGTCCCAGTCTGTCTCGTACCCAGGGCATTGGATTTTTTGGCGGGAGCATTGTGAACACCCTGGCATAGCATGATCGCACTGACGGACACGTATCAACCACAGTAGCCAGCGAGCAGGGGAAGGCGACAATAGTGAAATTTTACCTTTCTTCGTTTCTGACGGCATGGGAGGCAAGCCGTTGATGGCTTTCCGGTGTACCCCATGATTGATTGGAGATCGATTGCCTGGATGAAGATGGCAGTCTGCGTTCTAGGAGAAATCTTACCCAGATAGGCAAAATGTTCGAATTTCAATTGTCAGTGGGAAGCGCAGGACATAAGTAACAGTAAGAAATCAGGGCAGCGCGAGGTGTGTCTTTGACACAGCCATATTAATCTCACCACGGGCAACGACTAATGGGAATTTATCGCGACCGACAAATTCCATGAGGTAAGTGGCGGAGATCTGTCCAAGCGTCCTCCCGTAGCGTCGAAACTTTCTCCAGCATTGGAAAGGATCTACCAGGCTCCGGCTGACCCAGACTAAGCCTTTAGTCAAATGGAGATTAGGTGAAGAACTTGCTGTCCACAGGCTCTGTAATAAAGATACATGGAATCGAATGCCCAAATGAATGAGTTTTAGTATCTATATACAGTTAAGGATTAAGAAAGGTCTACAATCGTTCTTTTGCGTTTTGAGGAGCACAATAAATTGTTCGATGCTTGCCAACAGAAGCATCTCACAAATCATTCTATTCTTGTTAGCCTTTTGGCTCTGATTACCAGGGCTGTGTTAAAACCTTCCTTGTGTAAAAGGCCACCAATAGTTAGAGTCAAGAACAGCACATATATAGGGCGCCATTCAGGCTCATATGATCAAGACCTGTTCCTTGGAGTTCCATATGCCTGTTCAACACCCTCGTTTTCACACTGCTCAATCTCTCAACATGCACAAACAGACAAGCAACCTGTTCTTAACTACCCCACTACATTTATTAGTATATTATAAGTCAATCCTTCACTTTTATGTAAAGGGCCTGACATCCGCCATTGCGAAGCAATCAGAAGGCTCATTACCGGCTTGTCCCCTAATTACCGGCTTGACGCTCTTGGTTTTCGGATTTCGGAAGAGGTTGCTACGAATACCGACATCGGTTTTATGGATTCACGTTTTGCATTCCATTGGCTTTGAGAAAAATATTGTAGCATTCGGTTGAGACCGACGCATGTCACGATATGGCGATTGAGCGCAGAAGTCTTTCCATCAGCGACCATGTGACACGTTTGTAGGCAGAGACGACAGTTTATTCCGCGAAGTTATTATGGACAGTAGAAACTCTCAGTATCTTCAACCTTAAGATAAAGGGCTACTAAAAATAACCGGGCGCAGCAATAGTGCGGATGGCCTACTGATTGATAGTTAGAGCTTATGACACCTCAACGAGACATATCAAGCCAAAACACTAAAAAGTCCAAATTAATCGATCCACTTGTCTTCCGGTATCACCATTTCAGAGTCATACTTGCGCAAGTTTTGCATGATCTAGTGCCTCGTGAGAAGACAAAGGAGGGTAGTTAACCACTATGGCCTATACTGGTTCTCGGTCAATATCAAGTAGTTCCTTTAAGAAGCATATTGGCCTATAGTGCGATTTGTAGGAGAATAAAATCAACGGATCAGAGACACTCTCTATTACTTAATGCTTTCTATTAATTCAAGATAAAGCTTGCCCCAGAAGTACTTTAATGCTTGAACGGTAAAAGGATGTGAGACTTGAGTAGTGTTTGGCTATAAGAAACCAGCATCACGCCATATGGAGTAATCTTGTGCACGTGGTGGTTGCGACAATTTTGCTATGTGGAGGCGTACGATAATAGTCAGCTACAAAAAGATCTATATGCAAGTCATCATTGAATTTGGAACAATAATCGAATGTTCTGTCCCATTACTTCATCGATGATTTCTCGGTCAGTCGGTGAGTGAAACGTTCCTTGCAAGCCAGCGTCACATCAAGCGCCTCGGAATTGTTTGAGACATTTAAAAGCGAAATTGGTGTTATGATCCGCAAATGGGACCTGCAAGACATGGCACGAGGCGATGTCATGACAAGAGCTCGAGAAACTCGGTGAGTTCTTGTGTCCGGCTGCCCGTCATCCCGCGTGCATTGATAACGAAAGTTTGGTAATCGTACCACTTCCATTGGCTGTGATCAAATGTCTAAGACTCGAAAGACGATGGATGACCTGCAAGGGTTGATGCCAGTTGTAATCTCATTAAAGTGCCGCATCACTTGGGGAGAGCTATTTCTTAGGGTTAGGCCAACAGTGAGACTTCCCCGGTGGGGGATGGAGAATGTCGCTGTACCGCTGAATTAACATTTCTGCGCCAAAGCTCAGCGGTTGACTGTTAGTGCCGGTGTTGCAGTTTGGGCCAATGCTGGCTAAATATGACCATCGCGAAACATCGGAACTGAATCATCTGATGACTCCGGGATATTCTCGCGGCACTCAATAGCCTCAATTCCTTTAGAGATCTTCATTGCACAAGAAAGTACAAAATTCACATCACCAGAGAATGATACGAAGCCAAGCCAAACAATTTACGGAGTACGTATCAGGATAATGGAAACGTCAATAAAACTCCGTGAGACAAGATCTCAGGCGCTTTGACGCGTTGAAACGTCCCGAGATGCGGCAGATACAAACAAAGCCTCATCACGGCACGAGCAAGCAGAAATCTAGCACGATCTCAATTGGATCTCTTTACAATTTGCAATTATTGGCAGCGCTGTAGAAGCCAAATTGAATCAGCAGATGCTCGATACCCAAGGCATGAAGAAAGCAGCCCATTTACTCCACAATCCACGCCACTTGGGCCCCAGCGTGGTACGAATCTGACCGGTCCTGAGGCTGGGGTTGGTGGCCTGACCTGATGGATCTGCTATACGGAACTCACCGGCGATATAGCAAGATATTGAGACAATTGAGGATAGGGATGGTGGGAATTGATATAAAACAATATCCAATTCATCTTGTTCAGACCATCATCATCATCATCATCATTCAGCACTCATCAACAAAGGGTCAAAGAGAAGCATTTCCTCTCAACTCGTATCACGGTGCTGCAACTACCATATATCAAATTTTAATTTCATAACGAACCTTCATCATGACGACCAACTCATTCGGTGGAGCTCTTCCTCGCTTTGATTTTCCCTCCCAACCAGCCCCAGCTGTATCCCGCATGGCCCGCATCCACAAAGCCCTCCCGGTTGTATTAGTCGCAGCAACAGTAGCTGGTAGGTCTTTCGCATAGCGCATCGCCAACACATTCTAACAATTTGCAGCCGTAGCACTCAAGACTACTAAAGAGGCCAGAGAGTCTCACACCTCGATTCCTGCCATGTTGTTCGGCCGCGCACCGGCTCAAGGCCTGGTACCTCAAGGACAGGGGATCATTGACAAACAAAATGTCGACTTGGGCACAAAGCCGAATAAGTAATGAACTGTGGGCATAAATGGAGACAAGCTGCGAGAGAGATGAACAACATGCAAGTCATGTGCATGATATACTGAAACTAGGGCTGGACCCAAGTATATCGTTTAATCAATATAAGGACTATTATCACAACCAACTCAAGGTTTCATAATATCATTGACGCATCTGTAGTAGAATGCATATCAACAGAGTTCCCGCTAGAAGGTTGCCACTGATGATATCTCGAATCTAGAAAGTCCGATAGGTCTTGCCATACATGCACCTAGTGATCAGAGGCGACAGCTAGCTCTGGAGCTTAACGCAACGAAGCTACAGTGCTATATAATTGATCAGGCATAGCGTCCTCATGGCATTTATATTTTGCAAGCATTCCAAGGACGGATATCGCTTATTTGCTGTCACTAGATGCTGTTCCACGTGGGCAATCAACAAATGTCATACCTTATTCTGTAACATGCTAAAGATTTAGTACAGGTGGTGGCTTGCTTCTAGGGCCCTTTCCAGCCGGTAGCTCCGCTTTGGACTGAGTCTCGACACAATAGACCTTGGTTGACTAGCTTCATCCTGTCTGGTCAAAGCTGGGGTAAAATCTGGGGTAACTGGATGTAGGCATAGCGCGAATGTTATGTGGCCTGACATTTGATGCATTACTCGGACGTGATTGAAGCTGAATGGCCAGGACTCGACCTCCCCACCAACTCCAAGGCTTCCCCTGAATTAGCGACGAGACTATTGAACGCCCACAATTGAAGCCCCATCCCATGTTCCTGCGCCCGTTGACTCTTAAGCGCAGAATGGTCCCAGTCTCTCGTCCCTTTGCCGGAGGTGCTCTCATCGACGGCCAATATGGCTTTATCGGCGACCATCGAGAAGGACATTGCTATCGCATGTATATGTTCTACTCTAATTTTATCAAGATGCGGCTATCGTATTTATCACTGGTGCAAGGGCCATGCAGGTTCCCATAGAATCTGGCATGCCGATGATATTTACATGGCCATCGCTCTGCTGCCTCTTATATCGCGCACCGTCTGCATCACTTTATCATTCCTTTTGAACCCCTCCAGCTCACGCGAGCCTGTAACGGAAGACGAGGCGGCAGCTCAGCACCTAACTGTCCAGGAGCTTGAACATGATCGGATCGTCGGACTACAACTACTAGTTGGCACCCGATTGAGTTACACTCTGATGTAAGACTCCTTCTGTGGATATCTAGTCGCTTACTGAGACGCACAGTCTTTGGATTCTGAAAGCTGCTCTGCTTTCATTCTACTCTCGTTTCGTTCGGGTGACAAGCTGGGGCAAGGCAACAGTCAAGGTGCTATGGTGCCTCTTGTTTGTTTCTTGTCTTGTTGTTATTGTATCGATATTAGCCGAATGTCGCCCTATGTCTTTGTAAGTGCATCATGGCTGTCTGGCTGTTCATTGTTAACCTTTGCAGGATGTGGAGGCTCACTTCTAAGGAAACGCGTACGTCGACATTTTCTTGTCGCTCTGCGATAGTAACCCTGATGTACCACTCAGACTGACAAATAACAGAACCTGTGTGCCAGAAAGGAATGGTTTACTTCTGGGCCCTGGCAGTAGGCAATATCAGCACAGATATTGCGTTACTGATACTGCCTTTCCCGACCCTCGCAGTGGCAAGATTGAACACGAGGACGTAAGTCAACGTCACGGCTCTTGTGGACATTACGCTTACAATTGCCAGTAAGATCCAACTTGGAGTCTTGTTCAGTATTGGTCTCTTGGTCATTGCCATCACAATTGTGCGAATACCGCTCATCCTCAACGATGCCATGTCACAAAAGGCTCGGTCCACTGTAAGTGTTTCCCGCCGGAGCTCACTCATACAAACTTGGAGTCTAACATCAATTAGTGGGCGACTATAGAAATTCTCTGCAGTTGCATTGTGGCAAACACGCCTTTCTTTTACGGGCTCCTGAGAGAGCTTGGGCAGCACAAGGGTACACAACCTTCAGCCACCGATCCGAGTAGATCAGAAGGTCCATTCTATCTGCAGAGCAAAGGAGCAGATCACCGCTCCTATGAACTGCAGGCTGCAAACAGTGATGGGAATAATAATTCACAGGAATTGATCATAATGCCATAATAATGTATCTCCTTAACTAATATTACCTATAAAACCGAGAAGCATCCAGCAATCGCTCACGCGTAATTTTGTTCACCAGTGCGAGGTGTCTTTGGCTCTGGAGGGAGCTCAGCTTGTAAAGTCTGATTACTGCATGTGCTGCGAGTCATTAAACCACTCCCTCTTCTGCTTGCCTTCTCCAAGGGCCGCTTCGGGGACGCCTTGCAATTCTTCGAGATTATCCAATACAGCCAAGATGCAAAAGACAGAGTCCGCAACCTTTCATGAAACTTTAATAGTAGTCCATTTGAACTTGCAACTGTAACTCCAATCATATCCTGTTCTGATTGTAGATCAGCTAAGATCGAGATAACTTCGGGTTTGTTCACTTATTCAGCACTATGTGTTCCGATTAAACCTGGTTATGCACATCGAAATGTCCCATGTTCATCCATGCTTCTTCAGCTACTTGTTTAGCAAAGTTCCACCGGTACTGAGTTTCTGTCGACCAACCACTCGACTGTCTTGTGCTAAAGGAGCCTCTCTTCCCGCCTCCTACAACCTTCGAAAATGACAGTAAAATCGGCATTACAACGATGGAGCGTATAACCTCCACGGTGATACTTTTTGCAGTTGTAATTTTCGGAGCTTCGACAATTTGGAACTGGAGCCAAGACCCGATTCGACCGCCGTACCCGGGCCCATGAGCCTGCGTTTCATACGGGATCCGAACAATGCTACGAGCCGCGCTCAGGGCAGCTTGCAAGGCCAGAAATGGAAGAATGGCTTACAAGATTGGAGTGAAGACGAGAAAGATCCTCTATGCTTTGGATGACACGCGGGTCGAGTCCAACATAGATATGACAGAAAGTGTTTACACCAGACATACCAGAGGGGGTATTCATGGTCAGCGGAACACCATTTACATTTATTTCTCTCCTCTCAATACAAAAGTCTCTGGCACTTCTATGTTCTCGGGGTTAAATTCCCGGGATGGCGTCCTCGTTATGATACAGAACCCTACTGAGCAACCTTGGGCTAAATCCGAGCCTTTAATACCGCGCGTCTAACCTCAAAGACCAGCATCACAAGGGTGAATCAAATTTGTCTTTGAGTTCATGATCGTCGGGGTTGGAACCTTGGACGGGCGATTAGTCAAATCCCCAACGTGGTTGAGTTATCGGTACTTCTGTGACCGACATTCCGCATGAACGCTTTTAGAACGCTGCGTAGATATGTTTTCGAATCGAGTCATCAATTCGACCCCTCAAAACCACCGTTCCATTCATTTGTACTCTGGTCAATTGTCAGACCATGTCTAACTAGGAGCGAAGTTGCAGCCATCATCCACGGCAAACATTTAAACTCAAATGATCTGCATGTAAAACCTCCGATGATGCCGAAATTGCAGGGTCATCAACCCAAGGGTTCATCGGGAAGTCAAAGCTCGAGTGGTGCTTTGACAACTGCCGGCTCAGAGTCGTATCTGCGTGGTCGTAATTAACGCATTAAACTCAATTTCCCCTGCTGATCTGCTCAATTCAGGCACATTGTAACAATGCTACATGATGATAAACATGCGGTAATTACATCTGTGACGTACCAACAAAGTAAATTTGAGCATCGGCACATGCAAATGCAATGCTCTATGGGTTAAAATGAGGTGCTGCCCAGTCAGTTGTTTCTGAGCATGTGGCATTCATTCATTCAGGCCATGATGTTGTTTTCACTCGTTCTTTGCACTCTTGTGCTATCAGCATTCGCTTCACCGTCTACACCCATCTCTGAGCAGAAATTAGGAGGCTTGCGGTATCCCAAACAGCGCGGCAAACATTATGACTACACCGGTTTTGAGCCCAGCCAGAAGAAACGCGCGGATGATATCATTGATATGTTTCGCTTTGCGTGGAATGGATACTACGAGCATGCGTTCCCTCATGATTCTTTGAGACCAAAGTATAACAACTACACGGATGATCGTAATGGATGGGGCGTCACTGCTGTCGATGGTCTTGATACTGCGATTTTGATGGAGCAGACGGATATTGTGGAGATTATTCTTGACTTTATCCCGACTATCAACTTTACCAAGACGAACACGCCTCAACCTACGTCTGTTAGTTTGTTTGAGACAAACATTCGATATCTGGGTGGATTGTTGAGTGCCTATGATCTTCTCAAAGGGCCATTCAAGCATCTCAAAGTCAACAAGGATAACGTTGACGCGCTTCTAAAGCAAGCTACTACACTGGCCGACACGTTGAAGTTTGCTTTTGACACGCCATCGGGAATTCCTTTCGGGTCGCTCTGGATTGAGAACCAGACATCCACCAACGAGGACAGCCTCGAGGATGGAACTGCCTACGCTGGTCTGGCTGCTATGGGCACTCTTGTCCTTGAATGGCAGCACCTTTCTGATCTGACTGGCGATCCTCAATATGGTAAACTGGCCAATCGCGCAGAGTCGTATTGGCTCTCCCCATCTTCCGAGGTCTGGCCTGGTCTGACTGGAGGTCGTTTCAGTCTCAAAACGGGTGAAATTCTCGATGAGTATGGCGGATGGACGTCGGGTAATGACTCAGCCTACGAGTACCTCATCAAGATGTATGTGTATGACCCAGACAGGTTCAGCCATTACGGTGAGCGTTTCACTCTGGCGGCCGACTCTACCATCAAGCATCTGATCTCTCATCCATCGTCACGACCCGACTTGACCATGGCAGCCGCTTTTACTGGTACCCAACAAGTCAATTACACCGAATTCCTCGCATGTTTCATCGGCGGATCATTCATTCTCGGAAGTTCAGCCCTAGACCGCCCAGACTGGCTCGACTACGGCCTCTCCTTCAGCGAATACTGCGCCAACGGCTACCGCTACACAGCATCCGGCATCGGCCCGACCCTCTACAGCTGGGATCTCAACGAGCTCGCGCAGCCCGAGAACAAGAACCAGACGCTCTTCTACGAGCGCGCGGGCTTCTTCATTCAGGAGGGAATCTTCTCGGGCGGCCAGGCACCCGAGGCCGTGGAGAGCTGGTACTACGCGTACCAGAAGACGCACGACCAGTACTGGCGCGACGTGGCGTGGGCGTACACCCTAGCGCAGAACAGGACGATGCGCGTTGGCGGGGGGTTCGCTAGCATCAACAACGTGCTGTCTCCGTCTGGCGACGGAGTGCGCGGTGGCATCATGGCTAGCTTCATGCTCGCCGAGACGCTCAAGTACATGTGGCTGATCCAGACGGAGAACAAGGGCGAATGGGATGTCCTGGAGGGAGGGGAGAATCTGTTTGTTTACAACACTGAGGCTCACCCGCTGCGAGTCGCTGCGAAGAAGCCTGTTTAACCTTGTTTTTAGAGATTCAGCCTAGCATTGAGCGTGGCGCTTTTTGGCGTCTCACTGCCTCCGCCGGTAGATTCAGTATCCGACGGAGGCGCAGGCGAGCTTAAAACATTGTTTTGTATCAATAGAAAATGTCTAATTGCGGGCTTTGCCAATATCAGCTGAACCAACCTCTTTTCCGTGACCTTTTGGCTCATTATGTGTCAGAAGACGGTGAAGTGGCTTCCCTGTTTCGCTTAAAAACACCCAATATTGTCTGGTTGGCGCTGCCAAGAGCCCCATAAGGCTGATGTGCCTCAAAGCATATTGGGTGAAGGGAATGTGCGTTTTCAGCTTTGGCTACTAGCGCATAATAAGCTCAAAGGGATGACCCTACTGCCGGGTCTAGATTCTGGGAGGGGAAGAGGGAGCTTGCCGAGCTGAGAGAGTGCATGTATATAAGGCAATGGCTAAATCTTGTGTTACGGCGGCATCTGCAGAAAAGAGCATCATAAGAGATATTGGCCATTGCCCTCTGTACTCCATTAAACTTCTTTCTTGCAATTGCTTCCGACCTCACACCGTCACCATGCGCCTGCTCAAAGGCCTTGTACTAGGTCTGCTCCTCGAGAGAGGTCTAGGCCAGACAGATACTCAGCCAGACGGTGACAGTATTGCAACTGTTGCCGACCCTGTCGAGACAGACCCCGCAGATGTCCCTGCTCCTGACCCGACTGTCCCATCAGATGGCGGTGCGCTCGATTGAAGCATTTACTTAACTCCTGCTAACAGGAACCAGACACTCCTTCAGATCCCCCAGACCCAGCAGATGATGGACCGACGATCACGTTAGATGACCCTCAGCCCACTGACGATGGATCCGATGCCAGAATCCCCGCTCCAGATCCCACTGATCAACCTACCGATGTTGAAGACCCTTCAGCCATTCCTGATGATCCTGCCGAGACAAATACAGATGATGAACAGCAAGCTCCCACTGATCAGCCCGCCCCAACCGACACTGAGCCCGCGCCCGCCCCAACAGACGTCGATGCCACCCAGACCGATGAGGAGACTCCCCAAGAGACAGATACCAATGGTGAGGAAGCTACGCAAACAGATGGTGACACCGATGCGACACCCGTCGTTCCAACAGAAGCCTTGAACTCGGCGGCCGAAGAGACCCCAGAGGCAACCCCTCTGGCATCCGACACCGCAGACGATCAAGTTCCACAAACGACCGAAGAGCCATCGGATGAAGAGACCGAAGAACCAACCGCTGACTCTGAGCCAGAGGAGTCCACCCAGCAGAAGACAAGAAATCTTGTAGCACCGACAAACACTGAGAATAGCGATGCGAAAACGACTGATGGCGATGGTAATTATTCACCTGCTCCTTATGCTAGTCCGACTGGAGGGGATGAGGCCGAGCAGACGGGCGATAGTGAACAGACCGCTGATGGAACAACCCGCAAAGCTGCAGCTACAGGTAGTGGAGGCAAGGAGGAGAAGACTACGCTTGCTACTTCCAAGGGCGCTGCGCCGACTTCGCCCGCTCAGGATTACGCAATTGATCTGAAAGAAGCTGATCTAGGCGACTACGCCGAGTTCCAAGGCGCAGGCGAGAAGACAGTCGTGTAAGTTCCCCATACCCTTTCTACCCCACGACTTGATCCATTAACTCCACCAGTGTTCTCAAACCCCCTCCCAACACCGAAGCAAAGTGCGATCTACCCCCCACAAGCGACGAAGACGTCCCCGAGGGTGAAGACGTGCGCGTCGTGCTCGCCGTGAAAATCGCAGACCTCAAGAAGGGCGTCAAGTCCGGTAATCGCTTGCAAATGCTCGTTGACGGTTCGACTGTCTATGATAAGGAGCTCCTGGGCACTGGGGATGAAGAGGAGAGTATTTCGAGTGATAAGTTCAGGGCTGCGCTGGATCAGAAGGTTAATGTTATTCATAAGGCGGGTGATAAGCCGGTGCAGGTTACGATTCAGGATGCGAATATTAGGAGTGCTGTTAGTGCGGGAAGTAGAGGGGGGAGTGGAGGAGGGTCTGGTTCTGGGGATGACGGTGATAACTCTGGTGATGGTGGCGATGGTGATAGCGGCTCTGGCGGCGGTGGAAGCGGAAGTGGTAGTGGAGGTGGCAGTGGAGGCAGCTCAGGCGATGGCGACAGCTCGGGCGGAGGTGCATCCGAGAGCGCCTCAGGAACCGGAGACGAGAGCTCATCCCCGTCAAGTGTCTCTGGCGGCGATGGTCAAACCAACGTTGCTGGCAAGAACTTCATGGTCGGCGAGGTTCTCATCTACGCCCTTCCTCTCGCCCTTGCTCTCGTGGGATGAGCCCACACAACATATTAGACGTTCTTGTATCTAGTTCTTGGGGATGTAGTTGAAGTTGTACAGGTTGCCAAGCTATTGGATTAATAATGTTAATGCTTTGCTCGAGTCAATGATTCAGTAGCATGTCACGGTTTGCATAATTACTTGATCAGGGCTGTGGTTACCCACTCTACTTCATATGACTTTCATCTGTTAAAAAGCATGCTGCTGATATGAGCCTTGGTACTCTTGTCCTGTTGTACGTGCTGTCGAAGGGGGCTGTCACAGATACTGGCAAAGCCTGAGGCTTGAAAGCGGCAGCGGGGAAAGGCATGTAGCGATCCCTCAGATCTGTAAATAGACGATAGACAGATCTCCTGCTAATTACGTTTAAACTGTAGTTATACCCATAGGTGAGCCCTCTCGTCCCAATATCTACATCCACGGTCTTTCCTTGAACACCAATTCTTAGCCTCCTCTTAATCGTAAAGTTATCTCGACTCAGTTTCCCCTTCCAATACAACTCATTTCCAACTCTACCCAAGTTCATGTCTTCGGAATATAGTTGCTAGAGTAAATGCAATTACTAGAGCCACAATCCTGAATCTTCTTGCGATACGTACTTCCGTCTTTTCTACTAAACGTTCTCCATTCGCAGCAAGCGACGAGGACACGATCGGAGCCCGCTGCGGATCGGACTGTAGTGGTTTCCATCACGCACATCCTGAAAGGCTTAAGATATCAGTTTAATAGTGTTGCCAATATAGTGTTTGGGCGGTCGATATCTTTAAATCTTTAGGGGGAAGGTTTTATTGCTCGGGGAGAGGCTGCTATTTATCCTTTTTGGCAGTTCGTGATGGGGCATCTACAGCGAACATGTAAGCTTCTATGTGTTTTCTGAAACAAGACATGATCACGAAGCATAAATTTGTCGCTTATCATCAAAATCGCATTGAATCATCTTTAAATACGTGATGCAGCCCTTTTGTAGGCTAGCATTCAGATGAATCAGACTTCGATGTGGCACCGCGTCACTCTTAAGAGCCACAAAAAGTCACGCGATACGGTCGTCAGCATACATTCACGTTGAAATAGGGTGATACAGATCCTTTGTGCCTCTCCAGAATATCCCTGCGTTGTGGGACCGGGACGCCCATGTTCATCACATTACAATTAGTCCATCCATCTTCGTAACAAGAGATGCATCACTCTTTGATCTGTTACACTGGGTACGCCGGCTTCCTCAGCTTTCTGATTCACTTATTTACACAAGTCACTTGACCAAATGTGGTGAGCAACCAGCCAAAGGTCTAGTGCCTTCCTCCAGAGAATGCAATCCATGTAGTAAGGCGATTCAGCCTGATAATAGTACTAATGCAGGTTTTTCTCTGAGCTTTATTAACGTCTATTACGCCTTTACAGCATTCTTGCTCAAGAACTCCTGACTAAACGCGTAGTCAGTATACCCCTTCGCTATCTTTGGAGTATAAAAGTACGTCCTATCATAACCCTCCAACCCAACACCAGCCTTCAACCGAAACACAAGATCCGGATTGGCGACAAAATATCTTCCAAACGCAATCAGAACTTCAAAATCCTTGTACATCTCATCAACAGCTATCTTAGCTGAATCACTCTTGAAACCACCCGATAGAATCACAGGACTTGTGTTGTTCCACAGTTCAACAATCCACTGAACTGTGCGTTGCCCACCGCAATCAGCATCATCATTACCGCGTATACGAGCTTCGATGAGATGCAGGTATGCTAGGCCAAGTGGTTTGAGCTGTTCGATGAGATAACAGAAGTGAGGATCTGGGTCGTCCATGAGCATGCCTAGAAAGTCGCTGTAGGGACTTAGACGCATTCCAATCTTATCGGCTCCTATGGCTGCGATGACGGCTTTTGTGACTTCGATGTGAAATCTAGCTCGGTTCTCGATACTTCCTCCCCAACGATCCGTACGTTTGTTGCAAGTGTCCTGTAAGAACTGATCGGGTAGATACCCATTTGCACCGTGGATCTCAACACCGTCGAAACCCGCTGCAATGGCATTTCTCGCAGCAGAGACATAGTCCTTTATGGCAGTCTGGATATCATCCTCTGTCATTTCTTGTGGAGTCGCCATCGATGGCTCTGCCGAAACAGCGCTACTAGAAATAAGAGGGTAACCTTTCCTCCGGAGAACATAGGGGTTGCCAGCTCGTCCTTGATGCCAGAGCTGACAAAAGACTTTGCAGCCCTTTTCATGAATTGCGTCGGTTATACTGCGCCACGCTGTGACTTGAGCGCCGGACCAGATTCCAGGCGCGTTGTCGGAACCGGCTGTGCTTTCGGATATAAAAGTTGCTTCGCTGATGATGAGAGTGCCAGGCGTTGATGCGCGTTGTTCGTAGTATTCTATTCACTGCAGTTAGCTTTGCTTATCGATCAGCGGCTAAGAGCTTGTTTTCCTGCTACTGACCTCTCGTCATGGAAGTTGGGCAATGATCATCGTCGCAGCGGTATCTGGTCAGAGGTGCCATTACAATTCGGTGCTCCAGTGAAGTTGACCCAACGGCCAATGGCTCAAATACTCGTGACATGATGCCTCTATCCGCAAAGAATATGTTGTCAATACGATCAGCTTTCGAACCAAGTATCGCATTAATCACGGTAATGAAAAGACAGTCATGGTGGTATTGAACCCCCTGCAATAAATATGTATGCCCCCAATACGGAGTACATACCCACCGATTCATTTGTCCCACCACTAAGCTCCTCGGTGGGTATATCCACCCTTATCACAATAACCCCGAAAACTTATCCAAACGTCGGAACAGAAGATGCCGATACAAAACTTCTCTACGCCAGCCGCTTTATTCCCGACAGGGACATTCTTGGCCGACGGGGACCTTTGCAAATGCGCTCGTGTCTCGTCGAATGAACACAAGGCGGGGGATTCGGGAATAAGGGTTCCTGACGGGAAATATGCGAGCTGGAGAGTTTGATGATGACATTGCAAAATTGATCATCGTTTCTTTCTTGAGTGGAGGTTGTTGCGTGTCAAAAATAAGGACTTCGGGGGAGGCGATTATCTCCCTCCTCTCATTGTATACTTTCTACCTTATTTCACGGGGAAAGCACTATTTTCCAAATCATCACCACCATGAATACTGATACCAAGCTCGATGTGGATACATCTACCGACAGAATCACCGCTTGGGGAGGTACTACGCAGATACCATCTCAAGTTGCCAATGATGAGAAAATACAAATCGCCAACATCGACAGCGGTTCCAGCACTCAAATAGCAGACCAAAGCGACGCCGAAAGCATAGGCGGCCAACGCAACAGCGACCTCCCCCGAAAACGCCTCCTAATCTCCATAACCGCCCTATCAGTATGCCTCTTCGTATCGTTCCTCGACCAGACAAGCGTGTCAACGGCTACACCCTCTGTAGCTGGCGAGCTCCAAACAGGGACTTCGACGTCATGGATAGGAACTTCATTTTTGATAGCGTCGACGGCATTTCAGCTTATCAACGGCCGACTCTCGGATATTTTTGGCCGGAAGAATATGCTGTTGCTTTGTTTGTTTCTTATGGGGGCTGGTGATTTGGCTTGTGGCTTTGCAAAGACGCCGGTGCAGTTGTACGTCTTTCGGTCGATTGCTGGTGTTGGTGGTGGGGGGATTAATAGCTTGGTCATGATTATCGTGAGTGATATCACATCACTGCAAAATCGTGGGTATTATCAAGGTAAGTAAGCCATGCGTCGATTTTGGTCTCGACATTGACAACAGTCAGGAATGCTGGGAGCCATCATCGCCCTCGCCAATGGCGTTGGACCTTTCTTAGGCGGTGCAATTGTTCAATCTGCGACTTGGCGATGGGTTTTCTGGATGATACCCATAATCACTCTGCCTACTACAGCAATTATCTGGTTCTACCTCCCTCTCAAGCATCGATCTGGGGAATACATGGAGAAGATAAAAAAGATCGACTACGGAGGCATCATTCTCAACATCGCATCGACACTACTACTTCTGATCCCGATATCTGGAGGAGGCGTCACTTATGCCTGGACATCAGCTTTCTTCATCGCCACCGTCATCATCAGTATCTTTCTAGCCGTCCTCTTTGTTCTATTCGAATGGAAATTGGCAAAACTACCGATTATGCCTCTTCGACTCTACCGCGCGCCTCACTGCTGGGCGCTGTACCTGCAGTCTTTCCTGACGGGTCTGGCTTACTTCGGCAACTTCTTTTATCTACCGCTGTACTTCCAATCGGTACTCGGATATGACGCGCTGGTTGCAGGCGCTCTCATTCTAGCAGTGGTCATTCCGACATCACTCACGTCTATCCTTTCAGGGCAGTACATGAGTCGCGTGGGGAGCTACATGCACTGCATCCTGGCTGGATTTGCGCTCTGGACGCTCGGGAATGGCCTCACCCTCCTTTTTGATCGGGAGACAAATCTGGGTCCGCTGATCGCCATTCTCATCGTTGAGGGCGCGGGTATTGGGTTTACTCTGCAGCCTACGCTCGTTGGGATGTACGCGAATGGTCGCAGCGAGGACAGAGCAGTAACGACGGGTTTACGAAACTTTATCCGCACAATCGGCGGCGCTTTCGGAGTAGTCATCTCGGGTGTTATCCTCTCTAACACGCTAAACAAAGAGCTTGGTGGGAGAGGTATCGTGTCCAACGACACGATTGCTCAATTGACGTCATCAACGTATTCGTTGAGCAGTATGGGCTTGTCGCAGCAGGATCGGGATATTATTTTAGATGCATACATGAAGGGTCTGTATTACATATTTGTCTTCTTTACGGTGTGCTCGGGATTGAGTCTGGTTCTGACGTTCTGGGTTGGAAACACGAGCCTCAAATCGCCAGCGAAAACTGAGGACGCGTCAGGTTCAACAGATCGAGAGATGACGGAGGATGAGAGGCCTGGGCGGGCTGATCTCGAAAAGGCACAGCGATAGGGATAGAGCTTTTTGAGTTGACGAAAGGAATAAAAGTTTTTGTCTGTAGTCTTGACTATTGCCCACGGGAATTGTTGGTGACTGAAGTGAAAACGCGTCGATTGAAGGCGGCCTGTTCATCAATGAGACGCGGATTTTGGCGGTGGGGATAAGGACTCTTCAGAATGCTAATAAGGGGCTATTGGCAGTACTAGAAATGACACACAAGATACGCCGACCATGGGGTTATTTTGTTAGCGCAGCAACTCGAAGACCCTTGCAAGACGAGGTACTCGGGTTCTGGTACTATCGCCACAGAAAGCCAAGTATCCTTTTAGGAGACTGACTCGGTGCACTTTTACCTGAATTAACAAGGATTTCGCTTGAGGCTCAAGGAACATACTATCATGATGACGCTGAAACCTGCATTTCTTGCTCAAGTAGGAATACTACTGCAATTTGCAGTAAAGAATACAGTAACTAAGTTGTAGCTTGGTAGGAGAGCCAAATTGTCTACTTACTCCGTACTTGTCACTGCTATAGTTGGCTGTTTATCCAATGCCTTGTGTTCTGTACTCATACCCTGTAGTTCATGAAATGCTGAAAGAGATTCTTCCCGTCCTAATCCGGTATAGCCTTGTCAACTGGGCGTTGAGTGATAAGCGGGAATAAACGGAGTCAAGAGCTTATCGTCCCCCAGCCATAATGCAACGTCCGTTATCTTCCCCGCGTTCCTTATCACAGACACGACTCATGACCCCGCGCTAGGGGCGTTTCCCTGACCCGGTCGGATATAGGAAGGTCGAAGGAGAGGTCGGCCCAAAATTCGCCGAAGGGTTTGCGGTAAGTTGGCCGGCATTGAGATAAGGCACTGACAGAGCTTGCTTATAGCCCAGCCATCAGTCCACTGTCTAACTGTGTTGATCCAAAAGTTTCATTCAGTCTAGCGTTACTGCCTATCATGCCTACAACTTTCGCCTCGCACCCCGATTACGGCTATGACCGTGACTTCAAGGGATATGGAGAGAAGGGTCTTGTCGGGCTGAAGTGGCCCAACAACGCCAAGATTGCTGTATCATTCGTCATAAATTACGAAGAGGTAAACCAACTGCATAAAAATGACCCGATAATTATATCTTCACTGCTAATACTGGTGTCATTAGGGCGGTGAGCGATGTGTTCAAAGTGGTGACGGAGTCTCAGAGACAAACCTCCGAGAACACCCTACATTACCACGCATGAACGAACGTGACCTCAACGGAGAGTCAGAGTATGAATACGGCTCTCGCGTTGGGTTCTGGCGATTGTTCAAGCTCTTCAACCAGCATAAGATGAAGTTCACTCTCTACGCTGTTGCACAAGCTGTCGAACAGCAGCCCGAAGTAGCTACTCGCTGCGTCGAAGAGGGCCATGATGTAGCTTCACACGCTTATCGCTGGGTGGATCACCATGATTGGTCTGTGGAAAAGGAGAAGGAGTACATCAAGAAGGGAATAACCAGTCTGAAGAGCCTGACGGGATATGCGCCCAAAGGATGGTACTACGGCCGTCCTTCGCCACACAGCCGTACCCTCATCCCTCAAGTCTACGAAGAAATGGGTGAAGAGCTCGTTTGGGCGAGCGATACATACGCCGACGACGTGCCATACTGGATTGATCTCCCCACCGAGCGAGAAAAGCCAGACCCTAAGGGCTGTCTCATGGTTCCGTACAGCTACGACTGCAATGATTTCAAGTTTCACGTGGTCACTGGCTTTCGCGATTCCACCAGTTTCTACACTCATCTCAAGAATGCATTCGATGTGCTGTACGAAGAGGGAGAGGCGGGTGAACCGAAGATGATGACTATTGGCTTGCATTGCCGTATTATTGGAAGACCGGGACGGTTCAAGGCCTTGAAGGATTTTGTCGAGTATATTGCGCAGAAGGATGGTGTTTGGGTTGCGACGAGGACGGAGATTGCTGAGGCATTTAGGGAGCAGTTCCCTTACAAGAAGGGTGAGTTAGCTTGATAGAATAGGTGAATGAATGGCTCAATAATCAGTTGCGTTCCAGCGATCTGTTTTGCCTTAACGACCGAAGAGAAGTCAATAATTTCGAGGACGACGACGAAAACATATTTAGCACGTGTTTTAATAGCTCGATAATTTAGACAATGCAAGACCGTCACTGTCCGCTAAAGTCCCAACCTTTACTTAGGTCCAAGTCCCCTTGTGACAAGTTCCAAACATCTTTAAAACCCTTCGCCGCCCCAGAAAATACATTAGAGGTGGATAGATCTGAAGCAGTAGGATCTTCGCCTAGCATCTCGTTCCACATATACCAGCCATGCCAACCACCAGGTGCTTCCTCATCAACCTCCATAAAAGCCTCTTTGACCGCATCGGAGACAAGATCACGCATTGTGATATCGTCCGTCTCATTGCTATTATGTGAAGTGGAGTTGGGCTGATGAGTTGATAATCCTGGGCTAGCACTGAAGCTTGGCCGGTCGAACTTGGTCTGTAGAGGAGGGGTTTGATGCACACCCATTCCGGTATCGCCAGACAGTCCACCAGGGCTCATGAGAGTCTTTAAAAGACTTCCTGAAAGGGCATCAAAGATGTCGCGATACTTGACAGCACCTGCCCATTTCTCACCAAATACAGTGAGACTTTGAGAACATGCTTGTGTAGCCTCGACGACGTGATAGCTGAATAGGCTCTTGTCCTTCCAGATACAGTACATCAGAGTAAGTCCTGCGACGAAACAGCTATGCAATGAGATCATGGTGTATGTAAGAGTTCTTTGCTGATTCAGTCGTTTGTATGCGATACAGACACATGCAGCTGATCGCGCTGTTGTGATGAATCGAGGATCGGTTGTGGCTAGAGATGGAAGTAGGACTGTGAAAAGGGCTAAGACCGCCTTGTGATATTGGCTACTGCCATTAGACTTACTCGCAAAGATGACATGAGAGGAGGTTACTTACAGGCTGTAAAAGTCACCCGCATCTTGATTGGTGCTCTCAGGGTCGTAGAGCCAAGTGATCTTGCCATTGTCTTTTGGTGACTGAGGCGTCGTCTGAATCCATTTATCGAGGTCTGCTCGTATAGATGCCATCTTCTGATCTAGCTTGACGCGTTCTTCGACTGGACCGGAGAAGATATCTTTGTCAACCCTGAAAACAGTGCGGTGAATACGTGACTGGATCTTTTCGAGCTTGATGATATGAATGAATGGTTCGACGTTACACCACTCCACTGCATGATCATCGCTTGCATAAGATACATGCGTCAAGTCCCAATATTCTCGTCCAGGGTTGGGCATCTAATATTTGTGAGACATGTTACTCTCATCGCAGGTGAGAGTGACTTACCGAAACATTGATGTCTCTATCAGATATGGCAAAGGCCCTTCCAAGAACTACACTTGTACCTCGATCAAGGCAATAACACGACCAAAACGCTCTCCGACGGATCTCCAAATCTCGGGCAATATCTGCACTTGGCGGTGGTCCTTGCCGCTCACGATGCAGACCAAGCTCAATACATAACGACACCGCATAGCGAACTTGACTCCACGCACCAGCTCCATAAGGCGATCTCTGGCCATGAACAGCAAGTAAGAGGAGAAACTGAACGGTAGCGAGATTGTGCTGCTCCAGGATATAATCCATCGGCTCAATTGCAGCTAGTAAGTGTTTCTCAGGATCGACTTGTGATGACTTGCGTGTGAGCTGTTCAAAGCGTGCAGCTATAGCATAGATGAGATGCATGATGCTTCGCTGGGTTATGGATAGAGCACCCTGCTGATACTGGACTTCAAAAAGTTCGGTGTACTTCTTCCTGTCTAGGATTGGCCATCGGGTATGCATTCGATCAAAGAATACGTCGAAGAGGTGGCGAGCTTCATCTGGGAATGGGAAGCCGTGAGATGGTTCGTCAGGGTGAAGATGGAGGGCTGGAGTTAAATTTTCGAGGTATGGGTCGACAGAAGGATTTGGTTGTCTTGGGAAATTGCTCTGACGGGTGATGCCATTTCTAGAATTGTGAAAGATGGATCGCTGTATCATGCGAGCAATGGCCGCTCCAGAGCTTGAACCAAGATACGATGGATCTGGCGTCGCTTCAGCTGTACCCGAGGCGCAGAGTGAAAGGTACGCGACACCATCAATGATAGAGTTGCGTTCATAGCCATCGAGATCTTCAGACACGGAACCGCGATGCGATGACGAGGACTCAGGATAAAGCTGTACATTAAGCACATCATTGTCTTGACCATCGACAACAGAAGACGGCTCCAAAGTCTCGAAATGATCTTGCGCATGATCCGGCAGTCGAGCCTCAAGAAATGCGATACGCTCTTCCAGGGCGTTGATGTATAGTGTCTTACCGCCTGGGTATTGTGGTCGAATTGTTCTCTCGTAGATACACGGAGTACCGACCCTTTCGCAGGACTTGCACGTTGGATTCGAGCCATCGCACTAGGATCTCGTGTAAGTATAACTGCTCCCGGGTGTGCAAGGCTGACTTACCCGCTGTTTACGTCTCTTGCATCGTTTGCAGGCCAGTGCTACGCGACCCTTGCGACCTGCAGTATCGGACTGCCGTCCAACGGGCCCCTGGTAAGTGTCAGTGAAACAAATCTGAAAGGCATCAAGAGTTACATACAAGACCATTAAGACGCGCTGGGAAACGGTCTCCAGTGGCAGTTCTGTTGTCGTCCATAGCTCTCATGTTGTTTATTCTGTATCATAATGTCAACAACTGTTCCAATGCCTCTCCCGGACGATGATTGGTTTCCCATATTGCCATAGGAGCCAGTCTTTCGTGAATCAGCCACTCGGTAGCTCCCATCCACTGTGTGAAGTTCTTGGTAACCGCAAAATCATGGCATCACTCACATGCAAGACACAATGCTCACTCATACAAATTTTCGGTTCAATGAAGCCGACCACAATGAACAATCACAAGTCCCAGATAAGACCCAAGAAGAAGAGAATATTTCCCCAGACTCCAGAGTCAGCACACGTTGTGTCCAGTGGATCCCTTATCTTCGGGCAACCTTATCTATGCGGCATGCCCAGACCAAACTAGCCCCCTGTAGCGTTACATAGTGGACATCACGACTGATAGAGCCATGTTTTAGAGTAGTAATAACCCTCATTGGCTTCATTCCTTATCAGACTCTCCAATCGGACGGTTCAACCCCGCCTTTTATCACTGTGCTATATCCGGTGCGACTCAGGCACCACGCCACTGGCACTGGAACGTGAGTAATCGTCGGGAGAAAAGTACCCGATGGAGCACTGATAGACACTGTGACTTTACAGCACTAAGGCCTGAGGGAGTAGATTGGAGATCATGATGTAAGGCTGGATATTAGATATGAATGAACAAGATCCCAATTTTGCATGCCGATTATTGAGACATTGTTCAACAGGTTGAGAGACGAACAAAGAATCGAAGTCATGGTTAACATCCCATCTAGGAGCGAGCTCACAGCTCCGTTTCGATCAAAAGAAGCTTTTGTCAACTTTGTCAAGACGTCTGAAACGGCAGATGGTCAGATGAGAGTTGGTAATGAGCGATGGTCGAATAAAGATCTTGAACCTACGCCACCAGAGCATCGGAACTGGACATGGTGAGTGGATCGTCCACCGAAAAGAGTATATGCGCGGTGTGCTGATTGATACAGGTATAACCTGCCGCTGTACTGGTTCTCTAACCAGTTTAGTCTTACGGGATGGAACACTGGGTCGTCACTCATTGCAGTCGGATTGGTAAGTACAGTACCTATTCTCTGATTGACTCTACGACATGGAAGAAGCTGACATGAAGGTTATAGACCTGGCAGCAATCATTCGTCTCATGTGTTCTGGGTGCGTTGCTCGCATCGCTAGTCGTCATCTGCATGGCCAGGCCCGGTGTCCAGTACCATATTGGTTTGTAAGTAACCTCCAACCCCACATCCTCTGCACGTATACTAAGCCAACGTCTAGTCCCGTCCTCGCTCGATCCAGCATGGGAATGTACGGCGCATACTTCTTCATCTTCATCCGAGCCATCGTCTGCATCGTTTGGTATGGGTGCGTATTATTCCCCCTGACACATGCCATCATCAATGCTAACGACAACACAGCATCCAGACCTTCTACGGCGGATCGATTCTCTCAGTAATGCTCCGCTGTATCTTCGGCAGCTCCTGGCAGAACTTCACCAACACACTCGGCGAAAACGCCGACATCTCTTCAAAGGTCCTTCTGGCTTTCTTCCTCGTTTGGATAATGCAGTTCCCTTTCGTACGTATCCACCTAGACATTCGTTAATGGCCACCGCTAATGCTTGCAGATGTGGGTTCATCCAAGAAACATCCACTACGTCTTCACTGTAAAAGGCTTCACCATGCCCATCGCCGCATTCGCCATCTTCGGATGGTGCATGGCCAACGGCGGTGGCTTGAACGGCATGAACATGGCGTCCAAAGAAGCGGCGGCAGCTGCTTCCACGACTCCTCTTGGTTGGAGTATCATGTCTGGTATCAACGTCATCATGGGTGGATTATCGCCCATGTTGGTAAATCAGCCTGATCTAGCGAGATATTGCCAGAAGACACGCGATGCAGGCCCCCTTCAGGGCGTTAGTGTCTTTGTGTCCTCTGTTATTGTGTTCTTCCTCGGTCTTGCGTCAACGGCGTCTATGCAGACTGTTTATGGAGAGGCGTATTGGAATATTTGGGATTTACTTGACTCTATCCTCGACCATCATTGGAATGCGGGTGCTCGGGCGGGAGTCTTCTTCCTCGCTTTGGCATTCTTATTGGGTGTCTTTGCGACCAACTTTGGCGCCAACTCGATTCCTTTCGGGTCTGATATGACGGGTCTCTTCCCAAGATGGCTCACTATCCGAAGAGGCCAGATCGTCTGTGCTATCCTGGGAATTTGTGTTGTACCTTGGAAGCTTATGGCGAATGCACAAGCTTTCTTGTCTTTCCTTGGTAGCTACAACATCTTCATGGCACCTCTGTGCGCTGTCATCATCGTCGACTATTTCTACGTCCGAAAAGGCAACATCCATGTCCCGTCATGCTACGACGGAAGCAAGCATGGTCTCTACCACTTCTGGTCCGGCGTCAATTGGGTAGGCTGCTTTGCCTGGATTGGGGGAACTACTATGGGCTTGCCTGGTCTCGTTGGACAATACCAGCCTCATCTACTTTCCGATGCATCGCGGTATATGTACACGATGGGCTGGCTTCTGACGTTCGTCACTGCCGGAGTCGTCTACACCATCGGCGTTCAGTTCGTCAATATTCGCGTTTTCCCCGCTGGTCGCGCAACGGCTAAGACTTGGGAGTGGCTGGCTAAGGATGGCAGAGAAGGCTTCTATGAGGATGGGAGGGAGGGACAGGTCATCTATGCTCAGGAATCACCTTCTGCGGATAAGACCGTAGGGGAGGTGAATGCAAAGGCAGATGATTCGTCTCTGTAAGCAATGGAATGGACATAGATTGTAAATTCAGGATATAATCACATGGCTTCGTTAACAGCACCCGATACTTAGTATTAATAATGGTTCTCACACTCTTCCGAGCAGCCTAAGCTGAGTTGACCTTGTGAAGCATGTCTGAGCTCTTAGCAAGAGAAGGATGTTTAAAACATGCTCTGTCTCTCAATCCGACCTCTGTATCTGCCACGAAGCTTCGTCGAGATTTATCGTTCGACCAAACCTTCATCGCAAGCGTAAAGAAGAGTTCCCGTCCCGTCAAGCTTATCTCCGTCGGCCAAGTTCGTTCGGCAGACCCACCTCTCCGCATCGGATGCAAATATACCGACCGCTGATAAGCTGACAAGGTCAGTAAGCCGATCGGGGGCCGGTTCCGGAAATAATTACCCGTCAGCTTCTTTGAGGCATTATGTCATCCTTCATAAGAGCAGCGCTTTGTTGATCTCGTGAGATCGTCATAACCAACCGCCTAAATTATCCTGCAACGTACAGACCTGTTTAACAATCACCACCATGCTGGTCCAACCGTATCAACTCTCAGCGACTGATGTAGCCGCCAAGGTCCGAGATGGCCAGCTTACAGTGGAGGAGTATGCCCAGTCACTTTTGGCACGCATCAAAGAGAGAGATCCCATTGTGAAAGCATGGGCATATATAAATCGTGATCAAGTGCTTGAACAAGCACGGAAATTGGATGCTGTACCCAAAGAGGAACGCGGACCTTTGCATGGTGTTGCGATTGCCGTCAAGGATGTCATCTACACGAAGGGTAAGTCAACCAATGGAGCCGAGACAGAATATCGATTAGCTAACTGTGGTAACCAGATATGCCAACACAGTTCAACTCACCCATCTACAAAGACGATGCCCCCCAAGTCGACGCAGCCAGCATCATCATCCTCCGCAAAGCCGGTGCGCTCATCCTAGGAAAGACTACCACCACTGAATTCGCAGCCACTACTCAAGGACCTCAAACAACGAACCCTCATGACAGTTCCCGTACACCTGGCGGCTCATCATCTGGTTCAGGAGCGGTGGTAGCAGACTTCCAAGCTCCCATCAGCCTCGGAACACAGACCGGAGGAAGTACCATCCGCCCGGCGTCTTTCAACGGTATTTATGGATTCAAACCAACGTGGAACTCAATCTCGAGAGAAGGGCAGAAAGTCTTCTCGTTGATTCTTGATACACTCGGCATTTATGCACGCACGGTGGAGGATCTGAACTTGCTCGCTGATGTATTCGCGTTGGAAGATGACGAGTCGCCTAACCAAGAATTCTCTATTAAAAACGGAAAATTCGCCATCTGCAAAACCATGGTTTGGCCCCAAGCTGGCCCTGGTCTTATCAGGGCTATGGATAAAGCCGCCGAACTACTCCGATCAAGCGGTGCCACGGTTGACGAGATTGACTTTCCCGAACAGCTGCAAGATCTACCAAAATGGCACTCCATAGTCTTCAACACCGATGGACGAACAGCCTTTCTGCCCGAGTATAGGGTTGACAAAACCAGAATTGCAGATCAGTTGGTCGGCCACGTTGAGAACCGCCTCAAGATTTCTAGAGCTGTGCAGGTTAAGGCTTTCGATGACATTGCAGCGGCGAGACCTGTTGTGGATGATATGTTGGGTAAGTATGATGCTGTGTTAGTGCCGAGTGTACCGGATGAGGCGCCCATGGGCATTGAAGCTACTGGAAGTGCTGCGTTCAATTTGATCTGGACGGTATGTATACCCGTTCCCACGGAGGCTGCCTCGACTGACCCATCTCTAGGCACTGCATAATCCCGTCATAAACATCCCCGGATTCTCTGGTGAAAACGCCATGCCGATTGGCTTGTCCCTCGTTGCGCCTAGATATCATGACAGAAAGCTGCTAGTAGTGAGTCAAGCGGTAGGAAAGCTCTTTGAAGGATCAGGAGGATGGAAGTCACAGATAGCTTAGACTCAAGATAAAATCTATCGTTCAAATCGTAACTCAATTGACGTGATATCATACATGCTCTAACAAACGCCGTAAATGTTTATACCTTACAAGTAATAACAAACCCGTCCCTCAAAAAGCCTTCTCGCCGTTCGCGAAACAGCACAGCTCTCAATTCCATCCTCCCCATTCTTCGTAACAAGTACAGGAATCGTTCCTTTACTATGCTCAATAATAATCTGTCTTGTATTGGCAGTATCCTTCCTCTCACCCTGCATATCAGGCGATGGTGTACGCTCAGGCGTTGGTGGCCCGTCGGTAATAGGTGTTGCTGATAGGTCTGCGGCGATAGTACCCTGGATACTGACCGCTGATCCTAAGCAAACTGCGCCGGTGAGTTGGAGTGTAGGGTGGGGAAGACCCATGGAGTAAGACTGCACGTAAATATCGGGAATCTTGTTGTTGGCGCGCTGTGTAGGTGAAGAGAGGAGTGCGATCTTGGGTGTGCCGCGGGTGAGGCCAGCGACTTTTGTGCTTGTTGCTAAACCCATATCGACAGCACCTTGACACCGAATCGCTTCGACTAAAGCGTGCTGTGTCTCTGGTTCAGCATTGGCGCCGAGGATAGTTGTGAAGTCTGCTGCGCTGATCATGACGAACGGGTTCGCAGCGTCGATAAGTGTAGCACGGATCTGAAGGGGTGCCATCTCAGGTAGTAATGATGAAGGATCGACGTGAAGCCATTGCTGCTTCTGGCCAGAGGGGAACAAGCTTCCCGCCATGCTACCGGCGGGATCGACGAAAGAGCACTTGACTTCACTGCCGGGTGATTTAACACCAGGAATGATAAAGTCGCCATCCTCCTTGAAGTCGCCGTTACGATCCAACTCAACAGTCTCAACGATGATTCTGCTCGTGTTGGTGTTGAAGATCCTAACATCAATCTCCGTCTGTCCCGGCTTCGGCGTAACAAGCCTCTCCTGCACAGCAAAAGGTCCAACGCCCGAGCTCATATTTCCACAGTTTCCTGAGAAATCCACAGATTCTTTGCCAACAGCGACTTGCACAAAAGTAAAGTCAACGTCGGCATCTTCACGGTTCGACAGTGAAATCACAGCAACTTTGGAAGTAGTTGATGAGCCACCGCCGACACCGTCGACCTGCTTAGCATCATTGTTTCGCGAACCCAATGCTGAGATGAGATGTGGACCCCATTCCGACTCCTTCTCGGGGAGGTCTTTCCGGTGGATGAAGAGGCCCTTTGATGTCCCGGCGCGCATTAGCACGCAGGACAGGGCGTGGCGGGTAGGGTAGTGCTCCTGGGGAGTTTCGATCTCGATGGCCATTGTGATTGAGAATTGATCTGTGAAGCACGTACTCTTGGCTTGAATTGGAGGGTAACGAGAAGACAAGAGTTAAATAACTCGTGGTTTCGCCATGGAATTGCCATTTTTGCTCGTAATGTAATTGAGCTCGGCATTGGCGATGCCGGGGAATAACACTCCGAGTGATTCTAGCAGGGAAGAAAAACTGGAGATGCCGTGGGAGACGAGCTCTTGGCTTCCCGTCTGCCCCATACAAATATCCCGTCTCACAAAAAGTGTCCCGCGGGAACGAAAACTGAAGCGGGACAAGTGGCGACTCTCATCTGCCCATGTATTGAAACTCACCCGTACTCGACCCATTAAACCCGAAAATCGGATCCTCCAAAAACGCAGCATCTTGATTCGCCGGCCAGAAGCTCGTCTGCTGCCATGAATTTCCACCCTCGATGTCCCCAGCCCCAGGCACGGGAGTAGCAAAACTGTTTAGTCCTCCCGCGGGAAACCCCTGGGGGAAGTAAACAGGCTGTTGACCTGTCGATGTGTGGAGATAGTGCTCACCGTCGACCTGAGGTATTTTCTGGGGGTATTGGCCGTACATGGTTGGCTCGCTGCCGGCGTTGAAGTCGCCCTCGCGGAGGAAGCTCTGTATGATGCCATCGATGTTGATCCAGTCTGAACCCGGTGACGGGACCGCGCTACCGCTCAGTTCGACTGGTTGCATTTCCTGATTCGGCGATGTTTCCGTCTGTGCGCTCCCCGTGTTCTCCAAGCCTTCATACCCAATCTGCGCTTGTACCCGCTGCTGCTGAGGCTGAGGCTGTTGATCACGCGACTTGGTCGCCGGTTCAGCCTCGAGCGCGTCATCGGGAAGGTCATCAACCACAACGCCGTACTTGCTCATGAGCCTGTGTATAATAACAGCGGCTTTTTGCACTGCGGAATTGGTCTCTTGGTTCTCTTTGAACACGGCGAGACATGTCATGAGGTTGACGTAGGCAGCGGAGCCTTTGCCATTTTTGGCGGCGATGCGGCAGTGGATTGTTGCGGCGACGTAGGTTGCGTAGGAGATTAGGTAGGGGGCGCGACGAACGGAGAATGCGCGGTGATAGGCGCGTAGAAGACTGCAGATGCTGGAGGCGGCTGCTGAGCATTTGATTACTGAGTCGACGGAGATGGAGCGGAATGTGTTGTAGAGATGACCATCTGCGACGAAGGGGCGATGGAGGAGAATAACGAGGACGTGATACATAGCACTAGAATGTCAGTATGGAGTATAATCTTCTAGCAATTGGAGACTTACTGAAGACTGAGAACGTGAGGTGGAGGAACTGTAGCATCAGGTGCATTTGCAACCTCAGGCTTAAGATGATCCGGTAAAGCTGTATGCCAATCCCGTAACTTCTTCTGCAGCTTATCCAACACTTTCGACAGCTCAGCTGGGCTTTGGTCTGTTGTTCGAACGGTGTATATCGTGCTCATGACATCGCTCATGACGATAGACAACTTGCAGAGCGCAGTGAATGTCGAGACACTGTAGGCGGGTGAACCAGCATAGTCGTTCTTTGATGTTGAGTACGCAAAAGGTTGCCAGAACTCGAGCTCAGAGTATGTATCGATGAACTTTATGGGAACCATGGCATCGTTTTCTTTGAGAGTAACAGGTCGACCTTGATACAGACTCTGAATCTTATCGACGACTGTCCATGTTAGTATTTGTTGTTATCGTGTTGAGGGTACATACCAAAAGCTCCCCAGAAAACACGCCGTCGTATCTCAAGATCCTCATCAGAGAACTGATGCGAATTCGTCAAGTCAACATGCAGCCCCAAATCAATGAGCATACGAAACGCCAGCCCAGCATACAACCACGCCGCACTCCTCTCATCACCCAGCGCAAACAACGAATTCGTCATGACGAGCAGCGCCTGGATCGTCGTGATCTCGCTCCTGTCCAACGACCCTCCGACCAACTCCCTAACCCTCTCGCGATACCGCCATCCCGCAGTCCTGACATCGTTGACGTCCTTTCGAACTTCGAGTCTTGGACTAAACTTTGATGAGCCAAAGTATATAGCGTTGAGGAGCAGTTTCGAAAAGTATGGCCCGCCGCATGCCATGTCCCGCATGAAGGCGGGACGGTACGTAATGAGGAATGAGTGGTGTTGACGGTTCCAGTGTAGCGAGAGGAGATGCATCCCAAGGTCGGGATCAACGCCGTCAAAGTCAAGCTGCCCCTTAGCGAAATGGATCTCCTCCAGTTGCCCTATCTCACACACACATAATTAGTTCACACACCGCTTAACAAACCACAAACAAGCATAAGGTGAGTACCCACGCTGCTTAGCTGCCTCAGCGATAAGACCACGCTCTACCCAATGATCCGGCATCCGCGGCTGCACCTCCTGCTCAACAGGTCTCTCCTGCGCATTATCCTCAAACAAGGCGCTCGTGCGTCCATGATACGTCGATTCACCATTCGCAAGCACAACGACTCTCGCGACGCCTGAATCCATGGGCCGCGGTGAAGGATCCCACGATTGATGGCGAGGCTGCGCTCCATCGCGTGTTGTGGCCGCCTGCTGACTACTGCTCGCTGCTTCACTGCTGTCGCCGTTTGACGAGGCCGCGGGGGCGCTGGTCTGACGGGCGGGTGATTCAGTGCGGGCTTTGACGCTACGGGTCTTTGTGCGCTGGTGGCGCTGTCGGCCTGCTGCTTTGGTGACATCGGGGACGGGCTCGTAGACGCAGTCCTTCTCGTATGTCTGGCAGTTGATACACTTTGGCTTCTGGCCGTTACACTTGATCTAGGGGTACTGTAATTAGTCCCGCGGGAACTCGTTGCCTGGCTTCCGGGGACACTGGGGTAAGGGAGGGAGGAACTGGGGTAGGAGAGGGGTAGTAGGTCTCACTTTTCTTTTGCGGCAGAATGTGCATGCTTCTGTGGCTCGCCTACGGACGCGGGTAGGCGTCGGCTCTGCGGGCATTGTTACGCTCTGTGCTCTTGGTGGGAAGAAAGAAGGGAAGATTGTGAGGCACGGGAAGAGACGGGAAGAAGCCTGAGCTGATCAATTCCACTCGGATCCACTGTTGATCCGCGGGTCGTAGGCCCCAAAGGGCAAAGCGTTGAATTATCTCCGTTTTCTTCCCTTCACTCTCAGTTGTGTTTACCCGTGAGCCTCATCCCGTGGCTGCATGCTCTGCTATTATTAAACTGCGACTATCCTTTAAATGTTAGTAGATGCTGTTTTATTTGCTAGTTTATGATTTATTTATTTTCTCCCCGTTTGTCATCATTTGCCAAGTCTTGACCGTTTTTCTCTTCACCTTACATTCACCGAGTTACCCCAAAAATGGACGCCATCGCTACGACGCAACCTATCGCTGAGCCTGCACTGCCTAAGCAGGTTGTAGCGCAGACAACATCTGCACAGAAGAAGAAGATTACTCCTGGTATTTCTCTAGCTGCTGGTGCTGTTGCAGGAGGTGTTGAGGCCACAATCACAGTAAGTTTCTCCTACAGCTTGGGTGTAGAGGATTGAGTGTTAACGGGCTTAGTACCCCTTCGAATGGGCAAAGACAGTAGCGCAGCTCAGCGCACGCCAAGCACCAGCTGGAGTAGCCGTCTCCAAATCTCCATTTGCCGTCATCGGCCAAACAGTTCGTTCAGATGGCATTCGAGCAATCTACACCGGATGCTCTTCGTTAATCGCTGTAAGTATCCCATACCAGTGAAATTGACATATTTGATCTAATAATATCAGGGAACTGCTGCCAAAGCTGGTGTTCGCTTCCTCTCTTTTGATGCTGTAAAGGCTCAATTAGCAGATGCCAATGGCAAGCACTCAGCGGGATCAAATATCCTCGCTGGTATGATTGCTGGTGCTGTCGAGAGTGTCACTGTAGTCACACCAACAGAGCGAATCAAGACTGCCCTGTAAGTCGCCAATGGAGATCATTCGTAGGCGATCACGCACTAACAGGCAATAAATAGCATTGATGATGCTCGCTCAGGGAACAAGCGCCTCAACGGCGGCTTCCACGCCCTGCGCACAATCGCAGTCGAGCGCGGCGTCCGTGAAATCTACCGCGGTCTCATGTCCACCACCCTCAAGCAATCAGCCACATCCGGAGTGCGCATGGGCTCCTACAACATCCTAAAAGACACATTCAAGTCCGACGGCAAGAACCCCTTCATGACATTCGGTATCGGCGCCATTGCTGGTGTCATCACTGTCTATGCTACACAGCCGTTTGATACCATCAAGACGAGATCGCAGTCTGCCAAGGGTATTGGTATGGGTGAGGCTGTTCAGCAGGTCCTGCGTGATGGAGGCGTGAGGGCGTTTTGGAGTGGGAGCACTATGCGCTTGGGACGGTTGATTCTTAGTGGTGGTATTGTTTTCACAGCGTATGAGAATATTGCGGGCTTGTTGATGGGGATGAAGAAGTAGAGTGCTTATTGGGAGTGTTTCATGTTTTGGTCTTGTTCACAGGAAGTTTGGGTCGGAGTATTAGCTTATGGCATTAAAACGATTTCATGCATCATTCATAGACGAATTCCATTTTCTATATCCATTTCATTTCATCAATTCTGTGCATTTTCTGTAAATGCGACTCATAACTTAATGATGTTGATACGCTCACACAGTGAACCAGAATGATTCATCTTCACTCTGCAATCTTTCTACATCTTATCGTATACCGTAATCTATGCTCATCAGATCCATTGCACAAGCTTAAACATAACCGTAAACTCGTGCCGATCTCACCGAGGCATTTCCGGGTCCTCAACGGCGATCGTCACAAACATGTCATGCCAGACCGTATCTACCCCAGACCATTCTATCCCAACACTCGGACTTCCCCGCACCCTTCGCCTACCGAAAACTTGGTCCGTGGGAAACTGGAGTCACTTGACTGCAACGCCCCAGGTTCAGCAGCATCGGCCTTCCCCAACTTCAGCCCAACCGAACCCTTAACCGAGAGACATCTCTCTCCATTCCCCCGTGGGGGAGAAGAGTCACCGGGAAGGCCTTGGCAGCAACGAATTCCCGCGGGAACAAATGACATCCTCTGCTATCCCCCCGCAAAGCAGATTCGAGACCGTAGTTACTGGGGTTCTCCGCGTCTTGCCAAGACTAAGTTAAGGTTATGCGTAACCTTAATGGGGATAACGCTACCAAGGGGGGGCGATGAATTTTCCCAGTTCCGCACTGCGGCTGACTCGCCATTCACCCAAACTTGCTCGCTTCTCACTCTCAGATTGAGCAAACAACATGACGAGAATCCTGCCAAGCTGTGTATAAAAGTCTTGGGAGATCCTACCCCAGATTTTCCTTTTGCCCAGACTCATCATCACTTCTTGGTTCTCCAGTCCAGTTCCACCCAGCTACCCACTCAGTCTTGGAAAACAAAGAGATCGCCCAGCATGACTGTTTCGCAGAATAACGAGACCGCCTCTCACAATGAGGAACGCTTCGATGAGAAGGCAGAGGTCGCGGCTGTTGAGAACGCCATCTCTTCGCCTGTCGGACACATCCCCCCCATTGAGATCCAAGCTCGCTTTCCGCTCCTGCGCGATCTCTCGCAGACGCAGATGGATGCGCTGAACAAAAAGGTTCGCAGCAAGGTTGATTGGCATATGATGCCTTGTGTCACCCTCATGTTCTTGATGAAGTAAGTCAGCGATAGCCAAGCGTCCAGGGGAACAACCAAGACTAATGGTGAGCTTAGCTACCTCGATCGTATCAACGTCTCCAACGCCCGACTCGCTGGTCTGCAGGAAGATCTTGGCATGACTGATACTGTTTGGAACGCAGGTATCTCGACCTTCTACGTCGGATACCTCATTGGTCAATTGCCCGGTAATCTCCTCATGGCCAAGACGAACCCCAAGTTCTTCCTGCCTACCATCATGCTCATGTGGAGTGCGGGCACAATCTGCATGCCCGCCATGACCAATGGCGTTGGATTCTGTGTCGTTCGCTTCTTCATTGGCTTGATGGAGGCTCCATTCTTCCCTGGTCTGACGCTCATGACTTCGTCTTGGTATACCAAAGAGGAGTCGCCCTTCCGCATGGCTATCTGGCACGCTGGTAACACCATCTCCAACATCATCTCTGGTTTCTTGGCTGCGGGTATTCTCGAGCATATGGATGGAATTGCTGGTATGCATGCTTGGCAATGGTTCTTCCTCATTGAGGGTATTGTCTCCATCCTCGTTGCTGTCATCTCTTTCTTCGTTCTCCCCTCTTGGCCCAACGACACCAAGTTCCTCGACGAGCAGGAGCGTGAGATGGCCCAGTACCGAATTCTGGTCTCCAACGGTGGTATTGATGAGAAGGTTGGTGGTACTTGGGATGGTGTTCGTGATGCCGTCAAGGATCCCTTTACCTGGTACTTCTGCCTCATGCACTTTGCCCTCGTCACTGCCCAGAGCTTCAAGGATTTCCTGCCTTCTGTAAGTACACCCAAGCCACTATTTATATGCATTACTAACATTTTCAGATCATGAACACCTTTGGCTTCAACAAGATGACCACCTACCTCATCCAGGCTCCTCCCTACGCCCTCGCCTACATCTCCGCCTGTATCATCGCCTGGTCTTGCGGCCACTTCATGGAATCGACATACCACGTCGTCATCCCCATTATCCTCTCTGCAGCTGGTTGCGGTATTCTCATTGGCACCATCAACGTCGCAGCTCGATATGTCGGTATCATTCTCCTTGTCTGCGGTACCTACAACGGTCTCAACTTGCAGCTGTCCTGGGAAACCACCGTCGTTCCCGCTCCCCGTGCCAAGAAGGCCGCTCTTATCGCCATCGCCAACTGTATCAGCCAGGTCAGCCATTGGTTCAGCCCTTACTTCTATCCTCGAAGCCAGGAGCCTTTCTACCGCATGGCTGGTGGTCTTCTCCTTCTCGGCTGTGCTTTGACTGTTCTCTCAGCCTTCCTTGTCCGATGGAGGGCTCAGAAGCTTAACAAGAAACTTGACGAGCAGGAGGGATGGACTCCTAACTCTGGTGTCGAGCGTGGCTGGCGATACAAGTACTAAGTGTGATATAAAGGCATTGGCGATCATGGACTGGTATCTGGACTGGGAAGCGTTTCGGAAAGGAGCTTGAGTTGTCTTATCCTTATGATTCATCGTTACGAGTAATGAATATGTTAGCGCTCCACCTTCTACGTTGCATGTCAATAGTGACTCCACTTTCTTCGTTATTCGCATCGACTTGCTAGGCATTGGTATGGTGGATCTGATTAAGTGAACTATGAAACATACAATCAACGCTCTTCATACTGACGCACCTCAACAGTTCGAAGAATATGCGAGTCATCAAGGCTTGCTCCGTGTCCCCCGTTCCCATCACCAATGCTACCGGTACTTCCCTCGGCGGTACCATCGCCAGCACGAACGTTGGTGGTAACGCACGACTTGCCATTCGGTATGAGAATATTCTCATCACTCCCCATATCCTCGTTATAGTGCACGCTTTCTGGCGTATGCCCCGTGTTTCGCGATCGCTGTTTGGACGAACTCATCATCTCAAACTGTGACCTTGAGTAATTGGACGAATAGCCTGGCTTGTCTTTGTGAAGAATGGACTTCCATAACATTGGCATAAATGGGAAGCACGCGCAAACAACTCCAATACCACACTCAGCGATTCTAGTTCTAGTTAGCGGCATCTGGAAGTACGACTTGACGTGACTCACCCAGTCAAGTTGATTTGCAGAAAGACATAGGTCTGATCAGGGCTTTCCCCATTATGGATAATGAAGACTAGCCGAACAAGGCTAAAGATGCAGGCGATTCCTCCGACTCCGAAGATCGCGACGATCTTGAGCTTTGCGATAAGTCCCACTTGGAGTTTCTTGGTAAGAGGACAGGGCAGAAGAAGGACCACGATGTCGCTGAGAAGACTGATGATGTTGTCTACAAGGATAAGAACTCGCTGATTGAAGCATTCGCCATCTGTTGTAGCGCCCCAGAACATGGAGATCGGACGACATATGAACATCTTGAGGAACAGCATCGCGACGTAGTAGACACCCATAACTGCCAGGAAGCCATATATCCATTTGACGTAGGTCTTGTAAGGGGCGAAGATGCTGGCGAGGAAAAGAAGGATAGCTGCTTTGATGGCAAAGACTGTTGGGCCGTAGTTGACCATGGTCGCGTAGACCGTCTGTGACAGGGTTAGCTCAGGTCGAGTCGCGTATGAGGAAGAGACGTACTTGGTTATACTGCGTTATGAGGTGATCTGGTACATCCCATTGGTGAAGGCCACCGCCGTATCTCAACACTATAGTCGTTAGCCTCAAGTGTTTGAGCATGGGCGATAAGTACCTACTCAGCAGACACATGGTGCAGTATCCCATGAAGCCGATCTGACCAAGGTTTAGTAGTTGACACAAGACTAGAGTACGCTTAGAAAAAAACATACGTATCCAATGACACAGGCAACTAGATACACGCATTAGCCCGGAACTCGATGTCGTAGTGAATGCGAACATACTGTCGTCTAACCGAAGCCTCATCGCCAGCCTGTAACGGGCCCATAGACGTAAAAAGACGAAGATCGAACAAACAGACATTGCGATTGCATTAGAAGCAATGCATATGTAGTACAACTCCCGGTCGGGATTGTCAAAGTTGGACTCCTTGCCTGGAGGCGGTTCCATCGCTGGTTTGGTCATGTTGGCTATTAGTTGAGTGCAAAAGCTTAGATGCTTAAGAGTGCGTCCAGAATCGTCGAGTCGCAGAACCAGGAGAGAAACTCAAAAACTGCCACGGGTAGATACAGCGTGTCAGGGCCATATGTACCCACTGTAGACGCCAGATGCAGGTAATAGGAGCTACGACATGGCGGCGAATCCTCCGTTCAGTGATCATCCGCAGCTGACAGTGGGACCAGTAAAACTTCTCAGACCTAGGATCTTGAGGCAATGAATGTAATAGTCACAGATAATATGATCAGTTGCTGATTTCACGTGGACTCGGTCGAGTGATGGGCCGGTATGAGCAGAACCCCTGAGAATGGCCCATTGTACCTATCGCATGCATATGAGTGAGATCATAGAGAAAGTTCCTCGCCTACTACCGAGATCAATACTCGTATAAGTTAAAACAACAGGGCCAGATTTCCTCCGGGAGACATGGATATCAGATTCGAAGGCCTGTGAGGAGGATACGATTGGTTTGCCACGATCATAACATCAGATATTAATCTTCAGCATTCAGTGGGGGTTTCATTGTGAGACAAGGTCCCTTGGGCAAGCAATGTTGCATTTCAACCGCCAATCCTACAGTTGGAAGAGACAAGATGCAGAAAAGCTACCGAAATTAGACCACTCAGCCCCAACCTCGGCAGATAGCAAGTTCTCGAGATAGAAAAGATCGCCATGTCATATGCATGTTGGTCGTCCCGTCGTTACATCGCTTCCGTACTCGGCCCATTTACTGCCGATCGCCGTTTAACCCCCCCGCCGGTTTAATTCCCCGGGCCGTCCTCTCTTTTCTCGGTTACGAGAGAATTTGGTAAGGAATCCTTGTCTTCACATGTAATTACTGATTGACTGGCTGTCGCGTGCAGAAAGTTTTCAGGGAAGGAAGAAAAAGCAACGATAATGATACGATTCTATAGTTTGAGAGTGTAATGAGCTATCATTTAGTGGTAGCATATGGCATGTGAAAGTAGAGAAACTTCCTAGAAGATTGCTTGTGCATTGGGGGGCGAGGATATACCGCCTTTCATGTTGAACGGCGTCGATGACACGAAGAATGTCCAGCGGTTCAGTTTCTTGCATGTCTCGGCCAATCTCTCTAGATCAAACAATTCACCTGCACCTATTAGCCCTTGAACCTCTGCACACAAGTAACTCACCAATCGGCATCCCCCATCCCGCCAACATATACTCATGCATCAGAACACCCCCCTCACTTGGCGGGTATACCTGCACGCATCCATCAGTCCGTGACATGAAACTGCTCACATAAACTTACCTCCCAGCTAATAGCATCGCCCGCCACAGCTGCAAAGCCCGTGTTCCATATCCACTTGAGCACATCCAGTGTTCCTTCAACGCCTGCGTGTTGAGGACTTGTCGTAGCAGCATATGCCTTTTTGGCATTGACATCCATAGCATGCTCCCATTCTTTAATGACGCCGATTCTGACGAGAAGAATGTCGCCGCGTTGAAAGGTGATGTTGCATTCTTTGGCGATCTGGTGGATGTCGCTGAGTTTGATGGTGTGTAGAGAGAAGGTTGAGTAGGTGATGCCGTTCCTTTCAGCCCATGATGCGTAGTCGATTAGAACCCCGCGACCTGTAATACAGTATCAGACATGAAACGAACTTTGGAGACTCTGACTGACCTGTTATTCCCTCTTGAGCCCAATGATGAATACCGATACGATCATTAGTCCTATCCAAAATCTCCTCCTTCGTCGTCCCCCCATAAAATACCCTCTCTTTACTCCCCTCCTCCTTTGGCATAGAAAAGTGTCTCAGCCCATCCCACTGACTACTCTGCTCTACTAAAAGTCAACACTACCCCTAAACCCCAGGAAAAATACTAACGTGGATTCATAACGTAAATATCATCAAAAGCAACGCCATCCAGCAGCGGCACCATCTTAAGCTCGCACGGCTGCCGGTTAAAGCACGCAAACTCAAGCTTATTCAGATCCCAACCGAGATTGACGCGGATCCCAGTCTTGATCTGTGTCTGTGCGGCTGAAGCCACCCGCTCTGGCGTCAGGAGGACGAGACGGCCGAGGCCCTCTTCTCGGCTGCCCGGTTGGCCTATCCAGACACGTTTGGGATCGGGGAGTTCGTCCCATTGCTTTTCCATGAATGAGGGGTCCATTTTGAGAGATGTAGAGTGATTGATGCGGAAAGTATGCAGTAGAGAAGCTTGTTTATAGCATCGTGATGGCGTACCCCTCATGCTAAGGAGCTGCATGTTCCACAGCTGCTGCCATGATCCGAGGTTTGTGAGACAAGGATCGGTTAACGGATTGCTTGGTGTCGCAATTACATGTTTCTCAGTTACATCCAAGTGGGTAATAACATGCAGACCTGTCACAACATGTAAACCACGCTGTCAATCCCTGTAGGCGACATGCCAGTCGAAACCGGCACGTCTCTTCCATCTCCCGGTGATCTGCATGGGCTGGGGTAGCACTAAGAATGTGACTGTCAAAAGACCACGCCGATCGCAGTTCTTCTCTCCCTTCTCTGCTTAATTAACTTTTTTTTTTCTTTTCCTTTTATTTCTTTTTTCTTTTTCGCTCCCGTATCCTGTCGAATTGGTACACGTCGCAAGAATGCCGCAGACTGGGAACCAGACGAGCTTGTACAACAAGCTCGTCATTACTTTTGTCGCAATCGGCGGGACCGTAAGTTTTGACCACCTCGTATTAACGTTTAATTACCAGTGCAACATGCTTACATTGACACACAGACGTACGGGTATGCAGCGTCTATCATCGGGAGCACAATCGGACAACCTGGCTGGTACCAGTTCTTCAATCTTCCTGCTGATGGGGAGCCGGGCTACGATACTATAACGACACCGGCGATTGCGACGGCCAATGGACTCTTTTCTGCTGGCGGTGCGTTTGCGTGTCTGGTGCTCATGTGGGCTTGCGACTACTATGGGAGATTGAGGAGTATTCAGTTTGGCTGTGCTTTGGGGATTCTTGGTGGTATTCTTCAGTGCGCTGCGCAGAACCTTGCGTGAGTGCCCGCTCTGCCGAGCTTTGTCGCAAGTCAAGACTAATGGTGTTGTAGTATGTTCCAGGCTGGACGATGGATTATGGGAATGTGCGTTGGTCTCATGGCTACCGTGACACCGATGTATCTCTCCGAGATGTCCAGTCCTCTCGCACGTGGCTGGCTCGTAGGCCATCACGCCATCTTTCTCGTCTTTGGCTACATGCTGTCCTCGTGGATTGGCTTCGCAGTCTACTTCTCCAAGAATCTTGAGTTTGGCTGGCGCTTCCCATTAGCCTTCCAAGTCTTCCCTCCACTGGTCTTGCTTCTCGGGTCACCTTGGATCCCTCGCTCACCACGGTGGCTCATGTCCAAGGGCCACCGTGAAGAAGCGTGGTCTGTTCTGGTTCGTCTTCGTAGGTCAGCCAATGATCCTGAAGATCTGGTTGCCAAGGAAGAGTACTATCAGATTGAGAAGCAGCTCGAGCTTGATGCAAAGAAGCTTGAGGCTTACGGGGGAAACCCATGGAGGGCTGTGGTCCAGAAGAAGAGCTATCGCAAGCGTATGCTCATTGGATTCATGACGCAATGGGGTGCCGAGTTTGGAGGTCCTCTCATCATTGTAAGTACCAGTCCCTCCAGCAAATATCAAAACTAACATGAGCAAGAACAACTACGCAGTCATCCTGTATACTAGTCTAGGCCAGACTGGATACATGCCGCTTCTATTATCGGCTCTCTGGTTGACTACCGCCGGATTGATCTACAACCCTGGCGGTGCTTGGCTACATGACAAGGTCAACTCGCGTCGCAAGATGTACATGACTGGCTTCATTGGCATCGTTATCACCACTTCCATCTACTGCGCCATGATCTCATTGTACGCCGGTACAGACAACAAGGCAGGTAATGCTATCGGTGTGCTGTTCATGTTCTTGTATCTCGCCTTCCAAGGAACCTTCTGCAACACAACCATGTATCTTTATGTCTCAGAGATCTTTCCTACTGAGATCCGATCAATTGGCATCGGATGGTCTCTATTTGGACAATTCGCGGGTAGGTAACCTCATCGTACTCAACCAGCAACATACTGACACTCCCAGCTACTATCATCCTTCTTCAGACGGCGCCCATCGGGTTCAATGCCGTCGGCTGGAAATACTTCCTCCTGGTCATATGCTGGAGTGTTCTCTTCATCCCTGCCATTTTCTTCTTCTGGCCCGAGACTGCTAGACTTTCTTTGGAAGAGATTGGCAAACAGTTTGGGGATGAAGTTGCTGTCCATATCATGGATGCGACAGATGAAGAGCGCGCCGCGATTGATAGGCAGTTGATGGGCGAGATCCATGGTGACAACAAGGCGCCGGGTAACGCTGCAAATGAGATCCCTTCTAGTAATAGTAGCCAGTACATCGCGACCAAGCAGTAAGCTGGCGAGCGCCTGTCACATGATATAGGACCTGAGATATTGTGAGGGACGGATAGCATCGAGATAGCATTGATGGCCCGGCAGGTCATTATCACATGTTTAAGAGTTATGCACAGAGATATTCACCACTGCCATCGAGTGCATGTATAAGCCAAAACGTGACAGAAGAGCCAGGTCAAACGTCAAGCTTCAACGGGGCTCTCATGCCAAGGAACGATTTCGCAACCCTTTCCTCTCCCCTGGGATTCCAGCACCGCATCTTCAACCCGAAAATGCCAGTGCTGAATCTTACCACTTCAGCAAAGTTCAACGGTTCACCGGCTTCTTTTCCCCGCCAAATTCTCGGAGCCAAACGCGGCAAATGTGACGAGCGCTGGGGTTACAGCACTAATGCCGAGCATTCACATGTTCACCAACACCCAAGGAATCGGACCCTGGTTCTTTGATCGACACGCTGCATAGGGGGCTCCAGGGTCTTAAGTGTCTCTTGTCTCATTTCCGCTTGAAGAAAGGCATGTACTGCCCAATGCTCCTTACGTTTCACTGCATTGTTCTCTCATTTGACGAGTGGCTATCTAGATTGCCCTCCCTCCATCAACGTCAAGGTTAACTCCCGTAATAAACGAAGCCTCCTCACTCGCCAAAAACACCGCTGCCTTGGCAACATCCCTAATCTCCCCCATCCTCCCAAGCGGAACATTCCCCAACGCCTTCTGAACCTCTGGCGTAATCTCCTTCCCGATAAACGTAGGAAGTAGACCTGTCATAGTCGCCAAGGGACAAATGGAGTTGACGCGTATTCCATCCGGGCCATATTCCGCCGCAAGACCCATGGTCGCCTGTGCCTTGGCGTTAGCTTTGCATGATATGGGCCGATGACTTACGTTTGTGATTGCTCCTTTGGATGCGTTGTACCATACCAGCCCGGGTCGAGGTCGATGGGCGCCTACGGAGGCGATGTTGATCATTGAGCCTTTTGAACCCTGCTTTTTGACCTGGGCTGTGAAGGCTTTGCTGCCGAGGAAGACGCTCTTGACGTTGACGCTCATAACCTTGTCGAACTCTTCCTCTGTGACCAAATTTGTGCTCTGTCGCTGTCAATTTACCCCCCATCGATTGAGCCTCAATCACTTGCCTTGTTCTCATAGCTGGTACCGGCGTTATTGACCAGAATGTCGAGATGGCCCCAGAGCTGGACGGCTTTATCAACAGCGCTTTGCCAATCTGCTGCTTTAGTGACGTTCATACTCTGAAACTCGAAGGATTCAGACGTCGCAGCTACTTTCTGGCCTGCTGCTTCGTTGATGTCGCAGATGAGGACTTTGGCGCCCTCTTCAGCGAAGTGCTCAGCGATACCTTGGCCGAAGCCAGACGCAGCGCCTGGTTCTATCTCAGTAGTGGCCATAGATGCGATGAGGTACATACCAGTAACAATAGCGACTTTACCATCTAAGCGACCCATGATTACTGTTCAGTTCTTTGGAACCTGCATTGACACTGAGAGGTGACTGAAGCGACGTGATACATATACTTGCCCCTCACGTTCGTCGTTCGTGAGAATTGATTCCCTACCACGAAGGGTAACCAGAAAAGAGTGCAGATCTTAACCTTGTACGGCAGGTGGCTTGAACTCTAGGCATGCAGCGATGACCCGACTCGCTGATTGTGTTGGTGGTCGAGAAGCGGGGAATCTTGCCATGATCATTACTAACCGAGTTCTTACGTGCATAACCCGAGGGTAAAGCATATGATGAGAGTAACCAGAAGCTTTCATAGAACTTGCCCCATTTCACTGAAGTCTTGTTTGGTCTTTTTGAAGACAAAGAAAACGCTTACTCAGGCCGTTTGACTCATTTACATCGCAACCTCTAAACGGTATTGTCGATTGCCTACCAAGCTTGGGGGAACAAGATGGCTTACCCGTTACCGTTCAAAGTACGCATCTGATAATGTGATTTGAACTCAACTAACCATCTGAAGCTCAATCGTCCTGATCTCCTCATCACCGAATCTTACATCCAAGGCCAAACTAAGCCCGGCCTTTCCGGGTCAACCTTCGACGTTCTCGGTAAGCTCCTCCATATCACGAAATCTCACCGTTCTGACACCGCATCTAGATCCCGGCACCAATAAGCCATGGACAAGAGTCACCAACAACTCAGCAGATGACGTCGACGCAACCGTTCGCGTCGCACACAAGGCGTTCCAATCGTTCAAGAAAACATCCCCTCGAGCACGTGCCCAATGGCTTCTCAAATGGGACGCTCTTATCCGTGAGCATAAAGCCGATTTAGCCACGCTCTTGGTGTATGAGACGGGAAAACCATATTTAGAGGCAATCGGGGAGATGGACTATTCCCTGACATTTGTGTCATGGTTTGCAGGCGAGGCAGAGCGGATCCAAGGAACGTGCTTTGCCCCATCTGCCCCAGACAGGCGAGTAGTCACTATCAAGCAGCCCCTCGGCGTCGCAGTCGCCTTGGTGCCGTGGAATTTCCCCATTGCTATGGTTCTCAGAAAAGCTGCTGCTGCGTTGGCGGCTGGTTGCACCATGGTAGTTAAGCCGTCGCCTGAAACGCCAGTCACTGCTATGGCTTTGGCCAAGTTGGCCACCGAGGCTGGATTCCCGGATGGCGTTCTGAATGTCTTACCGACAAGCTTGGAAAACACGCCATCGCTGAGTGAAGCGCTCTGCAAGCATGAACTGGTTAAGAAGGTTACCTTTACAGGATCAACTCGCGTTGGAACCCTGGTTGCGAACCACTGCAGTTCAGGTCTCAAGAAAGTGGTTTTAGAGCTAGGCGGCAATTGCCCTTGTCTCATATTCGACGACGCAGACGTCGAAGCTGCTCTGCGAGAACTTGTCGGTCTCAAATGGCGCCACGCAGGTCAAGCTTGTGTCACAGTCAATCGCTTCCTTGTGCAGTCTGGGGTATACGACAAGTTCCTCCAGCGCTTCGTTGAAGAGACTGCCAAGTATGTCATCGGCCACGGCGCTGCTGAAGGAACTACCCTTGGACCCGTTACGAAGCCTGAGAGTTTGGATCGAGCTGAGAGACTTATTAAAGATGCTGTTTCGAAAGGTGCTCGGATTGTCACTGGGGGTAATCGTGCTTCTCCCAAGGGAGGCGAAGGCGGATATTTTTTTGAGCCGACGATTCTCGCTGATATGCCGCATGATACTCTGATCTCCTGCGAGGAGTGTTTCGCGCCAATCGCAGCTTTTTATAAATTTGAGACAGAGGAAGAAGCTGTTCAGGTAGCTAATGATACGCCGATGGGTCTTGCTAGCTATGCATTTACCAAGAACGCGGATCGTATCTGGCGAATGCTTGAGAACCTTGAGGCTGGAATGATTGCACTTAACACAGGTGAGTATTCTACTTGGATCTTGGCGACGTATGCTGATGAGATATTAGGCAATTCTTCTGCGGCCGAGTCACCATTTGGAGGGATCAAGATGTCAGGTTATGGGAAGGAAGCTGGGAAGGATGTAGCTGTGAGCGAGTACATGATATCTAAGACCGGTACTATCACAGTCCATGGGCTTGTTTAGCCGGTGGAGAAACACACATGCTCCTCTGGGGGTTAGTAGCTAGTCTTTCTCACGGTCAGTATTGTCTCCACCGGCCAATGTTGGAAGTGAAGAGATGACTGTGTCTAACTAACAAATACCAATCTAGTCAAGTCGCTGAAGCTGAGACAAACAAGAGCATCTTTTAGCCAATCGACAATGTTAAATTGTAAAATCCAATCTCGGCATGATGTATGTTTCTTAGCCTGCAGAGCTGAACTCCGAACTCCTAGCAGACGAGATTATTTATGCCAGTTTGGCTGGGACTCCGTCAAAGCAGTAGATGTTCCCCACTTCCAGGTAGTGCTTCTTTAAAATGTAAACTAAATAAACTTGTTTAACACTTGATAGAGCCGTGAAATATATTTATCTATCTATAGGGGTAATAGTAGAGTATGGAAAGATATTCGGTCTCACTTTGCGCCAGGGCTTTCGATTCCAGTGACTCAGGTGGTATACCAGTGGCATTCCCCCGCCTAGAGCTGCCCCGCAACCATATATAAATGGTGCTGAGACATTGATCATAACAGCTGGGCCTAGACTGACATTGATATGCCAGTCAACTTTAGTCAGCTAGCCACGTGAAATCAACTGATGATGCAGAGGGTTAGTCTCTGCATCTGAAGCTATTCACATTCGGCCGCAGTGCTTAGCTGTATCTTTAACCTGCTAGTAAACTCTTAAACAAATTTATTGTCATTAAATGCTGGTGGCTTGCATAAAATATTGCTTGATAACCGAAAAAGCACAGTTAGATAACAGGGCACGCATGAAGCCTGGCTAAATTAGTACTTATAGATCATAATTTTAATCTCATATGTTGTGGCGGAGTATTAGGACTCTAAGACATGGCGGTTGAAAATACACAACGCGCAATCTCCTTCATGCACATATAGCACTCATTTTACATCTGTTTCGCTAGATTACAGCTGAATTCACATAATAAACTGCTCGGAGCCTCAGCGATTACTGATGTACACAAAAGTATATCCATGCTTTTCCACTGATGCATCAGTGAGTGGTTGACTAATATTTACCTTTCCCAATTTCTACATTTTCCTTCTCTAACTAGAGTGACACCAGTTCCGGTGTTTATCCGATCTCGAAAATCTGGTCTGAAAAAGCTATGGCTTATCTTTAGTCAAGATCCGGCCATTAGTTCATCGAATTAAAGCGGGGTTGCCTACAGGCGACGAGGCAACTGCAAGGCAGACTTGCTAACTCAATATCCGGAACTCTTATGGACACCGATGAACATCACGCTCCTCCATTACATATCAACCATCTTCTAGGAGTTTGCTTCCATGCGGCCATGGGCGACGATGCAAGACATGCAGTGGACGACTTAGCCCACGCCCTCGGCTTTCATGATGGACAACAGACCACTTATGTTCCCTATCTCAACTATATCCAAGGATGCTGGCCAGGAAAACGAACCAAGAATGAATTCGTGCAGTTGTTTGCCGAAGTTGTGACATTCTTTATCGGTGAGTCGAGCTACTGTCCATTCTAGGATAGGGATTGATATTTCTAGCAGAACATCACGAGTCTTCTGTTCAAAGCTATATAGATTCTCTTGTGAATCATAGTCAGCACACCTACTTTCAGGACACTCTTCCTGCCTCTAAAGTTCGTAAGATCGCAGTTGAGGATGCAGTTCTGCTCATCCTTGGCTCATGGACATTGATGCGCACGTATTTTATTCCTTTACATGGACGACCGAGACATATCTTTCAGGTGGCCTCAAATTGCCAATCTGACCTTGAGCCTATGCAGCAATCTCTGTTTAATCTGATCGGAAGCTCCGGCTTGATCCCAAATTCTCGGGAAGCCCTACCTCCCATTGAATCCGTTACGCAGCCGGATTTGGAACTGGACGACATGTCTTCGTTGAGTCCTTCATTTGCCAATCACTCATCGGCTGGACTAATCGAGTCACTGTCCATCGAAGCTAGGGACCTCAATCTATCCAAACTCATGACTCTGGCCCGGGTGCGTCTAATATGGACGGACAACCTGTCCCGCCATCTTTTACTATCTAGACGCGGTCAGAAGAAGTACCTTGAGCTTTTTGCCCTTCCATGTGCACTGCATCGAGGAAGTCTCAACGTATTTGGCACTATTGGCATCTCTGCCGACCTCCTCGATGAGATCGAATCATCCTACGCAAACCTATTTAACCCGATCGTTCCAAACCGTATACACAAGTATGTCGAAAACTTCATCGGGCTTCGACTATGGTGTTGGTGCCTTAGTTGCTCTTCACAACGGTTAAAAAGTCGTGAACTACGCATGCTCAAAAGCCAGGTCTCTCGCGTGGGACGACGTAATGACCGATTTCGTCATAGTCAGCTACAGCTACCTTACGACCCCATGCTTGATACTTTGGCTGGACGGGAGGCGACCTGGTGGGATCAAACCGAGTTCGAAAATCTCTGGCCGCGAATTCTGGCTCTCGAGAAATGCTTGCAAGAAGCGCGCCCGTGGAGCTTCTGGGTTTTGCTACGGGATAAACGAGACACGGTTCAATATTGGACATTCCTGTAAGATATTAGTTCCTTATCGATCTTTTGATGTTGCTAACAGCAATGACTAGGTTCGGAACAGTTATTCTCGCGCTCACTATGGTACAAGTTGTCTTGGGGGCATTACAAGTGTCCGGATCATAAAGCTCTGCATGTGGCACTAGAAGGGTAAAGATTCGCATTCAAATTGTCCTGTTCAAGAAATATTTACGATAGCATAGGTAATACGCTATAGATTCCATATACACAACAAACCTCACATAATGTGATGCCTCTCTCTCAATGCTTCAGGGACTTGAAGGGCCCCATAAAAAGCTACACGCCCCTGCTCCAACCTGCTGTACAGTCTTGGGCCCTCCAAGTCAAAGTTTTGAACGACAGACACATCTTGAACGAAAGAAGTAAATCCAGCCACCTTGGCACATGTGGTTCCATCCTCGAGCTCCTCCATTGTGCACAGGGCTGTCCCACTTTGGGCCCCGTCAGGCCGGAAATCTGGATGGATTCGAAACAAGAGAGACCTGGCTACGAGACCGGTCCAGACCTCTGAATCTTGCGTCGCATCTGAGCTCGTACTAGGGCGTCGTAGAGAAAAGCGTGTGGTTTTCGGTGGTTGCCGCATTCTGAAGATTCCTTGTCCAACGGCCTAAGCTCAATAGGTCAGTGACATCGGGAGAAACTGGATTCGAAGATGGGACAAATGGAGACATACCTGGCATTGACATTCCAATAGTCCTATACTCTTGATGTTTGCTTGCCTTGAAGGTGCCGTGGAAACATGCCGGAGAAGGTGAAGCCTCGTTGTGCGATACCTGATTTCCTGCCAACCAGAATTCGAGAGCCATTCAGTTGGGATAGGGGTTTTGATGTTTGATACGAGTTCGATTGGGGCATTCGATACGTCAACTAAGCTGATGTCGTGGAGAAAACCGAGGGGAAAATGGCTTGCGGCTGGGTCAAATGTTTCAGATATGGGTCCTAGCTAAACCAATGGTGACTGGAGTCAGTAAAAGTATGTCTTCATAATGGTTGTTTTACCTCTTTGTTGCCGTTACTGGAAACTATCTGTACGTCGTTAATCCATGAATCTCCCGGGAACGAAGCCGACCTCGCTGCCGTAAGCGCAGAGGTGACGACGTGTGTAGGTATTGTCACGAAAGTCCTGTCTCCCATTCTTGTCATGAGACCGATTCGACCCTCGTAACGGTCCTTTAGCTTGGTACCTTTGACCGATGCCTGCATGGCGCTTCCAATAGTCAGCTTAAGCATGGCGTCAATGTGTGCCGCAGATGATTGACTAGCTGTTGAGCTGGCACCTGGAGCCGACTGTGTTGGCATTGGGGCATTTGTCAGGGTTTGAGGCACTTCCATCGAGGCTTGGCCAGTAATCCCCGCAGTAGGAGTCATGCTCTCCATGATATAAGTGACCTCCAGTCCACCGAACTCCCGGGGCCGGTGTGAAAGGGCGTACTGATAGTCAAAGTCATCCGGAATGATTATCTGAAGCTGGCCGTTGATCAGAAGGTAAAAGCCCAGAGAATCTTCATAAACCTTAAAGATCTCTGATATTACGTTGTCTGGTATTTGCCTCGTCGGATCAATGAACTTCGGATGAGGATCGGGCGGTGGCGTGACTGGTGCTCTGAGCGGGTACCTGCTTTCAACAGGGATGACAACTGGGACATCCGAAATGGCAATGGGCACCTTGTCCGTTGAAACACAGTCAACGGGGCTGCAGGTCCAACATTTGCCAAACTGGTGCACTTCTTCAAGTTTCATGTCTAATAAAAGGTCTTCGTTAATGGACTCCATGTTTGTGGCTTGCCCTGGCTTCTTGAGATGATCTAAGCCTTTCGCTGCTGTAGGGGCTTGAATTCTAGAGTCTTTTGCCTTTTGTTGATCCAGGGTCAGCGGTGGGGCTTCTGCTTGAGTATTGTCCCAGGTTGATGTGTCATCATGTGTATAGGCACTGGTGATTGGAGTCAGAGGGGGTGGCAGTTTTCTGCCACTGGCTGAGTAGGTGGTTCTTGCAGGTATTCGAGCTCCGGTCTTTTTGTAAAACGAAGATCGCGACGGAGTAGGAAGGGACGTGTTCTTGCTCCTCTCGTTATTTAAAGCTCCCTCCCGGTCTGCCTGGCTAGGGCCAGATCCATCAGAGTCCCGCAGCGTGCCTATATCGATGAACGCCTGAGGAAAGATGCCCGATTTGCCATTGGCATTTGTACCTGACCAGCACCAAAAGTCTTTATATAGCCCTATACTAATGTTAGATGCAGAAACTTTATATGCAAGATTAACAGATTCGCCGGCAGGCAACTTACAGCCGATATTCCTGATGACCTCATCCTTCTCAAACATAAGCCAGTGTGTATCCCTGATATTGAATTTCCACCTTGCGGTTGCCTTGACTAGGCTCGTCCCACCCATTTTAACATCACTAAATCGTGGCAAGTCTAGCCTTATGATGTCCATCGGCAAAGCTGCATATACCCCATCATGCCAACCAAGGCACCATTCGCCGCGATACTTTAGGGGCCATGAGAGCCCAACGACCCTCGCACCTTGAGCTAGCTCAAGTACTTGACTTCGATCATACACGAGCCGCTGGCCATATAATCTTCTCGCAGCTTCTTTGGATACCCCAGCAGGCATTCTGCCAATATCCTCAGACATCGCCAATACTGGGTGCGTCTCAACCGGTGACTTGAAATGTAAGTCATAGTCGTTTTCATACTGATCTGGAACCTCGTCCTGTTCGATTAATAAGAGCCCTGGAATCGCCGGTAAAGGTCGAGGATGGCGAGCTAAGTGAGCAAAGAGCGCCTTTTGGCTGAAAAATACAGTTGCATCGCTCGCATGAAGGGTTTGACCTTGATGGACGCAGAAAATACACCCGTACATAACATCATCTGAGCGTCGTGTTGGCAGATGACTCTTCTGGAGGAAGCGGAGGCGGTAACCGATCCCATTTATAACGTAATTTCCATGCTCTGCAAGACAGTCAGCATTTCGAGAATTCTGGCTATACCATTCGACATACCCGATTTGTTGATGTCTAGATTAACCTCCTTGAAGTCAAGCTCAAAGTTACACTTAGTACATCTTGCAATCACTGTCCTGGAAGTGAAACCCTACGTTGATCAGCAGAATTCGATAAGCAAATATGGTAGAAGAAGATGCATACTGCTTTCACGACTATTTGAAATCCAGTTCCTCCATTAATGGTCTCCTTTGCGCCATCGCAAAATCCTTTATGTATATAAAAGGAACTCTGAGGGTTGAGTTTGCAGTCAGCAGCGAAGGGATTCGGTGGGGGTAGGGTAGTCAGCACGTCCGACTCAATAGGAATAGGAAGGAAATCGACTTCCGTGGGTTGTTTCGGTTTGACAACGTCCTGATCCTTGTTCATCGACAGAGCCTTGGCCAAAGGGAGATTCAGTTCAGCCGTGCTAGTGCTAGTGTCTTCAGTCGAGATGGAGGACCCTGGTCGGTTTGTGAAGAGTACTTTCATCCTGTCAGCTCGGCTGTGGTCGAAAACAGAGCTCTGGTCCGAGTTCACCGACTCTGGGGGCGATTTTTGTATTGAAGATGTATGTAGAACAGGTCTTGTAGAGATGCGTGGGCGACTGTCCTCAGTGGGGACCTCCAGCTTCATGTCTTTGAGGATATCATAGATTTTGGGGGCGGCGTTGCGAGCAACAGTCTCCAATTCCGCAAACTTTTCGGCTTCAAAATCATCAGGCTCTATGTAATCATCAAACTCCCACAATAGGTCGTTCAATTCGGATCTAAGGTCCGCGATTGCATCTTCACAATCATGTCAGTCAGAGTCTATTCAGTGATATGGACGAAATGTTTGCAACTATAGCCACAGCGAAATATGGGGGAGACTTGCCATTCTCCTTAAGAAAGTCCAGGAACTTGAGACCGTGCTTGTCCAGGAGCATGCGACAGAGCGGCTCGATTTTGTTAAGAGCACGGTCGCCCTCCTTGATGAGGCTCTGGGCAGCCTTCAGCATATACCCATTACCGCCAGCATTCTCTACAGCGGTCCGGCCTTGCGTGATGATGTCATTAAAGGGCGACGTAACGAGGTCCGAGACATCATCCATAGCGAGCCGAAGGAGTCGAGGCTTGAGGATAACTCGTAGAGCAGCTTATGAGCGAACTTTGCTAAGGATGACGGTTAAGACACCGACGGGGTGCGTGACCGGGTTGAAGCAAAAATGTGATGATTGTGTTGCCGTTAGCTCTAAGTTGCATGTGTCAGAAAGGTGCACAGCTACTTTTATGATATGCACGTCCTAGCCACTATCAGAAGTGATAATCTTAGTCATACTTTTTTACTGACGAGCGCTGAGGGGGGAAAGGGATGCGAAAAGAGGGGCACTCTTCAGGGCAGACTCCCTTAGGCACCCGCCAAGGCAGAATTGGACAATCGGCCGCTGAAGTTTGTAGAAAATAATACAACTTTAAGGTAAATCTTAAAAGCTAATATAGAAAGCTAATATAAAAAAAGGCCCATCAAAAGAGGGAAAAAAAGGAACAGTTATTATAACCTTCTGTCTAACTTCCAGTCCTATCGTTAGTTAGAAAAGCTCTGTTGCAAACGGAGCATTACCTCAAAAGCATACTGGAAAATATAGTGTGAATCAGGAATTGTTATTAGATGCAGCGAGTTACTTAACTTTATATGGATTACAGAATAGGTGCCTTATCCTAGGAGCTTTTGTTAATAATGAGTCGAAGAATTAATAGTAAAAGCAAAAGTTATTCACATTATTTCTTGTAAGTTTGACCTCATTAAGCCTCCGAGACTACCATCAAACTCGCTGCTGCCAACCTTGAACCAGCACTGTCCTACCGCTTTTACTTGCCTTATTATAGTTTTCTGCTTCTTTTTAAACAATCCAAAACCCTCTTTATCGTTGTTCGTCACACAAGCAATGGGATGTCAATCAGTTGAAAGGGTTTCAGGGTATTTATTTCCAACAAAATAGTGGCCTGTTATTCAATAGCAATAATAGCTTGGTTACATGTTGGCAGGGCTCAGGGAATGAGAGGTAACATTCTCCAGAGCTTTTGAGGCAGTGAGACGTGGAGAGTAACTTGATGCGGACTAGAGCTGACACGACACGGAAATCCGGCTGCTCCTCCAGCACAGACCGATTAATTTCGTGTCGCGAATCCATCTTCTTCAATCACTTCAACTTCTTTTCCTACTACTGAGCAATTTGTGTAACTTTGCTGATCAAAATGGAGATAATACCCGTTTCGTGGAGCGACCAGCCCAACCCGATCCCCAATCTCCGCACCCGAACATTCTTCATCACAGACCATCCTCTCGACGAGCAGGCCCTGAAAACAGGTCTAGATAAGCTGATCAGAAATCATTGGCGGAAACTTGGGGCGCGTATTTTCCCATCTCGCGGCGATACACGCCTGGAGTATCATTTACCGCATGTCTTTTCAGATGACTACGAGCTCTTCAAATGGTCATCCGTCAGCGCTGGTTACTCTTATGGTGAGACATATGAATTATCAAAGATTCTACATCCAGGCGATGGTGTAGCCTTTTTACCAGATATGGAGACGATTGACGCCCGGTTGAGGCCCAAGGACTGGCCATATGAACGAAAAGACGAGCCGCCTAATTCGCCGTTGTTGTATGTCCACTTAACCAAGTTTTCGGATGGAGCAGCTCTCGCGATGAGTGTACCGCATGTCTTTGCTGACCAGGGCGGCTTGGCCAATATCATCAAGGCATGGCTTGCTGTCATCGATGGGAAAACGCCGCCAGAGATGACCGGGTACAAGGATGATGTGCTGGGAAGTGAAAAGCTCTCCAACATCGAAGCTGGCCGGGGTGATCGGATCGGACGGATGCGTATACGCAGCATCAAGGATCAGGCGTTGGTGATTGGAAGAATTGCTCTCGACTTGTGGAAAGACAAGAAAGAGGAGTCTAGACTCGTTTTTCTACCAATACAGGTAGTGCAAAATTTGAGAGACAAGGCGAGAGAACGTTTGGATGGTAAGCATGTTTTGGCGAGTGAGATCAGCAACGGTGATATCATTACTGCCATCTTCACAAAGGTACACTATCAACTACCTAGAAACAATCCTGCCCTGCTAAAGACGCCAAATAGCTTGCCAGGATCAACTGCGAAATCAAGTACGACGTTTCGCTTTCCTCAACCATCAACTGTAAGTCGACCTATTCATTCAACACATCAGCTAACAAATTAGTACGAGACCGTATCCCCGAACTTCAAGGCGAGAAAGGCGAAGGGTTTGTTCACAATGCGGTCCACTACGCAACAGCCAACTTCGCTATCAAGCCATCAACAGAGCTAGACGAGATTGCGCTTCAGAACCGAATAGCCGTTAACAAAGCACTCGAGGAATCGGATATCAAAGCTGGAGTTAGCACTCTCCGAGAACTCGCCAAGGCGAATCAGGTCATGCTTATCTGCGAACCTCACCATAAGCTCTATAGCTCTTCGAATTGGAGTGGTTCATGGCAGGGCATTGACTTCACCAAGGCTGCGCCAAAGTCCTATGACTTGTCGAGCCATAGGAAAGAGATGGTTGTTCTTGGACAGAGCAAGACGCTTAAGGCGCCGTTGAGATGTAATTGCACTGTCGTGTTGAGTTTCAAGATACTGACTGGTTGATAGATCGTGCTGTGATCATGTGTCGAACGAGTGAAGGCTTCTGGTGCGACTTTGCAGCTCCAGTTAAAACAATGGCTTTGGTAGAGAAGTTCTTTGGGTGGGATCCTTCGTTGGGAATCCTGCTGGAGGAGATGGATACTTATGGCACTTCCCAGAGTCGACGAGCATCTTAGTCAAATTGTAGGATCTCGTGGTCATTATTCCTTATTCTTAGGCCTCAAGCAGGAGTGGTTCGAAACAAACACAAATAGCTAACCTCTCAGCTAAGGTTTTATCTCAAGCATCACGAGGAAATAGTTGGAAAGTCACCTGCTGTGTTCTTTGCCCTGAAGTTGGCGATAGAGCTTCTTTTAAAACCCTCAGCCTTATTACTATATGGTACTTCACTCCGTAGTGGTGTTTTGGTAAATATACTAAGTAACGACTTGGGTAACATTTACTTTTCTCTGCATAAGGGAAATTAACCGAACAATTATTTAAACAAGCTAAGGCTACTTGTATTTATATAACCTTGTATTAGTCCAACAGTACTGTCTGGGGTTCGACTTAGTAACGGACGTAAATCGAAATAGTATCAATTTATTCTTAGAAGTTAAGAAAGAATGTGTTAGTCACAGGTAGTGTATGAGTCACATATTGTCATCACCCAAGCCTTTTGGCAGCCTCATGCATCCTGTATCAGCCGCCGGCATCCCTAACCACATCCACAAAGTCTCCTCACGAGCCCAACGCAGTTTCTCCCTCCCGAGAAGATCATTTGCTCCGTCAGTATTCCCTTTCCGTAGCAATTTAAGCGCCCGCTCCGCAATGTCCAGCCATCTTGGTGGATCAGGCTCATCATCAGGATCATCTGCATCATCTGTAACAATACCATCAAAGAGTGAGCTTGCGTTATTCTCATCGCCATCTCTTCCTCTGTATCTGAGCATATATGCAAGGTCGAGCCGAATCCACTGCAGGGCCCTGTTATTGTGCTTCTCGTCAATCTCGATGAGTAATAACTCCAGTATCCCAATAGACTTGTCGAGTTGTCCATCCTCGAACAACCACAGAGCCCTCATATGCTTGACTTGGCAGGCTCGTATTATATTTTGCTCTCTGTCCAGTCCCCCGTTGGTTTCAAGCTCTTCGATGATTTCAGCTGATTCATCCTGTTGACCAAAATCTCTGTATGTAATTGCCAACACAAGAGCTGTATCGAGCGTCAAAAAGTGAGAGAGTTGCCAGAAGCTACGTCGAAAGCCAAGTGCAGGCTGAATATTCTGCAGAGCCCCCTCATCGGAGCCCAATTTTCGGTATAAATCTCCCAGGAAGATCTGTGTAGTTACTCCAAAAGAGTCCTTCGGCCCATACTGTTCCTTTCGCTTGTCACGCACAGACTCGAGTAGTTTGATGCCTTGTTCAATATGACCAGCTGATGCATTAGCAACAGCATACCATAATTGAGCTATCAGATAGCCATTGCTCCCCGGACCTAGGATACGAAAGAAACCCTCCAAAGAATCAGTAAGTGTTTTCAGTGCTTTCGGCGAGTCAAGCATGAGATATTCAGCCTGAGCCTTGAAAACAAGTGTAAAGTAGGAACTGGCATCATCTGGACCTCCAACTTCACGCTGGACGTTGGCTATTTCGGCATAGAGTCTCTGGGCTTCCCGGAGCTTGTTGTTGAAAAGAAATGTGTATGTTGCATCTGCAGACGCTCGAAGCGCTAGAGGGTGACGTGGTCCAAGGAGATCCTTGAGCCCAGCAGCGACCTTCCTACGAACTTCTGCCATTTCAGTCATCCTTCCCTTATCGTAGTAGTAGAACCCAAGATGCATCAAAGCTAGCCATTGTAATTCCTTGTCTTCTTCATTTTCTTTGAAGACTGTAGCAAGATTTCGGTAAGGGAACTCAAAGTAGTCATCCAGGTGTATCAGAGATCTGTCACGGTGAGTCAAACTCTTTGACCAAACCGTCAAAGTAATCTCTGTTGACCGGATGGCTTGAAAGTCACCACTATCCGTGACCGAGTATTCAGCCCAGTAGGCGAAGTTGAGTAGATGTAGAAATTTGTTGGCGAGTTCCAGTAAACTTTGGTCCGGAGCCGAGAGGGCTGTGAGATGAATGTACCAGTAGCGAGCAGCATATTCGTAAAAGCTCTTGTCGTCACTAGGATCGGAAACACCAGCTCCAATATTCTTCCTCAGACGTTGACCGATGCGGTCCTGACTTCCATATATCTCTCTAATGAGAAACTCAAGACACTTCCGAGCCAAAGTCGCGTCGGGGCCTGATTTGGAGAATCTGATGTCACCGAGTGCTCCACTAAGCAGGAAATCTCGGACAGAAGCATGACTGAGACTCACACTGCCATCAGCAACCTGAATCAAAGGTTGGCAATGCGTTGAAGTAATAAACTGGGCAATGCCCGAGTCTGGAATTAAACCAAGGGCGTCATCCAATTCATCCATCTTAAATCCCCTTCGAGCTCCAAGCAACATTAGAAATATCTCCTGACAAATTGACTTATTCTCGTCATCAAGGCTGCTTAGCCTATCCAGCCAAACTTTGGTGTAAACGCCCCAGATATCATTGGGCCAGTCTTCGACAATTGCATTGAATGTCGCCGTCTTGCGAGTAGCTGCCAACTGCTGTAGGAATTTTGTAGCCCACAAAAAGTTGTTGGCATCGCGGTTGAGTCGGAAGGTCACCTGACGCTTCATATCATCTGTGAATTTCAAATTCCTTTGTGCTGAAGCACAGAATGCCATAATCTCAGGTATGGTATCTTCTTCGGTGATTCTGATCTCATTCATGTGGGGTTCCGACGAGGTTCCGAAGCCAAACATATCGTTAGGGCGAGAAAAGATAATAATCTTTCCGCTTGTGCGGTCCAGGACCTGTTGAAAACACTCCAGGAGCTCACCTGCTTGCGCATGGTTGCTGAAATTACATTCATCGATAGCATCGATGAGCAATACAAAATCTCCCTCCTTCTCTAAAAGGGTGGCACAGTGAGGCCATAGCTGCTCAAAGGGACATTCTTCAAATCGTGGCTTATACTGATTATATGAAGGAACAAGCTTTGTAAGAACTTGTGTTTGAAAGTCTTGAACTGGATATGTTGAAGGAAGAAGCTGGGCAAGGATTGAAATTGGAAGGCTGGCCCTGCCCCGCTTCTGTGAGGACACGTTGCACTGGAAGGCGTGCGTGAAGACGGTGTGCCCTGATTGAGACAAGGAACTGGAAGTTTGATGGGCGAGTACTGATTTGCCCGCGCCTATAATATAGTTGTTTGGTCATTCTTCCTAGTGCATCATCGATTTAGTACATACCTGGCTTACCCACTATCCAAAGTGGGCTCGGGAATCTATCTGCTCGCCATTTCTGGTACGTTGGGTGCGTAGTGAGCCACTTGGGCGGAGCATCCGATGCTGCAACATCAAGGCCTTTCGGGCGGTTGGCAACTGGACTAGCCAGTGCACTGATGCAGTTGTAAATTTGGCTGGTGTCCATTCTCATCTCCCGAGCTCCTGCATAGAAATGTAAGCATCAGCTCACTCGTCATCGCTAATGACGTAACCGAAGATAACATCAGTCCTCCTTTGCTGGTGTATAGTTTATGGCTCACGACAGTGTGATTCGATTGAATCTCGGAATTAAAGTGATGAGGTAATTAGATTTCTGTTATCTTACCTTTTTCCACATCATACGCCAACATTGCCTCGGTAATCATTTTGGGTTTTTCTGATAGAAAATACGGTCAGCTCTGGGTCATACGTATTCAGGTGCTTTAGCGTGATGGTAGGGCGATCTGGCCAGAAACTCAGGTGATATTGAAAAAAAACTACTGATATATCACTGAGCTTCAATACCGGATCTCGGCGGCAAATAAAGCTGCTGTGAAACACTTGACGCGTAGATAGCTCCGCGGTGGAATGATTGGGTGAAGAGGGCCAGAAGCAGCTTGGGATACCCTGGGGAATCTAGGCTGGGGCGAATGAGTCAGGTGACTGGGAGTCAATAATCACAAGGTTTCTGACCATACAGGGGGCGAGATAAGGCAAAACCTTGGGTGCGAAGAATAGTTGATCGACATAAAGCGATAGGGGAGGGCAATGAGACACGTAATTTGCTTTCACATACCTATAGATGTTTCGGATGTCTGTAGAATTCTTAACATCTCTGCCCTTATTTGTTTGTCTGTACACCCAGTCAACTGAGAACATGTAGTCCTTTCGTTATGCAGCCTTACTTTCTTCTTTATCTACGAGTGTAGATGGTCAGCCAAGTCAGGCATGTTTCGAGGGCGATCAATAACAAAGGAATAATGTTAGCTGTTTCAAGGGAGGTACACTTACCTTCCCAATCTACTTCCTTGTCTAACCTTTCTGCTGCGTCTCGCAACTTAGCGACTTTTGCCTCGAACTCTCGTCTGGCGCTATTGAAGAACGACGCTTGAAGTCTAGCTGCCGTGGGGGTTAGCGTTGGGGCCCAAGCTGGGTGCTTCGAAGAGATAAAAAGTCCAACTCACCCAGCCTATCTCGTTGAAAGCGCTCAATGGCAGAGTGCAAGAAGTCGAGAACATGGTAGTATAAGTCTACCGTGGCCTCTTCTACTCCTTGTCTATCCCCGAAACTTTTCGCCATTCTTGACCACCTCTCCGCATGTTGTGCAATGAGAAATATGCCGTTCGCCGTTACTTCTGACGCCTCTTTGCAATCTACGACCACCTGTCCTTCGTTAGCTGCTGTGTACACTGTCTACACAGTCAGGATCAAGAGATACTTGTAGAAGGTAGCGTATCGAACCCCAGACAAGTGCTGTAAATTTCGGCTCCTGTTGAATGAAAACATCGATGACCTGGGAGTGCCTCTCAAAATATGAAGCAATGTTGAAAAAGACCTTTGCAGCTCCTCTTTGCCTCTGGTAGTTGCCATATGTCTCTTTTGCTATTTGAATAAGCTCGTCCACAGTTTGTACCGTCTGAGTATCGTTCTGAGCTTGATTCGTTATATCTACTTCTGCACCTTGCGTTCTCTTTTTGAGTTTGTTTCTCTTCTTTATCTTTGGCGCCCATGTTTTCTGAAGCAACTGTTAATAGCAGATGGGTTAGTGACACCGAAAATAGTGTTTAAGGCTAATAAATTGGGCTTTAGGGCGCTACTGGTGCAGGCTGTCGTTCCACTGTACTAACCTGATTTGCTTTTTCCCAGCACAAAACATCGTTTTGGAAGAACTTTTTGAGTTGTTTTTCAGAAGGCAAAGTTTCGTCGATCATGGTATACTGCCATACGGGGAATGATAATGATGTCTCTCGCAGTGGATGAAAAGAGCAATCCATTATGAATAATTCATTCGATTAATCTGACCCCAAATTCTGTATCTACTAGAACAAGTCTCTCCCTCCTCCACTATGTTCATCTTCACTGGGGGTGACGAGGGAGGACAGAATAACTTTGGAGCAGCATCACGCTATTGTGTAAGACTTTTTTTAACCTCCTTTGGAAGTAGTAGGACTTGGAATCAGGCTCCGAAATTGCACTTCCTAACACTGTGGCTTGTTGAAGGGCGTCATAAGTCCAATTGCACCTGACCACGATGTTTCAGGCGAAGCATCTGTGTAACTTGGCAGAAGTCCCTGACCCAATGAGTAAAGGTCACGTAGGCGAGAACGACACCTTCTTTTTGTGAAGAGGTTGGTAAGCAGGTAGGGACTCAAATTTGCCTAATTGCACATCCCTCTGAGTAAGCCTCATTTTCAAGGTTGAATTAGAATTGAGCTTCAAGGCTAGAGCCTCAACTTTGTACAATATCTGGTGAAAACAAGATAATCAAGAATAACTTGGTGTAATTCTCACCAGAATGTGACCCGACTTTCCGCGCCCAAGGGGCGCGGTACTTTCGAAAGTGAGGCGAGCGAGCGGGGTTTGTGTTACATGACTAAAGTTACCGTAAGCAATCACAATTCCAGAACAGCATATCGGAATTAGGCTGAGACTCTGCATGGGTGTGCAGGGTGGCCTCAGTTTTGAAGGAGCAACAAATGTACGTAACTACACAGATCGAAGGCTTAAATCCGAGTTTGAAAGCTTCAATAAAACTTTGATTATAGATGAAGCTGAAATACACGCAAATAATATCATGGAAGGCATAGCATGAAGTGCAAACCAAAAACGTCTAAATGAAACCACCTTTATGTTTCATCCTGATAACTCACTGTCCGCCACTCCCTCTATTTCTCCGACGTCTCAGGGTTGAATCGTATTCAACGGGCTCCTCCTCAGATGAAAGCCCATCATCGTAGTTATCCGGCCTGTATGAGTCCTCATCAAGCCTCACGTTCGCCATTCTTGTCTCAAGATTCTCTTGGGGCCTTGTTTCCGTATCGTATGATGAGTAGTTTCGCGTTGTAGCTCTACCGGGACTTTGATAGTAGGAATATGTCTGATACGGGGGTTGCGGGTTATATGACGACAGCAGTGGCGGCTCATTTTGGACTTCTGGTTCATAAGTAACTGGTTCTTGTTGCCTTGTGCTTTGCTGTCCGTATGTACTTTGTTGTGCGCTTGATTGCTGCTGGTATGATGGTGCAACTCTTGAAGTCCTGGTTGGGCGTTGGTATACTGGTTGTTGATTATATGGCTGTTGCTGTGCTGCGGGCTGTTGCTGAAATGAGTTTGAGGGCCTTGGAGTTATGGATGGATCTTGGTTTGCAGATTGTTGTTGATATTGCATTTGCTGTCTTGCTGGCTCCTGACGGTATAAACCTTGTGGAATTGATGTCTGTTGTCCATAAGACAGTGATTGAGGGGCTGGTTGGGTTTGGTATGGATCTTGCTGTCCAAAGGCCTGTTGTTGCCCATATGCGAATTGTTGTGAGTATGGAGATGGCTGGCTATATGAAGCTGAATCTTGGTATGGAGGTTGAATAGTTCTTGAAGTGTTGCTTGCCATGGTTGGGTAGCGGCCAAAAGCAGTAGAATCGTCATAAGTGCTTGGAGTCTCTTGGTATGTTGTCCTCTGCCTTGGTTGGTTGGAGCTTCTACTTTGGGTATTGGCCCCAGATATCGGACTGAATGGGTTGTCCCTTCCCTGATATTGATTATATCCCTCATCACTGGCAGCCGCGGGCCGGCGGGACGTGGAGTCTCTCCTGCTTCTTCCACTTGTAGAAGTCCTTGGCGGACGAGAAGACCCTCCTGATGACCTAGCAGAAGCCTCATCACTTGCCCGTTCATTCCGACGATTGTCGCTACTGACAGGAGGTCTATCACTTCTAGACCTCTTATGCCGGGAAGATGAACTGGCTGATGGCCTTTCGGGTTCATCTCTGGAACTAGTCTGGCTTCGAGAGGTTGAGTGCCGACCTGAGGATCTGCGAGTGTCCTTGCCTTGTTGCCGACGATCTTCCAGATTGGCTGCCTGTTCTGTATCTGCTACTACTTCTGTGCGGCGCGTGGGCTGGTAGTGACTGCTGGGACAACCTTCGTGCTGCCTTTCACGCGGTAATGCAATCCCGTCCTTAACGTCGCTACCTGGAATCCAGATTGCATGACGCCGACAAAAGTAGCCATCACCGCAAGCGCACTTGACATCTCCCCACTGCTGATATTCTTGCAGCCAGAGTGCATGTTCGTCCCTATCGGCAGGATTTGGCTCGGGCCTTGGTGTTACACTAACTTGAGGAAACCTGTCGCAAGCATTCGTTGCACTGATGAGACGACAACTTGGCCCACCGCACACTGTTATGCAGGTCAGTCGTAGATACGGAGTGACAAAAAGCTCATTGTAAAGATCTACTCACTGTTTGCAGTTCTTAGCAGTATGGATGTCTTGAAAAGGCAAATGATATATGCTATATAGCTAAGATGGAAAGGGAAACGCTAACAAGTCGAGGTCCGGTGCTTGAATTGGAGGATTGCGTTAGTAATACTGGCTCTATGGGGCAACATTACTAGGCCCTCAACAGCGAGCAATCTAATTGTTTTTTTGCGGTAAAGATTTGTCCAGAATGAGAAGCATGTCAGCCCACCAACTGTGTCCGAGGGGTCACACCATTATATACCCCCATGTCAAGTGATGATGCAGGCAGACTCCTTTTGGAAGCACTCCGTTTCAGTCCGTAGAGAGAACAAGAATTCGAAAGGCAGTCAGTATTGCATGCAAGACAAGGCATATGCGCCGGCTGATTATCAGTGGCGCGAGATTCTGGTGACATCAGCTGTTGCGGCTGCGCCTACAAGGCAGCCGAGGCGGGCACATGGCCACAAAGCGCTCATAGGTTCAATGTCGCAATTGAGGCTCTCTTGCAGCTTTTGGTGCAATTGCGAGCCTAATAAGGCTGTGGAGAGTCACTTCGATTGAGGCCCAACGTAACACAAGAAGTAGCTCACGTGTACAGTAGTGGCTGTATGATTTACATCTCAGACTCTTTGCGTTATTTTTATCATTTCCGTTTGCGCCTTGCTATAATAACTTACAATTACAAAGGTATATAGCTAAATAAAATTATATTCTATACATTATTATATATATTATATCTTACTTAAATGACATTTAATTCCTTTCTATTTTCATTTAAATCGTAAAAGATATAACTTATAATATAAAATAGTAAAATTATTAAGACCATGAAAAACTTACAATTTATTACTATAAACTACAAACTTACCTATATCTAACAGTTTAGTCCTTACCTCATCCTTAGTGCCTTCTATAGTCTACCTGCAGCCCTCTCCCAAGAATCTTGAATGGTCCCCCAATATTTCTCTGGATCCTTCTTCATGTGCCCAACGTGTCCACTTTCAAAGGCCTGCCCCTCGCTAGGGTATCCAGCTTCGCGTGAAGCGGCCATATATCCTTCAATATGCTGCCACGGAATGAGAATGTCTCCCTTTCCGTACAAGAATAGTCGCGTGCTCTTCTTGCTTTCCCATTGCTCATTGGTGAAGATCCTGTGACTAAACTTGGGAGCAGATTCTCTTCCCGCAAGGGAGTCGAATACATGAATCAGAACGAAGAACCAGGCGCAAAGCACTTGTGTCACGATGAATGGCAAATGGAGCTTTGCTGCTAGCCCGATAGCCATGGCGTGAGAAAATCGCATGAGATTATCCCACGTGAGATATGGCGATCCAGGCGTAGAGTCATAGACCGTCAGTGTATGGGGCATCGGCTGGTTGTACCTCTCCTTGTAGGCATTCAAGGTGGCCGAGTAGTTGAGAGTCCCAGAATTGGACATGGCGTGGAACAAGACTAGGCCATCCGATGCATCGTTGGGGAAGACCTCGTGTATAACCGGAAGCATGTCCTCTGTGCGTTTAGCCACATGATCGATGAAGCCTTTGTAGATAGGCGACAGGACGGCGACTTGCTTGGCATGGGGGTATAACTGTCGATAGACATCGGTGAACTTTGAGATGTGTCTTGGAGGTGCGTCGCCCCAGCCGTAGATGACGACAGTGCGGGGGTGTTCAGGGTTTGGATGAGTGCCTGTCGGCGTTTCACCGGGACGAACGAATACTCTATCAGATAAGGGACTGAAGCCTGGAAAGCTGCTAGGTCTCGTAGATTTGCTCATGGTTAGGACTCTATGGTGATTTTTTGAGATCATCGAGAAGAGGGAAATATCCGCACATCGTCCTGCTATATATTTCGTTTCTTGAGCATGTCTGAATAAGCTTATTGTGTCCATATCAAGCCCGGATTGGTGGATAAGGAACAGGATGAAGCGAGTGCGAGAGAAGCTCTTACGTCAGATCAATTGAGGCGTTGTGATTGACTATCAAATGAGGCACAGAAGCTGTAGATAGGTTGGTGACGCGGAACAGTACGCGCTACAGTCTTGGCTTACCTTGCAACAGTTGTTGGGATCCCATAACGTTGGAGTCATGATAAGACCCGATAGAGCCACATCAAGACTTTGCCCGTCCTCAGAATCACTGGGTTTACTGCTTATGTTCTGAGGCTAGTAATATTTCTATTAAGGGCATGCATTGGCGGCTAATGCTTATCCAACCACTTGTCCTTCGGGACGAATGTTTTACATTACTCATTATATAATTGTTACATAGTAGTGAATATAGACGCTAGTTTATCATAAAATGTCTGTATACTCCGACAGAAGAAACTCATACCATTCGCTCTTGATCCGAAGTGGACGCCTGGTCCTGGGATTCTGTAAAGACGACCTTGGTCTCTACCTTCTTCATTATGCCATTCTCCCAGTCGGGTGTCCTTCTATACGAGTCATCTCGCGACATATCGTCCAGTCGCACATGACCTGTACGACTCGCCGTGACAAACGTAGTCATCCGACCGCTAACCAACTCATCGCGAACCCTCTGTCGACCTCCCTCGGAGGGTCTAGCGTCTTGCTCTCTTGAGCTCTTGACTATGTGGCCGAGAAGAGAGGCGACGTTCATCTCGATGTATAGTTTGAGGAGATAGACGAGTTGATGGAACTGGACATAGCTGATAGATGTTAGATATGACGCAACGTAGGTATAGGGCATACTGACACGACAGGACTGGGTAGAAATGTAGCTCCCATCAGCACGCAATCCAACGACACTGATATAATAACCATAACGACGTTGAAGTGGAACAGCTCAGTATACTTCGTCAATCCGCAAGCGATGAGTCGTGACCGAACCAAGTATATAAAGTAGAGATTGAGCGCTAGATCGACGATCAAGAAGACAGCCTTTTCGGTTCGGTCCCAGACGATGTTGATCTCTTCGTATAAGTGTGAGATCTGTAAGCGAGCCGGTACCCAGATGCAGAAGCCGCTGATGTTGATCAAGCTCGCAATCACTGCAACTCCCCACTTGACTCTGTTGATGTTCGTTTTGTTACCGAGGAGGAGGGATATTCGATTGATGATGATCTGGAGGGTAAACTGGATCTGCATACTCCAGAAAACAACTGCAGAAGACGTAAGTATAAGTTAGAGACTGCGGATAGGATGACGTACTGATAAAGAAAAAGACCCAGAAGCTAGAGAGCGTTATCGAGTCAGTATGCGTGGGGATAAGAAGAGAAAGGAGGATAATTACCTTGGGGGTGCGAAGCCTCGCAACCAGCAGTAAGTGATAATTCCCATGCAGTTGCATCCAATCCAATCAAGCCAGCACATGACGATGTATGCACTGAAGAGCCTTTTTCTCTGGTACGCCTGCATCGTCTGCTTGATGGCCATGCCAGCAGTGAACATTGATGCGCCCATGCTGAAGCCAAAGATAAGACTGACAATATTCATCTCCAGATCTTTTGGGGTCTCGGCCTTGTACCACGGGGGAATCAAAAAGCCCGCCATGGCTGGAGTGTAATGAGGAACGAGTACTAAACTTTGATATGATGACTGTTGAAAGAAACAAAGAAAGCAATGCCAAGAGCGGGACCAAGATATAATGACTTGTACGAAAGACGTTCAATACGAAAATTGAGACATGTTCCCCTGGTTTGGGCATTGTATCCATGATATGCAAAACCAAGGGGAGGGGGGGCTCCGGGTACTTGGAAACTACCGCCGTTAGCTTCGATCGTCAGTACGAGTCAGTGCCCAACACCCACTAACGATTCAATTTAATGCATGAAGATCACAACCCCAAAGCCATAGCGCCGGCCGCGATCATAGCGCATTGAGCAGTGAAGCAGCCGATCTTGCGACCCAAAAGTCGCAGATTCAATGCCAGAGGACCGGCCTAGACGCTATCCGCTGACGCCACGGGGGTTTTTGAGTTAGTGTCGTGACTCGGGAAATTGTTACATTGGGATGAAAAAGAAGCGATAGGTTCGGGGTATTGTAGCTGAGACTTGCGCTGAGTCTGGGGAAAGGAGGAGTTGGTTACATTATGGCTTGCAGTGACTGCTGGCACAGAGAGCTGAGTCCAATAGAGCGTGGTCTGGGGAAATATGCCGTTCAATTATTGACACGAAACCTGAGACACGGCATAATCGGCAGTGATCTATCACTACAACGGCAGACAGGGCCAACAGTGAAGAAGTCGTCACGGCAAGCCATAATGTAACCAGCTCCTCGTTCCAAGACTTCGAATTGCGCTGGGAACACGCATCCCCCCGCTGGACGTGACCCATTGGGTTACAAAAATGGCGTTTAGGTTTTTCATGGAACAAGCATGGAACCACTAAGCTAGCAGCGGCACAGCGTTGTCCAAGTCAGCCTTAAACACTAAACCCACCAGATTGGCTGGGAGCCCCGGGGAGACCTGTTTTTATCGGACCATGGCTGTTTTATGTTTTTCCGGGGTCGTGCGGGACGCATCCAATTGGTTTGACCCATGAATGTCGCATTTTATTTTCCTTGGATTGGAGATGCTGCAATTAGTTGTTACGAGAGGCCGTGTACGGGAAATAAGGATCGTTGAAACAAATTTAGATCGATTTAGATTGGGATCAATGAGGACAAGGTCGAAGGTCTCTGTTGCTGTTACTATCTGTGGAGGATTGCAAGCGCAGCCATCGCGTCCGTGGGCGCGCGTTGGGCTGAGACGGAACCGCGATGTTGAGCCCCGATCTTAGCCCTGTCGATCAGAAAGTGCGGGGGAACGACTCAACGGGAGGATGAAGATTTTTTTTGTTAATTTTAGTAACGGCGATGACTTGATCAAAGCTCGATTTCGCAGCATTGAATGATCACGGGGCGGCGATCTATGTTTCATAACTGACTGGCCGTCACGCTGGGCTGTTTGCCTATCTCGCCCAAGTCAGTAGTCGACAAGCCACTCCAACCGCTAATAACGGCCATCATTTGCCGTTCAATTACTAAGTGTTTGTGGTCCAA